TTGGGCCCTCTACAAGCATAACCCTAGTCGCGCCCACGCTCTAAGACTAACTTGGGCCCTCTACAAGCATAACCCTAGTCGCGCCCACGCTCTAAGACTAACTTGGGCCCTCTACAAGCATAACCCTAGTCGCGCCCACGCTCTAAGACTAACTTGGGCCCTCTACAAGCATAACCCTAGTCGCGCCCACGCTCTAAGACTAACTTGGGCCCTCTACAAGCATAACCCTAGTCGCGCCCACGCTCTAAGACTAACTTGGGCCCTCTACAAGCATAACCCTAGTCGCGCCCACGCTCTAAGACTAACTTGGGCCCTCTACAAGCATAACCCTAGTCGCGCCCACGCTCTAAGACTAACTTGGGCCCTCTACAAGCATAACCCTAGTCGCGCCCACGCTCTAAGACTAACTTGGGCCCTCTACAAGCATAACCCTAGTCGCGCCCACGCTCTAAGACTAACTTGGGCCCTCTACAAGCATAACCCTAGTCGCGCCCACGCTCTAAGACTAACTTGGGCCCTCTACAAGCATAACCCTAGTCGCGCCCACGCTCTAAGACTAACTTGGGCCCTCTACAAGCATAACCCTAGTCGCGCCCACGCTCTAAGACTAACTTGGGCCCTCTACAAGCATAACCCTAGTCGCGCCCACGCTCTAAGACTAACTTGGGCCCTCTACAAGCATAACCCTAGTCGCGCCCACGCTCTAAGACTAACTTGGGCCCTCTACAAGCATAACCCTAGTCGCGCCCACGCTCTAAGACTAACTTGGGCCCTCTACAAGCATAACCCTAGTCGCGCCCACGCTCTAAGACTAACTTGGGCCCTCTACAAGCATAACCCTAGTCGCGCCCACGCTCTAAGACTAACTTGGGCCCTCTACAAGCATAACCCTAGTCGCGCCCACGCTCTAAGACTAACTTGGGCCCTCTACAAGCATAACCCTAGTCGCGCCCACGCTCTAAGACTAACTTGGGCCCTCTACAAGCATAACCCTAGTCGCGCCCACGCTCTAAGACTAACTTGGGCCCTCTACAAGCATAACCCTAGTCGCGCCCACGCTCTAAGACTAACTTGGGCCCTCTACAAGCATAACCCTAGTCGCGCCCACGCTCTAAGACTAACTTGGGCCCTCTACAAGCATAACCCTAGTCGCGCCCACGCTCTAAGACTAACTTGGGCCCTCTACAAGCATAACCCTAGTCGCGCCCACGCTCTAAGACTAACTTGGGCCCTCTACAAGCATAACCCTAGTCGCGCCCACGCTCTAAGACTAACTTGGGCCCTCTACAAGCATAACCCTAGTCGCGCCCACGCTCTAAGACTAACTTGGGCCCTCTACAAGCATAACCCTAGTCGCGCCCACGCTCTAAGACTAACTTGGGCCCTCTACAAGCATAACCCTAGTCGCGCCCACGCTCTAAGACTAACTTGGGCCCTCTACAAGCATAACCCTAGTCGCGCCCACGCTCTAAGACTAACTTGGGCCCTCTACAAGCATAACCCTAGTCGCGCCCACGCTCTAAGACTAACTTGGGCCCTCTACACTACAAGCATAACATTAAAGGGAGCCTGCCTGATCGCAGACAGACAGAGTCTCCCGCCAAATAATGAGACATCATGACTTTGCCTGTCCCCATCCCCACCCACACCCGTTTTCAGAAAAACTCCCGTAGACCAAGCCGAAAACACTGTTATGGTGTTTATAATTTAGTCATTCTGGAAATCTTAAACAGCAGCGGTTAAAGTTGTCTATTCTCGTGCTTCGGAAGCATCAATTTCGCAAGTCCTCTTTCTTGGTCTTTTTGCCATCATACTCCGCCGCATAAACTTGGAAAAGTCCCAGCTCGAATTCTGCTGACCAGCGCTTCCAATCATCCTTCCTGCTTCTCGTGCTGCGCGATAAAGGCGCTGATTTCGCGAACGTGAAAGCGGGGACGCTCGATTCGTGTACCAAAATTTTTTGGTATTCGAATACCAAAAATTGGTATTCGAATACCATATTTTTACCAGATCATATTTTTTCCTTCAAAAAACTACTAAACTACTCGCAAAAGTTCCTACAAGACAGGCGCGGAGCGCATAGGGTCTCTTTTGCTACATCAAATTTGGACTTTTGAGGAAATTTGGTATTCGAATACCAATTTTGGTATTTGAATACCAATTTTGGTATTCGAATACCAATTGGTACACGAACCGAGCGTCTCCCCGTGAAAGCCCAACGCGCCCAGCGACTCCACATCTGATCGATCGCGACTGTCTACTCTGTCATTTCTCCTTGAGTCGGTATCTGTAAAGTGAATTGACGTTGTCGTCGTAGCAAATGAAGAGGCCGGGGATGTTTTCCATAGCGAAAAGAGTTTCTCGAATGAGACCCGCTTGAGAGACGTTCAAAGAGCCGCCAGAGCCCGTTGCTTTCGCAGTTGTACTGAAAACAAGTTTGGATAATTCTTTGTGCAGAAAATAGTGACCTTGATAGAGTATTTCTTTTTGAAGTTGACAACGAAGCCTGCGTTAATTCTCTCGGCGTCGATCGGCCGCGATCTACTCGACGAGATAGAAGTAACCGTTACACTGTTTTGCGAGAGGTTCTCTTAGTTCCGATCGTTTCGGCTAAACGCTGACTTGTCCATCGACATTACCGACCGGAAGGCCGAGTCTTCGTCTTCCTTCGCGCTGGCCATGTCTTTCAGGAACTCAAGGACGGCCGCATAACCTGGGCGCCATACACCCGTAAATTCCTCGTTTGATTCCTCCTTTAGTAATCATTCTCAATATTCGTAAAAACAAAAGGGATGGCTTATTTCAATCGCCAATTCTGAAAATACGAATAAAAAATATTTTGAAGAAACCGAATTTATTAGAAGAAAAGGAACCATTTGCCAATTAAGGAACTTCCCAGCAACCTTTCAAAAGTGGACCAGTTTCAACGGGAGTTCCTTAAATTGGCCAGTTAGAATGATCAAGCGTAGAAGAGAGAGAGGTCAGTGCACTGAAGGGAGTTTTTGATGACGATGAAAGTAGCGCTGGTGGATATTGGAAGTGCTGCCAGACAGAACATGCAAAAAAGGTACAGAATCAGATCAAGCCTGGACTGGGCGGGTGACTTGCCGCTTCTTCTCCCGCTCTTTGCGCCGCTCGGCAGAGGGCTTCGCGTTCTGGTCGCCTCCTTCGCGGTTGTAGAAGATGCAGTACTCTGAATTGCGCTCAAACTTTGAGCCTCAAAGGAAGCCTATCAAGAAGAGCTGTCTTACGGTCGGAGCGGAGATAATCTACAGCGCTTGTTGGCCTTTTTCCTGTTTTCTTCGATCGGTCGGACGAACTAGTTCCTCTCCACTCTCAGAATTTTGAGCTTCTTCCCGACGAGCACTGGAAGCTGCGGCGGAAGTAGACTCAGCAAATTGCCCTGCAAGATCCAAATGAAATACGATTCTAAACGAAGTAATCAAGTACCTGTAAATGAAGCTCTGTTAAATTGTCCATTATTGCGATTTCCGGCGGAATGAGCGTTATCTCGTTATCTCTTGCGCAAAGAATTTGAAGTCTCTTTAATTGGGCCACTTTTAAGGAAGATGGTGGAAGTCGTTGTCGGAAACGTACAACGCGCGCAGCGACTACAAAAATAGGAAAAACGCGACTGACTGAGAGTTACCTTATAAAGGAGCTCGCAAACTGTTTCGTTGAAGTTGTTTTACGTCAAGTCGAGTATTTCGAGCTTGGCGAGTTTGTGGAAGCTGTTCGGCAGGCGCTGAAGCTTGTTCATTCCCAAATTGAGATTACTCAGCTCTTGCAGCTAAAACAAGGGCTTCTAGAAAAGAATCGCGCTCTTGAATTCACCTCCGAGAAGTTTCCGGGAAGCTCGACGAGCTCATTGTTGAAGCAGTTGAGCAGTTTGAGATTCTTTAAGTTTGTGATCGAAGCAGCGAGCTGTTTGAGGCCGTTGTGCGCGAGAATGAGCTCGGAGAGGTGCTGCAGTTGGCTGAAGTCGGAAGAAATCTGCGTCAGTTGGGTGATGCTCTTGTCGCTGAGAGAAAGACTGTAGTGTCTGCTTTTCTTGTTTTCTTCAACGATTTTTGTGACATTGCTTGACATTCTAAAATGAAGACGAATGATAACAGCTTCAAAGCTTGTAAAAATCAACCATCACCGCATTCAAAACATCTAGTAATTTTACAAGCTTGGGCCTTGATTCCTTGGTTAGTTATCTTTTGAAGAATGAAGTTTGGACGGTTTTTCAAGTGTAAAAGTGATTCAGTGGGGCCAGTGCTTAGAGCATGCCCTGATGAGTGTCGACCGCGTGCTGGACTGAGTAGTACCACTGCATCAGCTCGGGACTCTGTTCGTACTGCTCCCAAGCGCTCGTCCCTTCCGTCAAGTTGATTACTGCAAAAGCTTCGATATATAGAATTCCGTCTTGAACGAATTTACTGTCTTTCGTCAGGATCGGCACCTTGCTCTTGATGAATTTGCCCTTTTCGTCGAAGTATTATTTGGCGATTTCGCTCATCGGCTCGGCCACTAATCGGAGCACTTGCTCCAGAGTCGAGACGATCGCTCCGGAGTCCTTCACTACTGCGTCGGGCTCGCTACTGCTGTTGTTGTAGAAGGCGAGGACGGGCACTAAAAATGACTATTCTTTGCCAAAAGGAACAAGCAATTTACCTTGTACAGTGGCATGCGCGGGTTCCGCCCTATTCGAGCGTGCACGACTCCCGCCCTATCTAGAAGAACTTTTGTATTAGCTCTTTCTGAAATTGAACAAAAATCGTGCTGCGTTGCCGCCCTGTCTAGAAGAACTTGGATAGGGCGGAACCCGCGCATGCCACTGTAAGTAGTTTTCAATGACACCTTTCAGCTCTGGCTTGCCAATGCTGACTTCGACGTCTTTGTTGTCGATTCCCCGAAATTTAAGATAGGCCCTTACATTGGCGCAGTAAGGACAGCCGAAATACCCAAATAATCGCATTTTCTTGTACGAGTTTCAATATTCAATCGTTCCAGAGGAATCTTCGATTATGTAGCTTCTATCTTTCGCCAACACATTTCTCGATTCCTTCTCGTTCCAGAAGAGCTTTCAATCGCTTTAAAATCACCTCGAATTAAATCGTTCTTTTTACCTGGATCGAGGATAAACTAGCAAAAGGAACGATTCGGCGAAAAACGATTCGATTCATCAAAATTCTTAAAGTAGAAAGGTGATTATTATTAATTTCAAATTGTCCCTATCAAGTATTTTGAGTAGCAGCCTAGTGAATCGACGGTCTTTCTTTAGATCGCTTATTTGACTTGAACATTAGTCAAATTAGCGGAGGGGACAAAGCCCTTTCCGGCAACTTCCCAGGCGACATCCTTAAAAAGCTATTTAGGACTTGTTTAATTCAGCTGTAGTTACGTTAAATGTGGCTTGGCATTTGTCGTTCGTCTTTAATCCTGGGACAACTTGCTCGAACACGAAGACTGCTTTTTTACTCGTTGGGTTGATTAGTTCGTCGGGTTCGCCTGAATTTAATTTTTGCCACTGCAATCAAGGAAGACACTCACCTTCGAAGCCTGGCACTTTGACAAGATCGCCCGGGACTACTACTCTGGCGTAGAAGCGCCCATGATCATTGCTTCGGAAACGATTCCTCTCATTTTCGCCGGCTTGAGGTTGCACAGAAGGACGACCATTCTGTTCTGCATCTCTTCCAAGGGAACATGCTTGACAAGGCCGGAAATGACGGTTCGTGGTTTATCCGGTAGTAAGGAAAAATGTTTCGGTAAAACTACCGAAATATGGTGAGTTTATTTTCTGATTAATATTTCGGTAACAGCCGAAACTTTCTTTCATTTTTACCCCTTTTTGAGCAAAATGTTTCGGCAGGCAACCGAAATCTTTTTCACTTTTTAGTCCGTATCAAGCAAAAACATTTCGGCAAAAAATGCGTTGACGATCATATAATCTCATCGATGCTTTTGGAAGAAAATTATCATATCTAATTGCCCCTACCTCGGGGCTCCGCCCCTTCGGGCCTAAGATGCCGGGGTCCAGTCTAGGGTTAATTAGGGTCACCTTCAGTAACCCTAACTAACCCTAGCCTATCCCCCTCGGGTAAGTTTGTTCCGTCATTTCTGCTGGTGCCCCCTAACCCTAACCTTTATTTTAGCAAATACTACGATTTTAATTTTTAACCATCGGGTTCCACCATTTTTCCAAAATAATGCCCGAGAAATGATCTTCTTCTAATATGAGAACAGAAAATAACTCGAGATTTTTGAGGTGAAAACTCATCAGAAGCCAAACTCATTCAATGCACATACAAGGGTTCATCAGGATGAGAATTGAGAAACCTGCCGAAACTTTATTGCTCAAAAGACATCAATTTCTGATTTTTATTTCGGCTCGTACCGAAATATTTTTCCTAAAAACGTTTTTTTATTAATATATTTTTATTAATATTTTTTCCTAAAAATTTTTGTAAGATTCTTTCGGCTGCCTGCCGAAATATTTATCACATTTGACCCCTTGAAAGTGATTTATATTTCGGTCGCTTTTACCGAAACATTTTTCCATACTACGGTTTATCCTCTCCGCATTCAATTAGTTCGAGGTATAAAGCGGCCGCATCTGAAAAAAGAGAGTCATTAGAGCGATTTATTTTCCTGCAGGGAGTGTTCTTGGATATTTCAGAAGGCTAAATTTTGAAAAGAATGTACGCCTTAATCCAGTATCAAGTCGAGAATTCAGCGTGCTCTTCGCTCGATCAATCATTGCCAATTGACCATTGGTTTCACACTCGCCGGTCAAGAAGTAACAACTGGTTTTGCCGGTTTCGCGCAAGATCCAAAAGCGGGACGAGAAGTGACCGGTCGTTTTGGCGCGCTGACGGTTGCTGATTTTGTCGTCGTCTTCTTGGTTTATTTTGCCGAAGATAGGGATAGCCGACCAGCGAGAAGTAGCCGCAGCCGATCGTCGTCCAGAGGCAGAAGTTCAAGAAGAAGCGCCGGTTGAAATGGCAGACGCAGTTGTTGATCCAGGGCAAGTGGTGGTCTAAAGCGAAGAGGTTCAAAAGGGATGAATTGAGAGAGAATGGTTACCCATCTGAATGACGAATTTGGCACAGACGGAGCAGTGGTACGAGCCAGTAGGCTTCGGAAATAGACATTTCGAGCAGTTGCCTGCGAATCTGCCAATAGAAACTATCAAATTCTCTAGCATCGCTTCTCCGAAATCGCTATACTTCATAGCCTATAAGCAGCGTTTGCGGTGAGTGAAGCGAGGACGAATTTCAAGGAGCGAAAACTCTGCAGCGCGGAGCGGAGAGACTGGAAAGGCGCACAATGGGATTTTCTAGCGACGAGACGAATTCTTCATGAAGTACAGCTGGTGATTCTTGAGGGTTGGAAAAGGAGAGGCGATCTTTGAGGCTTGAACATGTAGAAACAGGGGTCGGGCAAAGAGTTAACATACCATTGTCTCATGCAAGTCGATGATAAAAGGAAAACCAGCGCTAGAAGGAAAATAATCAGTCCTGAAACATGTGAAAATCGGGCCATTTAAATCCCCTTTCTTTTTTCTGTCGGTTCATCTAAAAATTGAATGTTTAAAGTCTTAAATCAAAATTTTGAGGATTCATTCAAGCATATTATGCTCTTATTAAGAAAATATATCAAAGATGTTGCAGCAAAAAAAGAACAATGAAGGCAGTGAGAAAAAGGTAAAGCATTGGAAGAAGAAAAACATGTGAATATAAAAAATAAGGAAACAAGATTTTAGATGAGAGGTTACATGGTCGGAATTTGCTCGGATTTTCGTCGTTAAATCTTCTTTGAAGGCGGTTTTTGGTGGATTGACTCGCTCTTTCGCTTCTTCCTGAGAAGGATAACTTATCCTGGATAAGGGAAGAAAAGGGATGATTTCTTTACCTGGGGATGAAGAGAAGTTTGATCGAAAATCGAGTCGCCGTAGAATTTCGAATCAGGGTTGAGTTTCTTGTATTCTAGCTTGATAATTCTTCGCGAACTCCGGACAAGTAAGCCCCTGTCACTGTCTGTGGTAAATGCCTATCAAACATTTTTTATAAAGAGATGCGCTTTAACGTACCGATTGGTGGCTTCTCCAGCGAAAAATAATCGATCGGAAGCTGGTTCCGCCAGCTGGTGTTTTCGCTTTCATAGATCCAGAGGAAGAAGCAGGTGTCTTCGACTCTGCTGGTTTATCACGAGGCGTTTTCGGCGTCTTGCTCAAAAGTCTCTCAGTGACCTCAGCTGCCTTTTGCAGCGCGGAGCGGTAGAGACTGGAAAGGCGCTCCGATCCCCTCCATTTCAGCCCTGAAGGAGTCATTCACCAGATTAGCCTACTCGAAGCGGACAGAGTGGGCAATTTTGCGCATGAAGTCTTCGAAGCGATCGCATTTCATCTTTGGTTGAAGAACTTGTATGTTGCTCGAAGCTGAACGGGAAATTTTTTAATCAAAGCACCAACTAACTTCCTTACCAATAGAGATAAGCTTGAGCTTAACGAGAGTTCTGAGTTGTGATAAAATGGAAATGCTGCGGTCCTCAGATTCTTTAATCGATTCGAAAATGGCAATCAGCCGGTCCATAGAAAACTGGAGAGGCCCGATCAGTCGCTGTTTCACTTCAGGTCCTCGAAAAGTTCGTTTCTTTTAATCTTGCCGGCGTTCTTCGGGAAGTATCTTTTGTCTGTTTTTGGAGGATTGAAGGAAGCAAGATAAGAAGCGATTAACAGGTGTTTGGAGAAGTAAGGCAAGTCGATTCTAAAGCGCTGTGAGAAAGAGAACGATGCTTGTGTTGTATAAGCTTACACATGATTGTCTTCCTCTTGACTCGACTTCAAGAACAAACTTGGCCTTGCCGTTCTGAATGTCGGCTCAATTTTCCGTCTCCATCTAGCACGGGCTTTGCATACACTGGCAGCTGCTCCTGCACCACGTACTTGAGCAAGCACAAATTGTGCGTCGATAAGTAGAAATAACCCATAAATTATGAGTCATAGTCGCTTGGGTGAAATTGTGAAAGAGCACATCGGACATGTCAGCGGGCTTCTCTTTGCGCAGAATAGCTTCAACTTGTTGAGAGCTGTACTCCGGGAGGGAAAAGATCACTGGTGACACGGCCGATTTTGGATAGATGGCGGAGTGAAAGGCAACTCGAAACTCGAAAATGACGCACAAGCGATTGTCTGGTATGAACTTTTCATGTTGAGCGAGAGATGTCACTGCTTCTGGCTGATTCTTGATGAACAAGTCTGCCCGCTCGATCACGACGAAAACTGGACGCTCATGTGTAGCCAGCAGTTCTCCAACAACGTAGAACATTGAGCTTTTATAGAGGTAACTCGACTGAATTGAGGGAAAATAGATGTTCACCTTGGATTGTCGCCTATGACCGGTAGTTTCGTGTCACTTTCAGGCGCCTCATGAACACCGTTAACAATGGCTTCGTAAAAGAGCCGCGAAGAATTGATTTCATTCGATTTTATAAAAAAACCCATCGACTGGCTCCTCCATCCGCCTTTCCGCAATGATCTGCTTCAGAACGTGCGTCTTGCCCTAACCAGCCGCGCCAGATACATACAAGGCGGGTGGAACGATGCCGCAAGAACTCAACTTCAAGATATTCTTGATGGCATCCTTGCATTTCGCCCGAGTCATGCTGAAAGTGACCTTTGAGAGTCAAAAGGATGAGAGACTTAGTTTTTAATTTGAGAGGCAGTGATAATTAGATAAACAAGTGAATTCTCATGTTCAAAGTGCCCAGGTGACTTTCTGGACGTGATCGGTTTTTCGCTGTGTGGGTTTCAGAAGGCCGAGGAACTGAAGATCGCTGACTGATTGAAAAAACGTGGCATCCAAGTCTTCCTTCTTGATTTTCTGGTTTCTGCTTTCAAGAATACACTCGAAGGAGTCAAGCCAGTCTGCGACACTCACCATTGAACCCATTTGAGTGAAGAGCTTGAAAGCAACACACACAGGCGGAAGATTGAGATTACTGCTATCTGCGTTTACCAGATGCATCTTTACGTCCCTTAATTTCATATTCAATCTTTTGAAATGTGCGAGTCGCTTACTTAGTGTATTGAAACGGATTCTTAAGAGAGCGCTCGATGTTTTTGACCAGCGGAGGGACCATCTTGTTGTCGACCAGTTTGAGTTTGTAAAAGAAGAAAATCTCCGCGAAAGGCTTTTCTTGTCGCGCCTTACTCAAGTATTTTTCGACGATTTTATCTAGTCTCCCGCAGAATTCCTTTCTGACATCCTAGTGAAAAAGTTTTTAAAAGAAAATAACAGACTAAATCTTACCTGAAAAACGGCTTATTCTGTAGCGCCATGTCCTTGGGTAACTCAAGTTGAGTTGCCTTTGAAGCTCGAATGCATTCTTAGCTGCTCTCTTCGGCCGCTACTTGAGCAACACGCGCGTCTTTCGCTTGTTGTCGAAGAATTTTTCTATACCTGCGACGAACTCCGCTGCCGAGGAAATATGACTTTGTTTTACCCAAGGAAGAGAGTTTGAATGGCGATTTCTCGTTTGCTGATCGTTCTCGCAATTTCAAGTGACTTTTCTAGCGACGAGACGAATTCTTCATGAAGTACAGCTGGTGATTCTTGAGGGTTGGAAAAGGAGAGACGATCTTTGAGGCTTCTGGCAGTTGAAGATTTACTAAAAAATATGTAGAAACAGGGGTCGGGAAAGGAGCTTACCTATGCAAGTCGATTATAAGAAGAAACCAGCGCTAGAAAAAAAAGAATCAGTCCTGAAACATGACAAAATCGGGCCATTTCAATCCTTTTTCTTTTTTTCTCTGTCAGTTCATCTGAAAATTGAAATATCCGAATTCCTGAACCAATATTTTGAGCATTCATTCAATTATAAGAAAATGTATTAAAGATATTGCAGCAAAAAAAAAAAGAACAATGAAGGCATTGAGAAAAAGGTAAAGCTTTGGAAGAAGAAAAAACATGTGAATATGAAAAAAAGGAAACAAGATTTTTCTTAAGAGGTTACATGGTCGGAATTGGCTCGGATTTTCGTCGTTCAATCTTCTTTGAAGGCGGTTTTTGGTTGATTGACTCGCTCTTTCGCTTCTGAGAGAACGATGAGGGAAGAAAAGGGATGATTTCTTTACCTCGGGATGAAGAGAAGTTTGTTCGAAAATCGAGTCGCCGTAGAATTTCGAATCAGGGTTGAGTTTCTTGTGTTCTAGCTTGAAAATTCTCGCTGTTTCGCGAACTCCGGATAAGTAGGGACTGTCACTCCTGTCACTGTATGTGGGAAATACGTATCAAACATTTTTTATAGAGGGATGCGCTTTAACGTACCGATTGGTGGCTTCTCCAGCGAAAAATAATCGATCGGAAGCTGGTTCCGCCAATTTGTCGTAGTCTTTTCCGGTTGAACCGAGTTTGATAAACGAATAACTCATATGGGAGTATTCTTCTTTTCCCCAGTGTGTAATGTGGAAGCTCAGGGGCTCTGGGCTCGTGTTTTCTTTGAAGATTTCTTTTTTAAGAGTCACAAAATGGCGAAAATTCAAGTAAAAAGGAGCTTGTTAATTGACTCTTGCCTTGAAGCGTCGCCATCGCACTGGAAACGAGCTGTTTATTACTCATCGAATGATAAATATCAAGCGAAGCTCCAGCTGCGATCGACATGAGCGTAAAATGATCACTCTCAGGCGATTGATATCGTAGAACACATTAAAAATTCCCGACGTATCGTGTTCATCATCAGCTTCGACGCCTGAGTCGGAGCCAGAAACGCTGATGGAGCCAAAGAAATCAGCGCCACCGATCTTGTAACTCCACCATTTCGAATCGAAGCGGAGGAGGCATTTTTCTATCAGGCCGGCGCCGATGTTTTCTACAGCGCGCCATTTTCGCTGAGATAAGTCGGGGAAGAAATTGATGGTTTTCTTTTTCATGAGGGCGAGTGGGATTGACACGACGCATCTTTGAAATGGATACAGAAGTCTTATTTCAAGCTATTTTACAAAATTGGTCAGCCACTTGCGGCTTCAAGATCTATTATTTATCTGTATCCGATCCTATCCACCTCAATTTTCTCCCCATGAGTCGTCTCGACGACCACCTTTTCCCCAGAATGATCAATGCTCGCCACCGGTAAACCGAAAAATTTCAAACTCTGTATTCAGTGGTTTCGACAATTCTTCCAAAACATCAGAAAATCCGTATGTCACGATCGCATGATCCCCGCCAAATTGCGGAAAACGCTCGTTCTGGTCCCAATTGAGCGCTGAAACGCTAGAAAGGCTCGTATTCCAAGTTGTTGATGTGGAAGTCGAGCTGTTTCATTTCTGTTTTTGAGAATCTTTCCGCGCTTTGGCTGACGTATTCTTTGTGAGCGTCGATGAGTGGAATGTCCTTTTTCTTGTCTAATCTCCAGTCGGATAAAATATCGAAAATCGTGTTGAAATGATGCTCCATTCTCAAGTCTGGTCCACGAGCAATCGATTCGGATTTGACAAAAAGGTCGCATTCGCTTCCGAGGATGTGGACATCGTGGTAGATTTGACGACTCATGGTGATGATAGGGTTGTTTTGGCGGCCGTTGATGACCATTGCTCCTACAGCTACCTTAAAATGGACGATAAGTGAGCTTTTTTCACTCAAACGAACCTAAGGTGCCCAAACATGAACTCGTCCTCCTATCCTTTCCCCGCCTCTAGAATCTTCAAAAGAAAGCTGTCTGGCTGAAGAAATTCCTGATGGTGCAGCTCCAATTACAACAATCGTTTCTCGTTTCTTCAGCGGAATGTTTTTGAGAACCAACGGCCTGGGTATGTCCTCAAAGATGCCAAAGTTGATAATGCCTTTTATCGTAAGAAATTTTATAACAAGGTTGAATAGTTCTGGCAGAGCGGCGCGAATGTATCCTCTTACAATCACATTTTGCATGCAGCTCTTTGGAGTAACCAAAATCGTCAGAGAAATAGACCACATCGAAACGACCAGATTTCTCAGCGCTGGAATAATCTCTGCGCGGCGGGTGGAAAGGTTTGGTAGTGCGCCACTTCATCTGGTTCGAAGGAATCGGGCTTGAGCGTCAAAGCAGCTGGGTTGCCACCGGGCTGGTAAAACGGACGACGATTGCGAAGACTGAAACAGCTGTTTTTTGAGTTGGTATTTCTTGGCTTGCGAGAGGGGAAGAAACGGTTGCGGTAGATTTTTCGAGGAGTCTTTTTTTGGAGTTCTTTTCTCGTCGTTGTTGTCGATTAGCTCGCGATCCCCTCCATTTCAGCCCTGAAGAAGTCATTTACCAGATAAGCCACGCTCATCTTAGCCGCTCATCAGACAAATGGCCGATTGGGCCTTATTCTAAAGATCGCTTCAGTTAGCTTGCTACAGTAATTTCACATTTAATCGAGTGCAGATCAAAAATAATCAGTGAAGAAAGCCCCTTCTTTTTATTTCTTGTTCTCGACTTCTCTGTTTTCTTCATTTTCATCCCTTAGCACCATTTTTCGCCTTTTCTCTTTTTCTCGCCTTTGAAATCTCCACGCGCGCTGATTGGTCCGCGCGCGGAGCGAAAGATTTGAATCACCGAGATTTCTGAAAATCTTGAATGTAGGTAGAATCTGATTCTAGCGCTGGGAAAGCAGAATTAGAAAAGAGGAGAAAGAAAAAGGGAAGACAGAGGAGAGAATTATTTCGAAGAATAATTGAGCCAGCGAAGAGCGCGAAAACAAATGCCAGATTTAGAAGAATTCGGCGAAGATGAAGATGACGACGAGTGGGAAGTTGTTCAGGAAACGCACTGCCATTTGGAACTTCCTGACTGCCCTGTCAAGGTACAGTAATGTACTGATCCTTCTCCCTAGTTGTCTAAAATTGATAAATTTTAGCTTTCGGAAGCAGAGAAAATCCGCGTGGTCGGGCTGGACTCGGAAGAGCCCTTCCGTCAACAACATTTTCTTCAAAGGAAACTACGAAAAGACGCTCGGGACGACGATCTTCTTTGACGGCAACAGCAAGGCGCAGAGCATGGTCGGCCAAGAAGTCGGAAAAACAGAAAGAAAACTGCTGATGAAGGAAGTTCATTTGATCAAGAGACGCGACTCCTTCCACGAAGCAGGTTTGAGTCATTTTGAAATTTTCGATAAATTATTCTCAGAAGAGCGCGAAAAGCGAGGCCGATTTCGAAATAACGACAGTCCGCCGCCCTTCCTTGAAAATAAGTCTTCTTCGCGGGCGATCATTCCAAACTTAGACTCGAGTCGGAGCAAGACTCGGACGAAGACTCCCTTATCGAGATTTCTGACGGTTCTGAAGAAGAAGCGGAAATGAGCGAAGAATGAACTTTCGAGAAAGTTTTCGAAAATGTCGTTTTTAGAATGCCAATTGAATTGCGAGTCGTTGAAGAGCACTCTGAATGTCTCTTCTTCATCCAGCGGCTGCTTGAGCGCGGCAAACTGCCTCTGGAAGGCTTCAAAATGATCCACGACGATCCCGATCTCTTGTACGAGCTTTTTCAAAGATTTGGGGGGGAAAACCCTTCGGAAAAGAAGCTCCAAAAAAGGTTTTTAATGACCCTGACACAGTTATTCTAAAAAAGAAAGCCGAATTCAAGCGGCAGAGAATCCCTTTTTTCACCGGAAGTGATAAAACAGGGTAGCTCAGCGGCCAGAGCGCGGATTTTCTCCGGGACGTGGGTTCGAATCCCACTCCTGTCACTTCTCGGAGAAAAAGGAGGATTTTCAGCCGCTAGAATTGGCTTTTTATTTCGAGAGAAAGTGTTTTATTTGAAGCTTTTGGCTATTTTTGTGGCTGTTTCTTTCGCTCCAACTAAAATGTCGCTCGGCCTTTTTTTTCGTAAAAAGGAGATAATGGTTGACTGGAAAAAGGACTTGGCGTAAAAAATATAATTTTCTTTTTCCAAACTTTCGCCTTTCCGAAAAAAGCAAAAATTCCCGAGTCAGGTTCTGAAACAGTTTAAATTCATAGTTGAACTGCGATTTTGTCAAAAATGAAGCTGCAAAGCGGCTTTTCCGAAATTTCTTTGAAAAGTAAAAAATTTGCCAGGACAGAAAAAGCTGCATGCTGTTTGTTCGAATTTCAGAGTTGCATCGGTTTCTTGGTCTGCAAGATATTTAAGCCGGGGAAATGGAGAGGTTCTTGGCTGTGATTCAATTCTTGTTGAGAAGTTTGTGCCAGTTTCGGCCCTTTCGGCGGATTTCGCCGTCGATGTCGATTGGGGGCAAAGAGGCTTCAAATGATCCACTGCGACTCGCATCCTGATCTCTGGAACGTGGTTGCCACTATTCTAGGAGCTACTTCTGAAGCTGAAACAACCAAAGAAAAGTGCGCCGATCAGCTTCTCAATGGAGCACATTTCAAACTCAAAAAAGATGCGAGAAATGACCTCGATCGAGTCCTGGATCCTCCCGCTCGTCTGCGCCAGCCACTTGAAGGAAATAAACTGGCTGCATCCTCCCTGGGCCGATAACTTGAAGACGGCAGAAGAGAGCTTTCCGTCGGCTTTGCGGAAGGAAACATCGAAGAGGGAAAGACCAGGCTTGCCGTGAGCTGGTGGTGGGATAACTTCACTTCTGACGCGACCTACTGCGCCGAGGAGAATTGTCAATTTATTCAAAAATTTCAGATTTCCTTTTTTGATCTGATTTGGTCACGGTTGGAGCGTCTTTTTCTGCGGGTAGATGCAGATATTGTTGAAGAAAGTAAAGAAAGCCGATTTTTTAGGAAACTGCCCAAGAGTTTCGAAAGCGACGAGCGAAGAAACTCCACTGCTCTGAAGGCAACGATGGCTTGCTGATTTATAACGCCGGCAGGACCAGTCATGACGACCGACCCGCGCTGCCCGTGCACATTCCCACGGACCAGGAAATCGAGCAGATGATTAAGCGATTGGATGCGAATGTGCGAAGCGTGTTTGCTGATTTAGGCCTTCCAGCGGGAATTTGCCTCGCCAGGAGCACAAAGGATGGATTTTGCCCGGAAGTTTGAATTTATCCTTTTTGCGAATTCAAATAGTGGAGTCTATTCAAAGTTCCGTGATAGCAGTTCTGAAAGAAATATTCAAAGAGTTCTCTCCTGCTTCTTAATTACTTATAAACGAAGTTTTCAAGACTGAATTTATGTTTCTGCAAATATAGGAATTTAATTCTCATTATGCTGGCGGCTTGCGTTTCGGAAACTCGTTTTATCGGCCGGTCTAGGGGGAGCTTGCTTTCCCATTCGCGTATTCGTCCAGCATTGCTCGTATCACGTCGAACACTTAGTTGCAGAAATCCTCCTCGTCGACGCCGATTGAGCGGTAGAACTCGGATTGCTCCATGAAATTTTGTGGCCAGACGCTGGTCATTTCTTGCTCTAGCTCTAGAAGGAATCGAGACCGTGCACTGCTTGGTTAAAGCTTCGATGGAAAATTTGCGTTATCCGCTGTTTCTATTTTCTCTCGCAAGTGAATGTTCAAGAAGTCCTTGAGAATATCTAAGTTGATTTTTTCGTAGAAGCGAATAATGTTATAGGCGACGTCGAAGGCTCTAGTGCCGAATTCTGAGTTGTCGTTGTCAACCAGCAGCAGTCTTTCCTCCATCGATGTGCCTTCTGAGGGATGAAAATTCTTCCGTCGTTGGCGTCGAGATTGTGCCCCACTGGACATAAATTTTGATCAATTTTTTCGGGATAAGTAGCTGTTTTGTAGTGCGATCTGATCGCTCTCGTGTTCCAGGGCCAGGCGTGCTAGCAGGTCTTGATGGGCCTTTGACTCTCTTCTTCGCTGATGATGTGCATTTAAGCAAAGCGCTTTGCTGCAGCGTGGAAGACGTCGATGTCGCTTAGTCGAATGTCGCTTGCAAATCCTGTTTTTGCTGCAGGAAAATCACATTGGGTACGTTTATACTGAGACCGGAGTCAGCTTAAAGATATCGTCTTCTCGAAAGTCGTTGCTCTTCCGCAGTCAAGACGGTTGGAACTGGAATGAGTTAATCTGGAGGATCGAGGCTTGAACAGTATTCAAGTTTTCTGGTCATCCATTTTGATTTCGAAAGACATTTCTTGATTTGTCTGGTTAGACTTTCCTTGTTGTTTTTGTTGTTCGAAATAAATCATTTTTACACTGATTTATGGTTCAGCCGGAGACATTGACTCAGGTCTTGAAAAAGAGCATAAGCTCGAAAGAAATCAAGGAGGAAATTTACCATCAAGAAGAAAGCGGAAGATCCGATTATGAAACGCCAATTTTTTCATTAATGATCAAAAAACGGAATTCGAAAAATGATTAAAAAGATAAAACCGTCTTTGATCGATTAAATTTTCCCCAGCGCAGTGCTGAAATTCGCGCGCTGATCCTTTTTCTAGCGATCAATTCTCGTCATTTGTGCCCCTTTCCCGTCATTAAATCGCCGCAGCGTATATAATCTTTGAATTAAGAAGCACTCGCCATGGATCCAGGTAAAAAAGAGCTTCTTAAGCGCGAGGGATCGCAAGAACTCATTCTAGAGAACTTGGATGGACAAGTTTGTCTTCGAGAGCCAGTTGTCAAGACCATGCTGGATCCGAGATTCGAGGTATGCGGAATTTTTTTTTATAGTGGCCGGATTTTTGAACTTGTTTTGGGTTCCCGATCTCGATGAAGCCACTTTGCGGCTTGGATTTTAAAAGAGCCGCTACGCGGCTATTCTTCGAATTCCTTAAGCAACACAGATTCGCGAGCCCGGCTGGTCACCTCTTCAAAGTTGAAAATGTGATTTTAAGCAAGCAGATCGGCGAATCAGAGCGAAAATGCTGTTTGAGAAAACGACACTGATCAAGCCAGACGGCCGCTGCTTCGAGGAGCTCAAAAGAGAAGTCATCGAAGAAGGAAGAAAAATCATCGAAATGGAGATGAACCTGCTCAACATGAAAAGACTCAAGATCTCGGAAGCGGATCAGAGAAATAGACCACATCGAAACGACCAGATTTCTCAGCGCTGGAATAATCTCTGCGCGGCGGGTGGAAAGGTTTGGTAGTGCGCCACTTCATCTGGTTCGAAGGAATCGGGCTTGAGCGTCAAAGCAGCTGGGTTGCCACCGGGCTGGTAAAACGGACGACGATTGCGAAGACTGAAACAGCTGTTTTTTGAGTTGGTATTTCTTGGCTTGCGAGAGGGGAAGAAACGGTTGCGGTAGATTTTTCGAGGAGTCTTTTTTTGGAGTTCTTTTCTCGTCGTTGTTGTCGATTAGCTCGCGATCCCCTCCATTTCAGCCCTGAAGAAGTCATTTACCAGATAAGCCACGCTCATCTTAGCCGCTCATCAGACAAATGGCCGATTGGGCCTTATTCTAAAGATCGCTTCAGTTAGCTTGCTACAGTAATTTCACATTTAATCGAGTGCAGATCAAAAATAATCAGTGAAGAAAGCCCCTTCTTTTTATTTCTTGTTCTCGACTTCTCTGTTTTCTTCATTTTCATCCCTTAGCACCATTTTTCGCCTTTTCTCTTTTTCTCGCCTTTGAAATCTCCACGCGCGCTGATTGGTCCGCGCGCGGAGCGAAAGATTTGAATCACCGAGATTTCTGAAAATCTTGAATGTAGGTAGAATCTGATTCTAGCGCTGGGAAAGCAGAATTAGAAAAGAGGAGAAAGAAAAAAGGGAAGACAGAGGAGAGAATTATTTCGAAGAATAATTGAGCCAGCGAAGAGCGCGAAAACAAATGCCAGATTTAGAAGAATTCGGCGAAGATGAAGATGACGACGAGTGGGAAGTTGTTCAGGAAACGCACTGCCATTTGGAACTTCCTGACTGCCCTGTCAAGGTACAGTAATGTACTGATCCTTCTCCCTAGTTGTCTAAAATTGATAAATTTTAGCTTTCGGAAGCAGAGAAAATCCGCGTGGTCGGGCTGGACTCGGAAGAGCCCTTCCGTCAACAACATTTTCTTCAAAGGAAACTACGAAAAGACGCTCGGGACGACGATCTTCTTTGACGGCAACAGCAAGGCGCAGAGCATGGTCGGCCAAGAAGTCGGAAAAACAGAAAGAAAACTGCTGATGAAGGAAGTTCATTTGATCAAGAGACGCGACTCCTTCCACGAAGCAGGTTTGAGTCATTTTGAAATTTTCGATAAATTATTCTCAGAAGAGCGCGAAAAGCGAGGCCGATTTCGAAATAACGACAGTCCGCCGCCCTTCCTTGAAAATAAGTCTTCTTCGCGGGCGATCATTCCAAACTTAGACTCGAGTCGGAGCAAGACTCGGACGAAGACTCCCTTATCGAGATTTCTGACGGTTCTGAAGAAGAAGCGGAAATGAGCGAAGAATGAACTTTCGAGAAAGTTTTCGAAAATGTCGTTTTTAGAATGCCAATTGAATTGCGAGTCGTTGAAGAGCACTCTGAATGTCTCTTCTTCATCCAGCGGCTGCTTGAGCGCGGCAAACTGCCTCTGGAAGGCTTCAAAATGATCCACGACGATCCCGATCTCTTGTACGAGCTTTTTCAAAGATTTGGGGGGGAAAACCCTTCGGAAAAGAAGCTCCAAAAAAGGTTTTTAATGACCCTGACACAGTTATTCTAAAAAAGAAAGCCGAATTCAAGCGGCAGAGAATCCCTTTTTTCACCGGAAGTGATAAAACAGGGTAGCTCAGCGGCCAGAGCGCGGATTTTCTCCGGGACGTGGGTTCGAATCCCACTCCTGTCACTTCTCGGAGAAAAAGGAGGATTTTCAGCCGCTAGAATTGGCTTTTTATTTCGAGAGAAAGTGTTTTATTTGAAGCTTTTGGCTATTTTTGTGGCTGTTTCTTTCGCTCCAACTAAAATGTCGCTCGGCCTTTTTTCGTAAAAAGGAGATAATGGTTGACTGGAAAAAGGACTTGGCGTAAAAAATATAATTTTCTTTTTCCAAACTTTCGCCTTTCCGAAAAAAGCAAAAATTCCCGAGTCAGGTTCTGAAACAGTTTAAATTCATAGTTGAACTGCGATTTTGTCAAAAATGAAGCTGCAAAGCGGCTTTTCCGAAATTTCTTTGAAAAGTAAAAAATTTGCCAGGACAGAAAAAGCTGCATGCTGTTTGTTCGAATTTCAGAGTTGCATCGGTTTCTTGGTCTGCAAGATATTTAAGCCGGGGAAATGGAGAGGTTCTTGGCTGTGATTCAATTCTTGTTGAGAAGTTTGTGCCAGTTTCGGCCCTTTCGGCGGATTTCGCCGTCGATGTCGATTGGGGGCAAAGAGGCTTCAAATGATCCACTGCGACTCGCATCCTGATCTCTGGAACGTGGTTGCCACTATTCTAGGAGCTACTTCTGAAGCTGAAACAACCAAAGAAAAGTGCGCCGATCAGCTTCTCAATGGAGCACATTTCAAACTCAAAAAAGATGCGAGAAATGACCTCGATCGAGTCCTGGATCCTCCCGCTCGTCTGCGCCAGCCACTTGAAGGAAATAAACTGGCTGCATCCTCCCTGGGCCGATAACTTGAAGACGGCAGAAGAGAGCTTTCCGTCGGCTTTGCGGAAGGAAACATCGAAGAGGGAAAGACCAGGCTTGCCGTGAGCTGGTGGTGGGATAACTTCACTTCTGACGCGACCTACTGCGCCGAGGAGAATTGTCAATTTATTCAAAAATTTCAGATTTCCTTTTTTGATCTGATTTGGTCACGGTTGGAGCGTCTTTTTCTGCGGGTAGATGCAGATATTGTTGAAGAAAGTAAAGAAAGCCGATTTTTTAGGAAACTGCCCAAGAGTTTCGAAAGCGACGAGCGAAGAAACTCCACTGCTCTGAAGGCAACGATGGCTTGCTGATTTATAACGCCGGCAGGACCAGTCATGACGACCGACCCGCGCTGCCCGTGCACATTCCCACGGACCAGGAAATCGAGCAGATGATTAAGCGATTGGATGCGAATGTGCGAAGCGTGTTTGCTGATTTAGGCCTTCCAGCGGGAATTTGCCTCGCCAGGAGCACAAAGGATGGATTTTGCCCGGAAGTTTGAATTTATCCTTTTGCGAATTCAAATAGTGGAGTCTATTCAAAGTTCCGTGATAGCAGTTCTGAAAGAAATATTCAAAGAGTTCTCTCCTGCTTCTTAATTACTTATAAACGAAGTTTTCAAGACTGAATTTATGTTTCTGCAAATATAGGAATTTAATTCTCATTATGCTGGCGGCTTGCGTTTCGGAAACTCGTTTTATCGGCCGGTCTAGGGGGAGCTTGCTTTCCCATTCGCGTATTCGTCCAGCATTGCTCGTATCACGTCGAACACTTAGTTGCAGAAATCCTCCTCGTCGACGCCGATTGAGCGGTAGAACTCGGATTGCTCCATGAAATTTTGTGGCCAGACGCTGGTCATTTCTTGCTCTAGCTCTAGAAGGAATCGAGACCGTGCACTGCTTGGTTAAAGCTTCGATGGAAAATTTGCGTTATCCGCTGTTTCTATTTTCTCTCGCAAGTGAATGTTCAAGAAGTCCTTGAGAATATCTAAGTTGATTTTTTCGTAGAAGCGAATAATGTTATAGGCGACGTCGAAGGCTCTAGTGCCGAATTCTGAGTTGTCGTTGTCAACCAGCAGCAGTCTTTCCTCCATCGATGTGCCTTCTGAGGGATGAAAATTCTTCCGTCGTTGGCGTCGAGATTGTGCCCCACTGGACATAAATTTTGATCAATTTTTTCGGGATAAGTAGCTGTTTTGTAGTGCGATCTGATCGCTCTCGTGTTCCAGGGCCAGGCGTGCTAGCAGGTCTTGATGGGCCTTTGACTCTCTTCTTCGCTGATGATGTGCATTTAAGCAAAGCGCTTTGCTGCAGCGTGGAAGACGTCGATGTCGCTTAGTCGAATGTCGCTTGCAAATCCTGTTTTTGCTGCAGGAAAATCACATTGGGTACGTTTATACTGAGACCGGAGTCAGCTTAAAGATATCGTCTTCTCGAAAGTCGTTGCTCTTCCGCAGTCAAGACGGTTGGAACTGGAATGAGTTAATCTGGAGGATCGAGGCTTGAACAGTATTCAAGTTTTCTGGTCATCCATTTTGATTTCGAAAGACATTTCTTGATTTGTCTGGTTAGACTTTCCTTGTTGTTTTTGTTGTTCGAAATAAATCATTTTTACACTGATTTATGGTTCAGCCGGAGACATTGACTCAGGTCTTGAAAAAGAGCATAAGCTCGAAAGAAATCAAGGAGGAAATTTACCATCAAGAAGAAAGCGGAAGATCCGATTATGAAACGCCAATTTTTTCATTAATGATCAAAAAACGGAATTCGAAAAATGATTAAAAAGATAAAACCGTCTTTGATCGATTAAATTTTCCCCAGCGCAGTGCTGAAATTCGCGCGCTGATCCTTTTTCTAGCGATCAATTCTCGTCATTTGTGCCCCTTTCCCGTCATTAAATCGCCGCAGCGTATATAATCTTTGAATTAAGAAGCACTCGCCATGGATCCAGGTAAAAAAGAGCTTCTTAAGCGCGAGGGATCGCAAGAACTCATTCTAGAGAACTTGGATGGACAAGTTTGTCTTCGAGAGCCAGTTGTCAAGACCATGCTGGATCCGAGATTCGAGGTATGCGGAATTTTTTTTATAGTGGCCGGATTTTTGAACTTGTTTTGGGTTCCCGATCTCGATGAAGCCACTTTGCGGCTTGGATTTTAAAAGAGCCGCTACGCGGCTATTCTTCGAATTCCTTAAGCAACACAGATTCGCGAGCCCGGCTGGTCACCTCTTCAAAGTTGAAAATGTGATTTTAAGCAAGCAGATCGGCGAATCAGAGCGAAAATGCTGTTTGAGAAAACGACACTGATCAAGCCAGACGGCCGCTGCTTCGAGGAGCTCAAAAGAGAAGTCATCGAAGAAGGAAGAAAAATCATCGAAATGGAGATGAACCTGCTCAACATGAAAAGACTCAAGATCTCGGAAGCGGTCGGTCAGATTATGACTTTTTGCATCGACAATGAGCGTGAGTCTCTTTTATTTCGATGGAAAAAGTTTTTCCGAAAAACTGTGACGAAAATCTGACTTAGGGTTCTTAAACAACTTGATCCTGCCTCCAGTTCCCTGAGTCAGGTTTCTTCAGAAATAATTGATTTTTTATTCTTTTATTTTTTAGAAGAAGATCCGCTCATAAATCGAAGCCGCAACAGCTCAAATCCCTGGATGAGTAAGCTTTTTTTCTGTTCTCTCAATTCGAACAATTGTTCAGCCCGGCGAGAGAGATTTTCCGAATATCTTCAAGCGCTGATGATGTGCAAGAGCCAACCGGAAGACGCTGAAGGAAAAATTGAAAAAAGCGCGAATTTGAAGCTCCATTCCGAGGCGGTCGGGGTCGAGGGGCTAACCATTCATGACTTTATCATGGATCATAAAATGTTCATGGACCCGAAGTTTATCTTCAAATAGATTTGCCGTCTTTTCTTATCCTCTTTTACTAGACTTTGTTTTCTGTCGTTTTTCAATTTCAATTCGAAGAGCCCATTCCGTCGAAAAAGAGCGTGGAAACTCCAGCAATGTCCTTGCCAACTGTTTAAATTTTTTCATTTCTGAAATAAAAAATACTTGTTCCGAAAATAGTGCTAAAAAAGTTGAGTCAGAGTGTCAGTTGACGAGGGCTCAGGTTGTTTATTGTTTGTTCGAGTGAGGACTACAAAAGGAGAAAAAAGAGAATGAAAATGACAAACATCGGTAATTGTTATTTCTTAAACGAGGATTTTTTGTGGCGCAAGTTCATAGTCAAAGAATATCTTTTAATTTTAGATATTTTCGGGTCAGAAACCTGTGTCGTGAACCTGACTCTGGATCCGTTAATAAGCATCTTTCATTAAAGCTTTTATGTTTCAGAGCCCTGACTCAGGTTTTTTACACAGGTCTCCGACCCCTTTTGAAATCAAGGAAGAGACTTTCTCATGTGTTCAATTTCTAGCGCTTTCTTTTCCATTCCAAATCCTGGCCCGAGGAACCAGTCATCTTCAAACACCCACAAATGATCCTGCCAGCGAATCCTTTAACTCCCACGTCGACGGGATCCTCGACCAAAACCAATCGCGAGAGTTTCAAAAAATGACGCAGGAAGAAAAACTCTTCAGTTTGGAAGAAATCTTCAAGAAAATGGACGCCGATGAAAATGAGGAAGTTGACGAGGACGAGTTGCAGCAGTGGATGAGATATGTCGAAAACAGATTTGTGTTTGAGGACACGGATGCGAAGATGGAACAAATGGACTTGGACGAAGACGGGATGGTCTCGATGGAGGAGTTCAAGGAGGCAAAGTATAATCCAGGAATGATTTTATCGACTCTTTGTTGCTGAAAACGAGTGAAAAATGAAAAGCTCAATTTTTATCAAAATCAAAACAGAGCGATTTTACAAAGATCCCTCAATCAATGCAGCGACAGCTATGTACCAGAAAAAGAAGGATTTACGAAGATTCAACGCTGCTGACACGTACGTTGCTTTTTTAGCTGATTCGTAAGATTACTCTTCGGGAAAAAAGAATCATTCTTGTTGTTCGAAAATGAGGGTATTGATCATCGCCCTTTTGTTCAGAAACGAAGATCGCCATCTCTCCCGAAACGAGTTCGCCCATTATCTCCATCCTACGGGGCACATGGAGATGATGGAAGTGATCGCTTTGGAAACCTTGGAAGATCTTGATAAAAACAGCGATGGGTACATCGATCTTGCAGAATATCTTGGCGACATTGGAGCGAGATGGTTCTCTGACGAACCAGATCAAGAAGAAGAGACGATTCTTCCGATGGGCGACGACGAGTTCGACGAAGAACCAAATAGTTGGAAAGCGCCGGGAATCGACGATGATTGGATCGAAAATGAAAAGCGCATTTTCAACGAAGAAAGAGACATTGATGGCGACGGCTTTTTGAACATGGCCGAAGTGATGCTTTGGATAAATACGCCGGTAGAAATTCTCGAGGAGCCATAATTTGTAGCTTTAGGACTTAGGACTTCGATGTGATACAATCTGAGGCAGATTATCTGATCGCAACTGCCGACCGTGACGGATCTAGCACGCTTTCCAAACAAGAAGTTTTAAAAGGAACCGTATTTCTTCAATTTCATCTCGTCTCGTTCATCACTGATGAATCATCAGTTAGAGATGATAGTTAACCGCGGTTAACGACGGTTATGCTGCATAACTTATGCATGAGAAAGAATAAAATCGTGGTTAACAACCGTCAAACAGAAGAAAAACTGTAAACATCGGTTTATGAGAGTGAAAATTAACCGTGGTTAACCGCGGTTTATATAAAATGCAGCCGTTAAATCGCGGTGAGCCGCGGTTTTCTGATAAAAGGATATAATTTTGGTAAACAAGGAATAAATTAAAGATATTTCATAACGCTGAGAACAATGAAAAACCACGGTAAACCGCGGTTAACCTGAGTTTTTTTGAAGAAAAACGGACAAAAGCTTATGATGCCTTCATTGAATCGCCAGCTACTCACTGGGGAAGCTCCCTTCTTCATCATGATTCATGACGAGCTCTAGAATCATTTTCAAACGGCTGCTCCTGGATCGCGCGGAATCCTGGATCGCGCGGATCCCGGATCGCGCGAATTCCCTGATCACGCGGATCGGGTGATTCAGGATTCCGCGCGATCCAGGATTTCGAAAAAAATCAGAAATTCAATTTACAATTTTGCTTTTCTTATAAAAAATGGCCAGTACTGGTATTAAACCATTATTATCTTTTCAATTCAGAAGTTTAAAAATATCAAATAAAATGAACCTTCGACGAAATCTTCACTCGACTATTTTTGGTTGTTTGATTTCCGGGACCTACTACGCAGGGATTAGCAGCGCTCAAGTTCTATTTAAGGGACAGACAGTTATTTGAGAAATGTTTTGAAAAAATCAACAGAATGAAATGAAGGTAATCGTTATAATGATAAATAGCTTATTTAAAATACGAGTACCTCTCAAATTTTATTCTTATCTGTCACTGCAAAAATCCGGGACTGTCACCTCCAAATAGAACTTGAGCGCTGCTAATCCCGGCGTAGTAGGTCCCGGAAATCAAACAACCAAAAATAGTTGAGTGAAGATTTCGTCGAAGGTTCATATTATTTGATATTTTTAAACTTCTGAATTGAAAAGATAATAATGGTTTAATACCAGTACTGGCCATTTTTTATAAGAAAAGCAAAATTGTAAATTGAATTTCTGATTTTTTTCGAAATCCTGGATCGCGCGGAATCCTGAATCACCCGATCCGCGTGATCAAGGAATTCGCGCGATCCGGGATCCGCGCGATCCAGGAGCAGCCTTTTTAAACTCTTCTTTATTTCAACAATCGTGCCATTAAAATTCTTCAAAATAAACAAGCGTAGTTTTTAAAATGTTTGTTTTTTTAATCTTGTTCGAAAATTTATTAATTCATTTATAAATCAGCTTACGTTGATGGTACTTTTGACAGCGGAGAATTGACAAGACGCCGCGAAATCTGTCAAAACTGTCGATCAGAAAATGAAAAATTGAAAATGTCAACTCGAGTTTACATCCAGTAATGATGACAGTACACATCCGCTGGCCTGGGTAAAATCGCTGCGAGGAGATTTTTGTTTATATTTTTTTTATTAATTATTTAAGGCTCGTGAATGCAGTGAACAGTTTCGAAAAAGAAGTGAGGATCAGGAAGCACCAAGGTCATTTTTAAATTAATTTCTTTGTTTGAAGAGTGGTCGAGTTGAAGGTGAAGATGAAGGTGGTGGCGTGTTTTTTTACTCGCTTATTTCAATGTGGAAGAAAAGAGTGGCTGGGTAGAGACTGCCGCCTTCTTTGTCGAAAAGCGGGATTCGTCGGTAGCCGGGCACGATGCTGTCTATTGGAAGGTACGAATTTGCCAGTTTGTCGTCCTAAGTTTGGGTTAGAAGAGGAACTCTAGAGATGTCTCACCTTTGTTCCGACATCTTTGTCCTAGACCAGAATTTCAAGCATCGATAGCTCGGGGAACCAAGTTGTCAAGGTGAATTCTTCATTCCAGCAAGGACTTAAAAATCGTCAAAAGGGAACGATGGATTCGGTATCACCTGAAGCCGTTGTTGTCGATGAATTTGGTCGTCCTTGAGTTCTTCGGATTGTCGTCGACTGGAGGACCAACTACGCGGATTTTAACGTAAGGATAGACCACCTCTCCTTTGTTGGACTGCTTCGGCTTTGGCAACTGGCAGCCTGAGATGATCTTGAAGACGGATTTAGAGGGAATTTGACAGAATAAACGACCTTGATTTTGTATGAAAAGGGCTGGGAGCGGGGGAAAGTTGAGTTATCGTTGATGTCAAAATTATTGTTGTGGAGAGCATCTTCTCGCAAGAACTCGGGCTTGAGGACGTAGCCGGCGCCCTGGTTTTGTTTGAAGCGAGCTTTGTTGATCAGCATTTCTTCACAGGCAGTTTGGTAGTTCAGCGCCACTTGAGTAGCCGTAATTGGGAATCAAGGAAGAGAACGCTTACCGATTTGGCATCCGTAAACCCAGACAGGGATCGGATTGTAATTTGAAGAGTCTATTTTCTTTTTGTTGGGGTAAATTCGGATCAGCTGTCGGGAAGTGTGGTTCAGAAGTACTTTCTAGAAGAGCAGGGATGGAGAAAAAGAGTGAAAAAGTGGCTTACTGATTGGTTCTTTGCATAGGAAGAGCAGACTTTGTCGTCGATGGAACTGATGTGGCGGTAGTCCGAGTTTTGCTGGGCATCGTCGAGGTCTTTTAAATGACGGGATTGAGTGTAGATCACCAAGTCTGATAGATCTTTATGCAGCTTGATCTTTTTCTACAGAAAATTAGTTCAGAAAACGCCAAAACAGATAGAAACCAAAAACACACAAACACAAACGCGCGCAATATTGAAAAAAAACAAGAAAACGGTACTGTAAATTTACGACATTTACAAAATAAAAAGTCAGTCCCGCTTTTCGCGAGCGCCCCTGAAAACGAGAGCTTCGGAAGCGAAAGCTACTCGTTTTTGAAGAAGGGCGCAATTCGGGCGATGAAAACAAGGAAGAGATTTCCTCGTCTGTCGAAGTCGACTGAAAAGAGACTGATTCTAGAGCCGAAGAATAAGGGGTTAAAAATGTTGCTTACAGGGGCGGTAATGGATTTACTAGTGGCGAGAAGCAACAAACTCGTCTTTCTAACCTGGTCCTTGAACTAAATCAAACTTTACTTTTCTTGCGGTTAATAAGTGATTCTTCCCGAAACCATTCCTCAGGGAAAAAACAAACAGTGACGTTCGAAAAAAGCAAAATTCAAAAAACTCTCTTTGTGTAATTATCGATATGTGCTTCCTTTGTTAGTTCAGAAAAAAGTGAGACAAATTCAAAGTGCAAGAATGGCAAATATTTTTAACCTTGGAGCTTTTTAAGCTCACTCTTCGGGAAGAAGAGTGTTTTCGCCGATTTTTACGGTTTTTACGAAAGCCAAAGCTTTGTAAAATCCCAACGCGGATGGCTTTTCTTCTGAAGTACCACTGTACTTTAGTTAGTGTTGTTGAATCATTCGGGGAATGACTTTTGTTGATTCGAAATTATAAAAAAAAACAGGTCGGGCCTAAAGTTAAACTTACGGTCTTTTTCTGTTTCTTTTGGTTTCCAGCTTCTTCTGCTGCTGGAACACTTCCATTTCCAACTGGGCTGTCTCGATCCTTCCCTTGTGCGTATTCTTCTCCCTCGTCTTCTTCTGAAACTTCATCGTCGACGACGAAATCGTCATTCTCCGCCTTGTTCCTCGTCGAATCTCCCGCTGCTTCCTTCAATTTCTTTCCCTTGATCCAGATTTTTCCCTTCATCGCCTCGGGAGATGGAAGACAATCTTCATCAGGATCGACTGGAGCTCGAAGCAGAAGGTCTCCAAGGATTTCGACCATGTATTTGGCCATCTTTTGCCGCTGGGGAATGTGGCAGTGGTTTTCGAGCGAAAGGCAGACTGGATACTCCGATTTTTTGAAGGCGTATTGGCGGACAGTTGTGATCACATCCTGGTTAAATACTTTTAGATAAGATCACAGAGAGATATTACCTTGAAGCTTATTTTCGAGGTCCTGGTCCAACCGTGGTAAATAATCGGCTGTCCATTAGCTCCGTCCCAGCAGTCAAGTTCGACGCAGCGGCAACCTTTTAACAGGGCACTTTTGTACGCTTCTGTGCTGCTCGGCCCTGTCAGCTGGTCGTCCAATAGATACGTATTGTGACTGGAAGCGATCCAGTAGTCCGTCATCGGTCGGCTCATGTCCTGCATCTTTTCGTAAGACGAATCGTCGATCACTTTTGCCGAACGAATGTACATGGCGAATCCGTAGAGAACGATTTCAAAGTTTGGGTCTTCAAGATAACTCTCCGTCGCTAGAATTGATACTGGAGCTTCAGTAGAAAAGAAAAACTTACCTGTCGGTTCAAAAACGCGGACCATTTCCTTGAGTTTCTCATCCGTCAAATTTTTGTAAAACTGGTATTTCTCCAAAAACTCCCGGAACTCGCAGAGTTGGAGCGTTTGGTCTTCGCCGGCGATTTGGTAGTAGAGATTTGGTTGATGTTTACCGACATCCCAGGAGCGGAAGAGGAAATGTCGGTTCAAGTTGGATCGTTCGATTGTGTCCATGTCTCTAACGATTAAATTTCCATTTTGTACTCTTCAAGACCCTTGGCGTGAGTCTGAGCCTGTTGCTTTTCGCCTTTGATGCTCTCGACGGCCTCTGTGAGCATTTTCAGATGCTGCTCTGTCTGCTTTGCTGAGGTGATCTTCTCTGCGAGGACGATCTCGAGGACGTTGCATCGCTCCTTCAAGTCGAACTTTTTGACTCCTTTGACGATGATTTTTCCTTCAGAAGTCAGTTTGACTCGACTATAGATACAATTTACGCGACGTAATCACCAATAAGCATTACCTTGAAAGGCCAGCATCTTCATCTTCCTCGGGGACTTTCTCAACAGGAGATTTTGTCGCCTTGACTGGTCCTCTTGCAGTTCCAGCGCGCGCTCCGACTCTAGAAGATGTAGCCGCGGTGAGGGTTTTTGTCGTCAGCGTAAAGTGCGGGAATGGGAAGGTGAAGAGTCTTCTCTAAAAATTGAAAATTGCGTCTTTCTCTTTCACTCTGTTCCAGTTTTTGGGATAATCAATTTGATTTTCGCGCGCGCCAAACAGAGCAAAAAGAGCGCACCAAATTTTCTTCTTATGAAGAAGATATGAAAATTTGACAAAAATGGAGGTGAAAAGATAAGTTTGCTTGGAAAAAAAACATGAAAATCCAATTAAAAAAGCCGTTCAAAAGTAAAAACGAAGATTAGCTATGCATTATATAGCCTTCTCGCGGGGCTTCAAGAGCGAACAAGGGATAACACGGAGAAAGGCAGGCGAGCAAAGGTGCGCCGTTGAAGCCAAGGAGGGCGAACAAGGGGGCGTAGAAAGCAAAAGAAGGAAAGCGACCAACGGATCTTGGTAACAAAAAGCGAGTGACCAAGGGAGGTCTTGTTGGAGTTTAACTCAGCGAGCAAGGGAAAATGTTCACAAAATGTGGGCAAGCAAGGGGTTGGGGTACGTTAGGTGCAGTTATATAAGGTCACTAATGGTGACGCCATCTACCACAGTCCACCCAATTTCTCTTGGAGCTGGCTCGTTTTCTCGCTAAAAACGGCGATTAACTTAGTTGGCAGAGAAAAGATTGAAAAATTTTGAATTGCCTGGTAAAAATACTACAATTTCTTCAAGATAAAAATTTACCTGATCATCAGTCGAAGCATTCCGCTTCTTAGCAGTCGAGGATTGAGCTTCATCTTGGAAACGAACTCGTCGGGCACTTTTTTCAGGATCATGTCGAGGTCTTCCTGCAGCTTGGAGCTCACGTTTGCGAAGTATAGAAGGCGGAACTGAATAATAATTATTGGTTTTCATTCAAAGTTATCATATTAAGGGGGAGGTGGTCGAAAAATTTTTTATCGACTAACTAAGAATGAGGAAAGAAAGAGAATAAAAAACTATACAAGGTTCTAAATTTTCAGAAATTTTCATCAACTTTGAAAATCTACAACCCTTATTCGAAAAGGCGCGCGAGCCAGCTCGGCCTGGTCCCTTAAGCCTATTTCCGAACCCTACCCCTAACACAGGGTAGCCGTAAGGTAACCTTAGGGTAGCCAATCGATAAATAGCCCTTCAGTTTCTTCCGTTTTTCGAAACTCAAAATCACTTCGGTAAGAGACCTAATTCTTTGACCCCTGTTCCATAGATGGTGCACCCTGGCCGGCTAAGGTTCATTAAAGAAGGGGCGACAGATTCATTCATGATTTACGGCCGAATTTCGATCGTAAGCCCCTTTGATATCTCTATTTTTAACCTTAATACTAGACTTTTACTGTACCTGTTGTTGTTGTGAGTTGGCCAATTGCTGAAGAAGGAGCTGTTGCTAGAGGAGTTGGATTTGCTGGACGCTGAGTTGCGGCAGCTGGAGACTTTGGGGAATAGCTCGTGCGAGATTGGCGGCTTGCTGCAAGTTGTGCGCGTTCATGATTTGGCTCTGCTGCTGGAAGGGTTAAATGGTTAACAACATAAATATGAGTAAATATGCATTTTTGTTAATGTGTCGATTTTCATGTCAATAAAAAAATTTTTCAATATGGAAAAATTACCGAGTTAAAAATTTCGTTCAATAGCTAAACTCAACCATTTTCGAAAAAAATTTTAAACCGAAGTCGAATTCCTTGATCAAAAATAGTTCCATAAGTTCATATTTTTCTTAGATGAATTTAAAAAACTTTTCGCAGCCAAAATCCTGACTTTGCCTGTTTATAGATTCAGCTGAAAGCCCGTAAAATTATGAGGCGACTCCAAAACCGTCACACGATGACGTCATCAATAACGCTAGAAGTTGGCAAAAATGACCATTTCGGGAAAATTTTGAGTCAATTTTTTGGGGTGTAGGGCGGCCACGTTCTGCACTCAAAAAATATATGCGCTTCGCGCCTGTCTTAAAGGAAATCTCAGAATTTTTTAAGTCAGGAGTTATTCTTTAAGGACCCCCCCCCCCGTCATGTTTGACGATTTTCGGAAATCGATTCTTTGAGTTCTGAGGATCATTTTTCTCTATTGTCGTAAAATTCTATTTCGACTCCTTGACCCTCAAAATCGACTTTGAAAAGCTTGATTTTCGGGCTTTTTTAGCTAAATTTGCCCATTTTTCGGTCGATCACCAATCTTCAAACCCTTTTTTCTTAGTGAAACCCTTAACATATCACCATACACTTGATGCGGTGCTCTCGACAAGGGTCTCAGCTAAATTTTCAACATAAAAAAATTTTGATCAGTTAAGGTCATCATAATGATATCCATGTTTGAAAAATATTTTCACTTTAACTTATCGTTGCGACACCCTTAAGAGGCCTATGAGCTTGTTTTCCTTCTGATGCCCTAAAGCAACTATCGAGCTACAGAATAATCAAAAAATATTTCAAAAATCAATCCGATATCCGTGTTTGAAAAAGTCATTATCACATGACGGAGGCGTCCTTAACTTCTCAATACACGGGCGGGCGACTAAGCGCTCAAAACACGAGGTCGGGAAAACTGACCACCAAGCATTATTCAGCCCCGCGCGGCGCGCCAAATTCGGAGTGTGAAAAACAGCGCCGACTATTTTGATCTCTCATTCATATTTCCGTCGAGATAATAAGTTTAAAACTATACTGTTAGAAAGCCCGAACACTCAGCTATTTACTCATGTTATTATCAAGGAGAAAAAACCTTTCAATTTTTCAATAATGAGCTTGAAAGAGGTCGTGTGCAAAGCGCCATCCCTCTTGACAATCTTCACGAAACTTCGCAGAGTGGTTCGGTTTGTTCATATAAGTGCACATTGCAAAAATTAGCTCAAACGGATTACAACCTTTGGAGTAATTGAGGGCCAAAGTCGCCGTGGTCGGTAAAACGTGTATTAAGAAGTTAAGCTTAGCTGAAAGCGTTAAAACTGATATGAATCAAGTAACATCGTAAAAAAAAATTCTCATGCAGAACGCCATTCTGCATTTGCAGAACGCCGTTCTGTTTTTGCAGAACGCCGTTCTGGCAGAACGTGGCCGCCCGTCACCCGTTTTTTGGGCTTTATTGACGGAATTTTCTCATGTTCTATAGCTCAAATTGATCCATATGAAAAATTCTACTAAGGTTTTTGATTAGTTTTCATTTCCTCGAAATTTTTTTTTTCGGAAAATTCTAGAGCCAAATTCTTCGATTTTTTTCCTTATCCGTAAAAACCTTTGTATAGTTTTTAATAAGCTTTCATTTGCGCTATCAAACACCGAAAAATTCAAGCAGGAACACTGTTAAAATAGGACTCAAAGTTTGGTTTTTTTGGAATTTCTGACGTCATTTGTGACGTTATTCTTTGGAAAATTTCGAAAACGACTTGGTCGAATCTACCCAAAATTTGACGGGCTTTCTGTAGGGCTGAAAATCTGACAATGTCAGAATTTTGCGAAAAACCTGAAAATGGCAACATGGGCAACAAGGGCATCTGAAAAAAACAGCTTCAAGTCTCCAAAACCTGAAAATGGCAAGTTGGCTGAAAATGGCTGAAAACATGTTTGTTGCACTTGTTGCCTTTGTTGCCATTTTCAGGTTTTACCGAATTTCGCCTGCAAAAAGTTTTTTAAAATCATCTTGCGTCAACTAAAAGTTGAGTTACCTATAACTTAGGCTATAAGTTATAAGTAGGGCCGACGAGCAAAAATTCAACCCCAAGAACCCTTTGTGTTAAAGCCTTGAAATTTTGGGACAATATGTATTTGGGCTCAACTAAAAAAATTGTTATTGAAAATTTTTTGGTCTGACCACGTGATGACGGGTTACAGACCCTCGAAAAGCTAGAAAAGCTTGCCGAGCTTGATCCCCTTCTGGCATCATCTTTTCGTTAGGCCAAAAAGAAAGGTCTTGGTTTGTTCTAGTGGGTTAGTCAAAAAAATTCTTGGTGCCGTCTTTACAGGACACGCTAGAAGCTATATAAGGACTCAAAACTCGCTAAAATTGAGGTAAAAATCAAGGTCTCACGGGTTACTCAGGCCAATATACATTGCAAAAAGGGCCATTTTGGACGCTTCACTTCCCGCTAGCGAGTCATGTGATCTCACCACCAAAAATGTTTTGGATTCTTTAGGAAGAACTTTTTGTGCTCTTTCATGTGAGCTACATTATGATCACCTACGGTCAGGGGATCGACGTTGGCAAGCTTTTGTAGCTTTTCGAGGGTCCGTATCAGGTGATCACGTGGTCATACCAAAAAAATTTTAATTTAAAATTTTTAAGATGGGCCAAAATACATATAGTCCCTTATATAACTTAAAAGTTATAACTAAATTTTACATAACTGATGAGCCATTTAAGGGCCTTGTTATAATTAATTGGTCGCTTTGCGTTTCGGCGTTAACAGAACCGACATGATAAGATCTTTTCAAGTTTCCTTTAGCAAAGTTTTCTTCCTTGATTTCAGAGTATATTCTTTTGAAAACAAATCAATCTATTTTTAAAATTTGAAAAATTCCATTCTCGGAAAAATGTAAAACTTAATGCTTTCAAAAACAAAAACTTCATTCAAAATATAATATTTACCTTGGGAATGTGAATCATCTTCTGATTCTTCATAGCCCAGAGTCGCAGCATCCGAAGCAAATCCAGCGTCCATTGACTCTTCTTCTTGAGGAGCAGGAGTGTTGTCTTCTTCAGCGGCTGGGCTAAAATTTCTGAGTTAAATTAATGGATCACACCCCGTTTTGGCCATCTTTGACTGGAAATTCAGCCGATTTGCGTTCATGAAACCAGACGTACAAAAGCACTTCTAAAAGCTCAAGTACTATCCGCTATTCTCTTGCTCAGAGCAATCATTTGCTCAGGGCAAATCAACTGAGTGGTCGTCATTTGCCCAAGTCGTTATCTGCCCAGGTCGTCATCTGCCCAACTTGAGCAAATGACGATCTTGGGTGAAAGACGATCTGTAATTGAATTTTTATTTGAAAAAAGCTTTTCTGTGTTTCACAGGAACGGACTTATCACTGTCCAAGTCCGGAAGTCCGGTCGATATATTTAATAGCAAAGACTTACTCGACTTGCCTCGATTTTCTTAAAAAATATCCTGATATTCAGAGTATTATACTCTCCCATACTTGGAACTAGCTTCCGGAGGAGATTCATAACTTTTCTCTACTTTTCAAAAGTTATTACTCAAGTTCAAATGTGAACCGAGACCAGTGTTTGAAAAAATGATGAGCGCGAGCCGCGAGCGAGCGTAAGCGAGCTAGGGTGTAGGGCGGCCACGTTCTGCAGCAGTACGGCGTTCTGCACTCAAAAAATATATTCGCTTCGCGCCTGTCTTGAAGGAAATCTCAGAATTTCTTAAGTCAGGAGTTACTCTTTAAGCTTCGCTGGATGCTGATAAGAATCAAGTTACATCGTAAAAAAAATCCCTATGCAGAACGCCATTCTGCATTTGCAGAACGCCGTTCTGTATTTGCAGAACGCCGTTCTGGCCGCCCGTCACCCGCGAGCGAGCAAGCGCTCATTCTCACTCACTCACGTAAAATTTCAAGGCCACTGCTCGCGCTCACTCGCTCAACTTAAAATTGCGAGATCTCTGCTCGCGCTCACTCGCGCTCGCTCAAGACCTATTTTTGTAAAAATAACGTCCGATTTGCGAAATCTCAAATTGCGAAAGTCAAAATTTTTTATATTTTTTGTTCTTTTTGGTTTTTTTGAACAACGAGGAGAAAACTTTATGTTGAAAATTTTTTTGCTGCTATAGAAAATTTAGGTAATAGGGCCTTACATTTATCCTGTAAAAAAATTAAGGGTATACCTCAACTAAAAACCCCCAAAAAACCTGCACTTAGCAACCTTACCTTTAAGGGCCTGTATATCCTTAAACAGTTCATCGAGAGGTCATCATAAGGGGAACGGTTGCAGTCGAGGGTTAAATCTGAAGGTTGCAATTCAAATTAAGGGCCTACCTAAGATAGTCTCTGAGAAAACCTTTCACTAAAGAGCCCCATTTTCACGATTCTTGATGGGGGGGTCCTTAAGGGCACTACCGTCGATTCCCCAAGTTGAGCCTTGAATAACTCAGGACTTAGTTATCTAGGCGGTCCCTTTATCGGCGTATTGAATAGATCAATCCTAGATCTTAACCTTAACAGAGAGGTTTCTCAATTGATTAACAAAAAACAGCTAAGTTTCGGCTTGAAGTCAATATCTTTGCCAAAATGGCCTAAATAAAGGCTTGAATAACTCAAAAATAAGCCTTATAACGAAATCTCATTTTATTTTTACTCATTATTTGAACATTGATATTTAAAGTGATAGAAGGATTTTTTTATTGAGAGAAGAAAAAAAGAAAAATTGTCCTGTGATGTCTTTTGAACGGCTATTTACCGTGGATTCTTGACAAGACCACCACAATTTTCTAATATTGTTTTTCAATAGTTGTATCCGATTTTCGAAAATTCTTGAGCATAAACACATAAATAAGAGACGAAATGAAAAATTCAGTATCGTGGACTCTACGGAAGCTTTCCGAATTATGACATCGTTTACATTGATAACGAAGAGCCTTCGTAATGGATGGTCTTATTATGAGAGTCGCTAAATTCTCAATCAAGGTCGTAATAAACTATTCCCGGAAGAGTTAATCAAGAAGAAAAAAGGCTCCGGTTTACTGAGACTGGATCGTAATTCGGATGTCAGAAGATTGTGCATGTGTTTGTAAATCAAGCATGAGTACTCCTCTTCGCTGGGAGGAGGTTTTGGGAAGAGTTTCATCAGTTTTCCCCTTTTCCTCACTACTCACAATGATTGTTTTACCTCAGTTTCAATCAGAAATAACTCCAAAAATAGAACGAACCGAAAATGAATCACAAGAAACAGTTATATGGGAAACCATCAATTCAACCAAGTTGGGGATTAGCGCTTGTGAGGACTCGGCGCTTCTATTGTTTCCTCAATCTATAGGCCTCGGACATAAAACTAGCGATTTTACTTTACCACTTCAAAGCTATCCTATCGTGCTGGTATTGATTTCATAATTCAAGATGAGAAATTTCCCGATTTTAGTAATTATAAACGGAAATCAAAGTCTCCTTTGCGCTCATAAATTTCTGAAACCTTGAATTAGTCGGTTACACGACGTTTTCAGCATACCGACGTTTTCAGCAAACCGACGAATTCAGCAGCGCTGAATGAAAACGTCGTGTGACCGAATTAATCTCTTTAAATTGAATTATGATTATATTTTCAATTCGATCGCCGTCTGCCCAAGATCGCCGTTTGCCTAAGATCTCCGTCTGCCCAAGTTGGTTTCTTACCTGTTACAGAGAGGGTGTTCCCTATTGAAATGGTCGAAAATATCTGATTTTCGACCTGGTTCGATCGCTCCTCGTGGTATCGGCTCGTCAGGGCGGCCCGGCTTCCACTGACAAATCATGCAGCGTCTCCAGGGATTATGAGTGTTGTACACTCGTCTTAGCCAGGAAGCTAATTCCTCCTGGGACCAGGGATGTACATTCGCAGTGGGGAAATCGCAGAAACCTTCGCAGTGCGACCTGCGAACTGCGGAATTTCGCACTTCGCAGCGCAGTCAAGCCCCTTAAACTTAAAAATCATGGAACGGGGCTGGACGGCCCGAAGGCTTGCTCAGCATAAAAGAATGGTCAGCTCAGCTCAGCTCAAAAATTTTCAAATATGCTCAGCTCAATTTTTTTAATCCAGCTGAGTTGAGAAAGCTGTTTTTATAAGGGGCCAGCTCAGCTCAATTTCGACCTCAGATCAGCTTGCTCAGCTCAGAAAAAATTTTCAAAAATGCAACTCTGCCCGTCAGAATAATGACCACTCTTTTCACTCGGATCGCATTTTGCAGAAAATTTCGCATTTTTTCACAAAAAAATCGCAGAATTAAGCGCAGTTTCCGCTTATTTTCCGCAGTTTCGCAGAAAATCGCAGAATTTAACGCATTTTTCAATTTTTTCCGAAGATCGCAGGAAATCGCAGTCTGCGCCGCACTGCGAAGAGAAAATTTTAAATCTCGCAGTTCGCACCGCAGAAAATCGTCAAAAAATCGCAGTTTGCAACGCACCGCAGTTGAAAATTTTAGAAAATGTACATCCCTGCCTGGGACGAGAAGGTCATTTTGACTCTAAATATACAAGAAAAACGATATATTTTCGAAAATTGATATATTTAAGAAGGGGGTCGACGAGAATCGGGATTTCCGATTCCATTTTCGCGAAGATGCACCAAAAATGGTCAATTTTTTACAATTTTGTTCATTTCGACCCCTAAATCTAATTAAATTAGACTAATTTTTATCAAATGATTTTATGCTCAACAGATTCGGGAGAATCAGTAGATTCCAAAAATATAAGATTCATATCCTGACTATGTGTATAAGCGAAATAACGATCATCCGTGGAAAAGTTCTCGTCGACCCCCCATAAATAAAACGGAAAACATATTTTGTGCGGCGATTTTACAGATAAATAAATTGACTAGTACAGTCATAGTTTAGAAGGCGACGCGGCGGCGAACGAGTTTGGCAAGAGATCTTTTGGGTTGGGGCAGGTATAAATACACGGCGCAGATTACCAGCGCCGCGCCTGAAACAAACGAACTCTGTCGATTCAGTTCAGCACATTTTCAAAAGATGGATTCATTAAGACGAGAAGCCGTGTCGTTGCGGCTTTGGAAAACAAATTATGAAACTGTATTGAACCGTGCCTGTATTTGGAAGCCGAAGAAGATGACGGAAAGGATGGTGGAGACGATGATGGCGATGCTGGATGTAGGGTCCGGCACGATCGGAGGACCCAAGTTTTCGAAAGGCCAAAAAGTATAAGCGCCCTAAAAATCGAAATGCTTCTAGGGTTTTTGAATTGAAATTTTTAAAAGCCTAAAAAGGGTTGAAAAGAGGAGTTTTAGGTAGAATTAAAGGCCGGAAATGAGTTCCGAGACCTCATTTTAGCCACAGTTGAAGTTTTCTGAAAAATAATTTTTCTGTCCTAATCGTGTCGGACCCTAGCTGGATGCGAAGCCCTTGAAAATGTTGTCCGCGTACTTGATGACGACAGCGATCAACAGGCCCCCAAAAGCCTGGTTGAAGACCACTGCCAGGGCGATGCCGTTGAAGCCAAAGAAGATTCCCTGAAACAGTTTTAGCACGAGAAAGAAAAACCGAGAAAGATGAATTCGGCTTTTTAAAATCTCAACTTTTCTCAAAAGAAGAGTCGCTTACTTTTTGGCAATTTGTTCTCCGTTTTTGGCGATCATTCCAATTCCGGCGCGAACGGCGGCAAAGAGGCCGAGCTGTATGTTCCTCAGCCAAATGGAGACTTGTCCTGTCTTGAGGATTTTCTCAAAAGACGCCGGCGAAGCCAGAAAAGAGGCAGGAAATGAGGACTGCGGAGAAGCTGTTTCTTCAGCAGGGCGACGGAGAAAAAGCAGTCGTCAGGATTTTCAGCTGGTAGGAAACTGAAAACATCGATTTGACTTTTTCCTTATTGATTTAAAAACGGGTGACACTATTTATAAGGATCAAGGAAACGCTCGCGGAGCCAGTTGGGCTCGGCAACCTTAGTGGAAAATCTGAGTCAGGGTTCTAAAACAGTAAAATAAAAAGCCGCGTAGCGGCTTTATTTAAAAACGAAGCCGCAAAGCGTCTTCGCTAGTGAAAGTAAATCATTTACTTAATAAGTTGGTAACTTTGGCGAAGCCGCTTTGCGGCTTTTTATTAAATAAAGCCGCTAAGCGGCTTTTCATTTACTGTTTTAGAACTCTGACTCAGGTTTTCTACTCAGGTTGTCGAGCCCAGCCAGTCAGTCAGCAATGAACTTGCTCAAACAAAAGCCCAGAAATCAAGTAGTTTAAAAATGAGTACCTTGAAAAGTAACTGCTGGAAGATTGGAAACCGCCAGATAAAGCAAGTTGTTCTGGACGGTGTAGATGAAGCTGGGAACGGCGACTTTGAGCGTGTCCCAGGGCCGGTTGATGATCTCGCTGCTGATCTCGCCGTAGAAAGAGAGCACATTGCACTGGAACGGTTTGAAGGCTGGAAAGGTACCTTGTGGCTGCCGACGAGGAAATCAAAGAAGAAGCGACGATTTTCAAGATTTCGCAAAAGAACACTGCTGCGGTATTGAAGAACTTGTCTCCCTAAAAACTTTGCTTAGGAGTTGTTTTTAAATAAAGAATCACCTCGTCTGTTCGTGCTTTGCGCATTGCGAGCACCAGGGAGGCATTTTGAGCGACTAGAAGGACGAGGGCGAGCGTCTTGACCCATTCCACCCCGCTCGAGTCTGAAAACAAAATTCTCGTTTTTTGAAAAAAAAGCTTGCGGCGATTATCAGGTTTTAAAAGCGTAAAAAATAAAAAATCTTTTTTACAGTACAAATTTTGAGGGATGAGAGTACAAAATAAGCTAGCGCGCGAGAAAAAAATATAACTGACTTCTTTATTTTCTCTAATTTTCGCATTGTTCTCTTTTTTATTTTTTTGATTTCTTTTTGAATCTTGTAATCCCTCATTTGATTCGCCAATGAATGAGGCGACGAATCACCAAAATCAGCGATTCTTTTCGCGAAAAACTGATTTCTATAGATAAGCGAAAAGGAGTAAATGAAAGCGTTATGTTCAGGCTTATTTTTTGATACAAAAAATGATTCATAGAAGCAAAGTTACGCGAAGAATTATTATTATTTAATATTTGATGTTGATTATAGTTCCCACGGAAGATTTTTTAGAATTCATAGTTACTAAATTACTTGAGTTCTCTGTCCTCATCATTTTGTAATTCATTTTCCTCTGGAATTCCCGACTCTGGCTTGTCCTTTTTATTATCTGCAAGTTGCAGTGCAACTTTATCATTTGCCTTCTTATCAGCTGCAGTTCCCTTTGGAGCAATTTTTAATCCACTTAGTAAGTTTTCCGGTCTTTTTCAGTCTCTTACTTATTTAATTTTTATTCAATAAAAATTTTCATGCCTCAGCGCATCAAAAGCAAAGAATTTGTCATTTTTTCGTTGTTTAGCAGATGTTGCAGAATGGGAAACAGTGAGAAACAAGAGTGTCTTTGTGCGATAAGTGGTAGTGTAAAATAAATGTTTCTAAAATGGATTTGTCAGGTTGGATTAAGGCGAGTGAGTTGAATTCGTTGAACTAGTAAACTGTGATTGACGCAAATAGTGTCTCCGTGTCGGGCGAGGACATCGTCGGATACTAGAGCCTTTTCATGGTTAAAAAGATATTTCAGAAATTTTCAGCTACAGTTAAGTCCTGAACAGCAAGATCAAACTGTAGGGTCGTAATTGCTTTATCAGTAAATCGTCTCCAAATGCTAAGAAGCTCGATTGCTTTGATAGTCTGTCCTTGAACCTCTCTTTCGATCACAACACTGAGCGTTCTTGTGCTCTTCTTGCTGGGCACGCGCGTGGGCGGAAATTCCAGTGGTCTGAAATGCAATTTTTAGGTTTTGAAATCAAGGAAGACTTTCTTACCAAATGGAGATATCGATTGCGCCAGTTTTTGGATCCATGATGGACTGCTTCAGTGCCTCTCGGTAGAGCCGAACAGCTTCTTATACGTCCATTTTGTCGACGACATCAGAAAGTCAAACCTTCGCATGGGCCTCGGAAAGTCGAATGAGTGATTCTAGTTGACGCGGGTAAGCGCAAATTGCTTTTCTATTCGCTCCGACTTGTCGCATTTTGATGTAAGAATTGACAAGCTCTGTTTTTGCCTCTACATTCAGCACTGGTTTGACCATGGCTCGGGCGTAACCGAGGTAGTCTCTCAGCAACTTTTGGTCGAGATGTTGTTGATCATCGTTCATCACATCTTTTCTGTCGGTATGATACAGTGAGAACAAATGTGCGGCGAGTTTTCGATCGTAAGCTTCGTCCTTTGGATCGAGCACCAAAAAGATTAGATCGAAACGCGACATGAGCGTGTGCGGCAATTGGATGTCTTCCACGATTGTTTTGTTTGCGTTCCAAGCTGATTCGACGGGATTGGCAGCGGCGAGGACAGATGTACGAGCGTTGAGGCGACAAATGATGCCTGCTTTGGCGACGGATAAAGTGCAGAATTCCATTACTTCGTGGAGGACGGAGCGAGTAGACTCAGTCATCTTGTCAAACTCGTCAATGCAGCAGATACCGTTGTCGGAAAGAACAAGGGCTCCAGGGCCTGGAGTCCAGGCTATTAAAGGGATATTCGTCTCGGGATCGTTTTTGGCAGTCGCAGGGTTTCTCACTGAAGTACTTTTGTCACTGATTGTTGAGATCTGGGTCAGATTCTTGCGTCAGATGTTCATGGTTTTCTGTCACTTTTACAGGCCTCGACTGCTTCTTACTGAAATAGAAAGCTTCAAAATATGCTTCAGAGAAAGATAAACCTGTAAAGCTCTATTGTCTTTGCGTAGTAGCGGTACATAAATTCTGGATTCATCCATTGAGCAGCAAGAGCATTGGCATTAAAAGCAATTTGGCGAGGTTTATCGTAATTGTTTCTCGCCCACTCGATTTTCTCTCGAAGGTCGGATAGATCTTTTTCAATTGGAATGAAGTGCTAGAAATAATCAAACGAGAGAAATTTGCTTCAAGCGCTTACCACCCATGGCTTCATATATCTATACCACCACTCGTAATTCATCGACTTTTGCTTAAGAATCACCGAGTCCATTTGCATCAACAATGCTGTTCGATAAGGCGCAACAGTGCCATCCACAAGGGCTTGATACTTAAACTTCCCCATGTCAGGATAGGACACGTGTTTCACTTGCTCGCCATATTTCTTCGGGTCTTGACCTTTTTTATTGTGCAGATTCCTCGTCAGTCTGGCGTCGACGTCCTCAGGATGTTTCATCGAAAGTTCACAAAGTGTTAGGCGGGAAGGATTCGAATCTCGTTCGAACGCGGAAGTAGCCCCGTTCTATCTCATCCTCCTAAGGAACAACTTCCCCTACGAAAGAAGAAAAGATTAGAATGTTTCATGGATGATTTGATCTCCGAAATTTTAGACGCGATTCAGAAATCTGATTTTCACCTGATATCTGTTCAACGTATTGAATGTCTCTCCTCTCTCGAAACAAGGCATTCCTCGTGTTCTTGGTCTGATCCCATGTCAGAAGCGCAATGTCTGTCGTGTTATCGGATCCGCACCAGGTCAAAATCGGCTCAAAAGTTCTTGATCTTTGATGACAACATGAGCAGTCGCTTCACCGTGTCCTCCCGCTGCCCATTTCCTTTCCTTCTTTTCTTCCTTTTTCCATCTTTGTAAAGTTTTTGCTTGTTTTTGCTTTGTTCTTTGAGGAATATCTCTGATCGGCCGCCGATCGCAATCAAAACAAGGCGGAGAAAGTGGAGCTCTAAAAGTGTTATAATCACCGATTTTGAAAGAGAGAGAGAGAGAGAGCGAGTAAACAAAATAAAACGAACGGTGATCATTTTTTTAGTAAATTACATGTATGGCCCATACAGTATGGGTAAAATTAGGGTTAGGTTGAAATTCACACTCACTTACCTTTGAAAGAGAAACAGTCTTGAGGAAATTGATGATTGTTTTATTACTATTCTTTAATCTTTAATTAGACTCTTATTGTTTTTTGCTTGGAGCTGTCGGGAAAGACAAAGATCTGATGTAAATTACTAAAGCAGTAGAATACTAAGTCCCATTTTGGATGAATAAAAAATCGCCTTCTTCTCTTGATTTTCCTCCAAAGAGATCATAAAGTTGTTTCGGCGGTGGCACAAAAAGAACAGAACATTCTTACTCACAGTGTCCTCGGATTTTCTTGACTTTCAAGCCCTTTAGCAGATTCCGACGAAGTGCGGCGGCGTTGAAACGTTGTCGAATTTTATATCGGATAAGATTTCTTTTCACCTGCGTGGATCCGTGAGTGTTATAGGAGTCAGCAGTTGTTTAGAAGATAAATTCAAGATTTCGACTTCAGAAAATCAATTTTCAAGAGTAGCGCGTTGTTAAAAAAATCGTTCAAACTTTGAAAAACAAATGGGTTTTTGAACACGTTTATAGATAAAAAAATATTCATAAAAACTCAGCACAGTTGGTAGTAGTTTATAACTATGATTCAAGTTTTAGCCGTTTTAGCAATTTGAGTCTATTTTCGGTCAAAAAATGGGTCCACTTCACTTAATCTACGCCACAATCCGATGTTTTTTCTCAAAGAAGAAACCCTGAAATTTTAAGCTTTCTTCGAGAGTTGTGGTCTGTCGGACGCCGTCTGTTAGCGTTCTTTTGTGATGTTCAGCCCATTTCCGCTAGAAAAACATGATGTTAAGAATCAAGGCAAATTAGGTCAAGGCAAGACAAAACTCCATGTTGTCTGAAAATTTTTCTTTTTCTCAAGTCAAATACAATTTTTCATCGCGAGAAAGACTTTCCAAAAAACAAACTATAATCGGAAGATACCTCGATTGATAGTATGAACCCATCCCGCTTCTTGGACGGTTCTGCTCGTAACGTTTTTACCAGTTAGAAAGATACAGTAATAACGAACGCTTATCATGTTATATTTTTTCCGCGGCAGTGACGCTTCGAAAAACTATAATTTACAAACTTGTTCTTCGATACCGTAGTTTCGTTTCGAAAATAATTTAATTTAATTAAAGAAACGTGAGTATGTCTTAATTGAAGCCATTTCCTAGAGCGAGTAAAAACCAAAAATCGTTTTTAGGAGGTATTACCTTAAAGCTCACCGCTGGTTAGCCATAATGACGTTGTGTAATTCGAACATTGCAGTTTTTTGAAGGTAGTTAAAAATGAGCTGGAGCTTACCTCACCTGTTTCCGGGCTGACCAGTTTAGAGGGACACACATTTTTAGACAAAAATCTTTTCCGACATAATGGCAAAAAATTTGAAGATTTTAAATATTATCAGCCCCCTCCTATTTCCAGATACGTCGTTGAAATCATAGCCTCTATTTCTTTTTCTTCTTATTCTTCGGATCTTTGACGATGATGAATCTATGTATTCTAATTTATTAAAATATGCAATGGCCTTTAAAAAAGTGTGTATGAAAAGATATGCTGCGTTTCTATCGTCACTTCCAATATCAATCAGAATAGCTGATTAGACTGTGGATTTAAATGTGGCGTCTGCATTTTAAACCATTTTTGTTGCGTTTTAAAAGCATAATGCTAGATTTAATTTAAATCTACTTTTCTGAAGACACGCCATAAGAACTTATATTACCTCTACATGATATCATTGATTTACTGCAAATGACTTGCCTAAATTACTGACCTTATCAAACAGCTGATGATCAGATACAAAGTCAGCTGTTTAAATTCTCGGTATCCTCTAAATATCACCGAGAGGAGAAAAATAAAAAAAGTCGGCAAAATGATGCGGAATCTCTTAAAAAGCAGTTTCTACATGAGTTGACAGCCTATGAAGCTGCATAAATTGCCCTTATCCCAGAAAATGAAGAGTTCAAACTGTACGAACCAAAATCTAACGAGCACTCCTCCAGACGAGAACCGTACTCGTTCTTGCCCCTTGAGCAAAGTCCAACTCATCACTTGATTCTTGATCAACGAATGGACACCTCGGCGAGGCGCAGAGCATTGAAAATCTTCCTCGAATCGACACCGCCCAGTCGCGATTTAAAAACAACTTAGACGATGCTTGATGCGCTCAGAGACGAGTAAATCGATGTGAAAGCAAGTCATTTTGATAAGAATCATGTGATGTTTACCTTTCTTGATCGCGGCTGAGTTGTCAACTTCTCAAGATCGACTGGTTTCAAATCTGTATCTGCGCAAATATAACGGCCAGCTCCGATCTGCAAATTATCAGCTTGGAAAAATAAGAATCAAACATAAATTAACAATTTTCTTGAACAATCTAAAGAAGCAAAAAAAGCAGTAGTATTCTCATTTTAAAACCCTTCGATGGCTATTTCTAAAGTGTTTATTTATCAAATTTCGATACTGTCATATCTCCAGGCAGTTATGAATATGAGTGTTTGAAAGCCGCGCTAGAATCATCAAAGTATCAAGGTCATATCGAGTTCGCATTAAAAAATCGTTACCAACGCGTCGGAGACCTCGACGCGATGCTAGGTGAAATGAGTTTGGTTTTCATTACATTCGTAGTCGACAAAAGCGCGATCTTTTGCAATAAAAGATCAAAAGACGAGGGTTCTTGAAAATAGAAATGTAGGTAGAAATAACAACGGTAATCGCCGGGGCAAAGGTAGAAGTCGCGAAAAAACGATGGTGAGTACTATGAAATATTGCGCGTAAAATAAAGTTTTTATAGGGTTGTTTTAACTTTTTTAAAATTGCTCTTTCGTAACTTTAAAATGAACCTTTTTCTTAGTTTAGAAGATTTTGAGAACAGCTCGTCTTCAAAAAAGAAAACAAGCTGAGAAAGGAAGAATATTTCGCAACACGTTCTACCCCCGGTAAAAAAAGCATAATAGTGGCTCGTCAAAAATTTGGTTAATGTTGCACAGGCTGACGACTCGTTAGAAGGAATGGCGTTCGCTGTAAGAATGCGGTAAACGTTTGTCTCAGCCTAATAGAGTTACTGTCACGCGTAGTGACCCCGACGAATGACTGTTATTTCATCTTTCATTTGTCGGGGCGACCCCGACGAATTACCACATACTACCCTGTCACGGACAATCGTCATGATCTGATTCCTCAAATGCTCGTGTACAGATGGACAAATTTCAGTTCGACATCATGAAATTTACAAAAAAAAGTTCATGTTCAATATTTTGTGATAACGAACATCTGTTATCCCGAAGCAAAAAAATGTTGACGTTTATAGAATCATTTCGGCATGAAGACCGTTACGTATCATGACATCGTGGATCTACCTGGTAGAAAAATTCATTTTCAAATTGCAATTCTGATATTTTTGCGAACTAAAAAAGTGGAGTTTATTCAAATTTCAGTGAAAGCAGTTCTGAAAGAAATATTCATAGAATTCTCTCCTTCTTCTTAATTACTAATAAACGAAGTTTTCAGATCTTAGACTTTATTCATGTTTCTGCAAATAAAACAAAATTAAATTCTCATTATGCTGGCGGCTTGCAACTCGGAAACTCGCTGTTTCGGCCGGTCCAGGGGCAGCTTGCTTTCCCATTTGCGTATTCGTTCAGCATTGCTCGCAACACGTCGAACATGAAGTTGCAGAAGTCCTCGTCGACGCCGATTGAGCGGTAGAACACGGACTGCTCCATGAAAAGATATGGCCAGACGCAGGTCATTTCTTGCTCAAGCTCTAGGAGGAATTTGAAACCGTGCACTGCTTGGTTTAAGTACCTTTGATTGAAAATTGGCGGTCTCCGCTCATTCGGTTGTACTCCCGCAAGTACATGTTCAAGAAGTCTTTGTAAATGTCCTTGTTGAACTTCTCGTGGAAGCGAATGATGATGTAGACGAGTTCAAAAGCTCTAGTGCCGAATTCTGAGTTGTCGTAGTCAACCTGCAGCAGTCTTTCCTCCATCGATGTTCCTTCTGGAGCGTCGCGGATGAACACGTTTCCGTCGTGGGCGTCGTTGTGGCATCAAACGGTCGGCGAAATGGTGCCCCACTGGACATCGTACATGAACTCGATCATGCCCTCGGCTGAACTGATGTTGAGGAAATCGCCGTGAACTTGAACCTGCCCGATTTGCTCCTCGACCCATTTCTTTTTGAAATCATAGAAGAGAATGAATTCTTATCAAACCTTTGCGGGATCAGTAGCTGTTTCGCAGTGAGATCTGATCGCTCTCGTGTTCCAGGGCCAGGCGTGGTAGCAGTTTGTGATCGGCCTTGGACACTCTTCTTCGCTGATGATGTGCATTGAAGCGAAGCGCTTTGCTGCAGCGCGGTAGACGTCGATGTCGCTAGGTCGGAGTTCGTCTATTTTGTCGATTGAGTCTCCGTAGAGCAGCTCGTAGAAGTTCTCGTAGGCGGGAGGGACGGTCTCTTCGATCGAGCCAAAGAAGATCGGTCCGTTGCCCGAGTCTGACATCGCTTTGTCCACGATTCGCATCCGTTCCTTGTCCAGCGTTGTCGTTTACAATCGATTAGCTTCCAAGAAGTGGTCAGCGAATATTTACGTATATTCTCAGCGTCACTTGCACCCGTATGCTCCTGGCAAAACTAGAGAGCCTTTTCTGGGGAAGTGTTTGCTTTGACATTTCCTTTCGCCTGTTGAAAGTTTCTATCGGCATTTCGAGAAGGGAGATTGCCAGTGATTCCATGGTTATGAACAAGAAAGTGCCGTTGAATTCGAAATCGAGTGGAATATTGCAGCAGAAGATATCGTTTCCTTCCACGACATGGAAACAATTAAATCTTCGCCCAAAAAGTCGACAAAAAGCGGAAAAAGAAAGACCGAAAGATGGAATCTCTTCTGAAAGAACTGCAAGAGCTGAAAAAGGAATTGAAAAAACTCAAAAAGAAAAATCAACGAGGACGATAATGAATCAAGAGAAAATGATGATCAGGTCAAGAACTGGCGAACGGGACTTTTCCAGCGCCTATTTTCTGAACCAGTTAATGGTATTCTTATCTGATAGTTCTACTGCTTTTTTACAAAAGTAATATTTTGCAATCATTGTTTATTTTTTATACACTACTAGAAATTAATAGAAGCTAGAGCGCCTTCTGCAGCTACAGTTGAGTCGCCTTCAAAAGGGAAATTGAAAGAGGCAGCTTTGATGGAATGCAAAACATCGTTTTTCATTCAAATCTGACAGAAAAAGGCAATATTTAAAGTTGAACAAGTTCGGAGCGTAAAGGCGCGTATTTACTCTTTTGATATGTGGATGTTGGTGGCAGAACCAGCCAGACTGGCAGCCTTGCTGTTTACGGCGAGCAATTTGCTGGAAGCTGTTACGGAAGTATGCGCGCTGTTTGCTCGAAACTGTGGCAGCTCGTTCACTTTCACCTCGAATTTCTTGAGCATTTCGGCCAGCACGTCCTGAATCAAATACTCGTTATTTTCTTGAGCGAGGAAAAGAACGTACGTTGCAGTTGACGATTCTGAACTTGATCTCCTTCTCTTCCATTTTGTTGGCGATCTTGGCGATGGAGCGGGCGGCGGAGGAGTCGCCCATGTAGACGCCGCTCAAGTCGAGCGTGACTGCGCTGATTTCCTCCTCTTCTTTGAAAAGCAAGTTGACTCGATCCAAAAGAGTCTTAATTTCAAAATTGAGTCAGTTTTGTTCATCGCAGCGAGTGCATACCTCGCAAACGGGGAAGGTGATTCCGTGAGCGATCTTGATCGTGAAGCTCTTGTTTGCTCCGGACGGCGGAGATCATGACAACAACGGCGGTAATGAGGTTTCCAGCTTGAGTGGCAGCGTTCGACTCGAAGTTGAGACTTGATCTTGAAAAGCAGCCGGAAACCGGCATCGAAGAAACCAAGGAAGACATCACACCGCCTTCGAAATGGTCGTTCGTAAGCTTTTGATTTCGGTTTTGTTACCTGATTGCTATAATATCAATGATATTTAAGAAGACATGATTAAAATTGCCAATTTCAAATTAGTGAAGCCAAGATTGTCGGGGAAACGGTCGGACTCATTACCAATTGGTAACCCATTACCAATTTTGGTAATGAATTACCAAATTCGTCAAAAAAGTGTTGATTTTTTTGATTCAAAGAGCGAGTGTGCGCTCCGCGCCTGTATAATAGAAAACTTGTGGTGTGCTTTATTCATTAACTTGGCGAAAAAGTAAAAATATATTGATAATGGACTACCAAAAATTGGTATTGGGTTACCAAAAATTTTGGTAATGAGTCCGACCGTTCCCGGATTGTCGTTGAAGAAGCAAGGATTGAAGTTGGAGAAGCTTACCAAAAAGTCATTTCGTGCGTTGACTTGATAGTTGCCACGCTCGGCGAGCGACTTGCCAATCCCAATCGACTGAAGAATCGCTACAAATGGCACGATGATGATTCCGGATCCAAGCGGCGTTAGCATGTCAACGATGCCGGCGGACTCATTCTTAATATTTAATTTGAAATTCATTTTCAGCAAGTATATGGGCAAGAATACTATGATAAAAATGATATGTGAGAATGCACGAGATTCGCAGTAAATTATTAACCCTAATTCTTAGTAAATGCTGCGCTCCAGCTCAGCCATCCCTGAATTTGAGCACTTTTCATAGGATCTTGAATGTAGATGCGAGCACCTGGCAGGAGACAAGCTGCACGATGCATCCTGCATCTCCTTGTTACCGGCTGAAGGCCTCCCCATGATGGGGGCCTATCAAAAACTCATTCAAAAATAAAAAACAGTCATTTATGAATATGATTATTATATTGACCTTCTTCTGATTATAGAGTTTATCAAATCTGCATTTCTTACCTATTATTAATAGGCTATTAAGCTCTAGGTTATGGTTAATTTGAGATCAATTTCGAATTTTAAATCTTTTTATTTTATGAGTTTTCTATGAAAAGTTTAGCAATACTTTTCAAATGTTGAAAATTTCGAATTGAAATATATCATCAAATTCCCAATTTGGGTCCATGTTCCGTTTGGCCGATGCAGATCTATATCACTCAGCAGGTTGCATTTGGCATTGTTGGCCTTTGATGCACCGAGCTTGCTCATGCAGCTATTATCATTTTGAAAATCTTGGTCTGGGTGGCCGACTCACCGTCCACAACCTCGATATCTGTGTCCAGAAAGGCGATTGAGGGCAAACTGATGGCGGAAATGGTTGTTGGAGTGATGCAATCTTATGCGGACTGACAACCGCGGAGTCGCCCTCTTTCGGGTCCGCGAAGTGAATTCGGAGATGTTCCAAGGCGAGGAGAGTAGCGAGCGTGCTCAGTCCAATAACAGCGTCGTGGTATTTCGACTCTCCGAGGCGCATGACTATGGCGGCCATTTTCTGGTAGAAAGGTCCAGGAAGGCCAGAGAGACCAAACACTCGCTCGAGAAGAGAAAAGGGGATGATGATCGATGCAGCTGGAAATCACAGGGTGTTGAAATCAAGGAAGAGTTTTGAAACGGATCATTGAAAGCGCATTCCTGAAATATAACCAACGAGAACAGGATTTGAAATTTAGTTGACGACAGCGCCTAGATCGAAAATTCCGAGAAGAAGAATGATCGCTCGGAGCAGAAACAGAGCAAGTTCGCCAATCTCGGGTCCTATTTAGATCGGAAAAGCGCCGTTTTCGAAGTTTCAAGGGAAGAATTGTTACGTGGCGCCAGCCATCGAAATCCACGTTTCTTGGACCCACGGCGAGATCTTTCGATCTGCCCATAAAGGTGTAGACGATGGCTGAAGAGAGGAGCTCATATTGTTGTGAGCTCCTGAGAGGATGCAGCAGACTTGGGGCTCAATTTTGAGTGGACGGAATATATTCTAGGAGCGGGTTATTGATTATTTTTGTTGACTTAGTAACTAAGTCTTAGTTTAATAGGGTTGGAATAATCGAACCTCGACTAGGCCAGATGAAAAGCTACGAGCTCCGCACTGGCGGGCGCGACATCGCTGTCACAAACCAAAATAGGATTTCTTATATCCATAGTAAGGCGCATTTCTGGCTTTTTACTAAAAAGTTTTTAGGCAGATGATGGACCAGAAAAATGTGCTGACGTGGCTTTGATCCACACGATAATAACTTAAAGTACATCCGTTTTTAGGTTAGGTTGTTCTTTTTCTCGATAATATTTCTATAAGATTTATAGTCGTATATCTAATAAGAAATGCAATTCTTATTTGACAAAGAATTTGTTCATCTAACGGTTTGTTCAGTCCGGATTTCATCAATTAATCAACTGCGACTGGCTTTCGTTGTTCTCTACTTCTGAGCTGCAGCGACTCATTTCCGGGAACAACGACGGCGATATTGACTTTGCCGATTTGAGGAAGCACGTGCTCTAATTTGGCGGCTTTCACGGCCGACATCGAGGTATTCTTTCTATTTTTCTTTCAATTTCTTCGCCCAGCTGATTTGAGAACCTCACGAGTTCTCCGTTTTCTGTTAAATTAGATTTTCGCTTTCCACGCAAACCTAACTTTAAAATTATGATGCACTGCATGGGCCATGCAGCATGGCGATTCTAATCGATAATATTCCAGCGCGAATGAAGATTATTTGAGATCTCGGTATCCTTCTAGAAAAGGCAGTGATGGGAGTTTTCTTCGGTCATGATTTATATAAAGTTTTAACTCATAGTAATTGATATTTTTAGTAATTGTCTGGCTCTGGGACACTCTCGAGAACGATTTCAAAAGGATGAACGATCCGCTTTCCTGAAATTCGTGACCTCTTGCTCCTGCCCTCCGCTTCTTGGATTTGCCAATCTTCAACCCCCATTCTCCATCCGATGCGTAGAAGTTGGCGATGACGATGATCGAGGAGACACTCTTGGAAGCGTTCTTCGAGGCTTTCTGTCTGTTCGAAAAACGAAAGTCGTTCAGGGTCGCTTGCCGACTGCTTCCACGTAGTTTAATTTGCTCAAGGTATGAGCAATTTTCACCTTAGACCTTGTTTTCAGCTCTGAATCAAATCGGCCAGCATAAGAATTTCTTGTGTCTATATTATAGACTCTATAACTTAGAGACTATAAGCCTCCTCGAACTTTGCCTAATTTTCAGCTGCCAAATTATTCGAAAATATCCATTCTGCGAGAAAAGCTTTGACTTGCAATAACCATGAATACAGGCTTTGAACTGTCGTGATTCAGTAATAAATTACTGTCATTCGATAAAACGTATCGTTTTTATCGCGTTGATTCGCAGCTCAACTAAGTCCGCTAAGCATGCAGCAGGTGGTTTACTAGGCGTTTAATTGATTAACTACTGTCTCACATTAAGCGCATCAATGGAGCAGACGCGTCGCATGAATTTCTAAATCAAAGCAAATCTATAAGTGGGGCTATTCCTTTTAAATTCGGAGTCGTCGGAAAATACTTGCGCTTCCTCGTATTACCGCGCTAATTCATAATAATTTAGCCATCAATCGAGCCAATTCTGCCTCAAGGTTCCCATGATCACTTCTCCTTGTTTTGTCTTTGCTTTCTGGAACTAGAAACAAAAAAAAACACGACAAGGGCAAATAGTACTCAGGGTAAAATCTTGTGGTAACAACTTCGTCATTGTATTTTTTTTCAGACTTTTTCGATGATGATCATCAATACAGGTGTGGCCTTGTAACCAGCTGAAACTGATCCTTTGACGGTCAATGACGGAGATGCGGGGACGCTCGATTCGTGTACCAAAATTTTTTTGGTATTCGAATACCAATTTTTGATTTTCAAAATCCAAGCTTTTCGATCAGATAGTTTTTTTTTCGTGAAATTGCTACTAAATCACTCCCAAAGACTCCTTCAAGACAGGCGCGAAGCGCATAGGCACTCTTTGGGTGCACCAAATTTTGAATTTTTGAGGAGATTTGGTATTCGAATACCAATTGGTACACGAACCGAGCGTTTCCCCGGAGATGTCTTGGCTCAGTTCTCGCCCAGTCCGTTTAACCAGAAGCATGCGTTTGTCAAGAGCGGCTGACGTCAACTTTTTCCACCGCTCGGCAAGGCGACTTTTTAAGAAATTTTTTATGTTAGCTTCTTTTTGAAAAAAGGGTTCTTGCGTACTAGATCTGGTTGATTTCCTGAAAAAGTCCGCGCTCATGCTCAAGAAGTGAACTTCCGTCTTTGAAAGAAACGCCGCAGAAGGATGTTTTTGCCGAAACAGGCTGCACAATGCCCTTGCTCTGTTCCGTCTATCATTGAACAACAATTCTCCTTTTTAATTTTTTGATCATGCCCTGCTTTCATTTCTAAAATTTGCGTACAAAGATCTTGGATAAAGAGCGCTCGTCTATATTCAGTTTGAAATTTTGAATCATTTGCAGTTTATTTCGAGTTAAATTTTGGGCTTGATTTTGAAAATGTCGAATGTGAAGGGAAGTGTTTTGGCGAGGAAGAAGCCGAAAGCGGTAAATACAGTCATGTCCAGGAGCTTGTCCCGCGTTCGCTTAGGCTTCGAGAATTTCGAGTGGTCTTGCAACAGGTCGAGAATAGTATACAACAGGCACCCTGCCAACAGGCTTTCCAGAGAGAGTAGCGAGATGCGCAGTTTGGACGCAAACATTTTCAGACTCAAGTGCGTCAAAATGCGTCTCCCAAGTGCTGATGAAACTGAACGCTGAAATATTTCAAGCACTCGGTTTGAATCTTCGCTTCCAAATCTTTCGAATTGTCCTTCGTTCCAACGATTTTCTCCGAGGTTTCTTACGTAACCAGTCGATGAACGAAATAATCTCTTGAGTAGTCCCAAACTCGATTGTCCCTCGACGCCATCGCGTAGTTATGAGAAGTGTCCAAGTTCTTGGACTCCAAGAAGTGCTGCTGAGCGTGTTCTTGTGTGTATCTCCCGCAGCCAATGTTTCCGCAAACGAGGCAAATCCATAGATCTTCTTTTTAATAGCAAGATAGACATACATTACGTTCGCTTTCCTGACTCGACGGAGTTTGCGTATATCGACAGACTGGGCAAGTGGAGTCTTCCCATTTTTCAGACATTCAGAGTGGAAGAAACGATTGCAAAGAACGGTTGAAACGGACTTCACCGACTCGTCCATTCGCTCCAAACAAATCGTACAAGCAGGCAGCTCGGTGAGATTCGGTAATGGCCAGCCTGCGCTTTCTCCAGCGTGAAGCAGTTCCACTTTTCCCACATACGTGATTTACGAAAACCTTTATAACGTTTTATGTGACGGCTTTTCTTTACCTTGGCAAGTTTCTTCTAAGAGCGAGTTGAATTTCTGCCCAGTAATTGAGTGATAAAAAGTATCGGCACTTTGTTACTCGTCGAATTTTAAGAGAACCATGTACTGATTCAGAGACTGGTCGCGCACGATCTTGATGTGTTCTATTTTCTTGTCGTAATTTCCGAGTGAACGGAGCAGATCGTGCGTGTCTAGATCCACTGGAACATGTACGAGCAGGAGCATGTCGCTAGGGCCTTCCTCCGTGATGTTGAAGCCGTAGTTTGTCTTGTACAAGTCAATTGAGTACTCGACGAATTGCCGAGATCAACGCATTTCTTGGGATTTTTCTCTGTCATTCGAGGACATGATATTGACTGCTGATTCTTTTCTACCTCGGCAGGCTTTCATAGGACTAGAAAGAAGCAAATGAAATGTGTGATGTGATAGAAACTTAAGTTGTTACTTTCAAATCAGAAAATAAGAAATGCATCTTCAAAACTTAACGGAAACTTACTTATCAGAGCATTCTCGGAGACTAAATAATTATGAAACTGATAATTATCTAATAACCTGGAAGATAAATACTTTATCTAAATAAATTTACCTCAAATCAAAAGCGTCGTGCTGAAAACTCTCAAAAATAACGGCTCTTTCGATATTCTGCGCATTTTTAATTCCATGAAGAGGGTCGCATTTCACATCGTCCTCCACTTCTCCCTCCAAGTCTTCCAGATCTCCACGTCCGCCAAGCAACTCGCTCAACAAAATCGCCGTCTGGCCGTTTGTCCCAAAATAAATCGTGTCAGATTCAACTTCGCCGGAGGAGTCTTCTTCGAAATCATCTTCGCCGTCATCCAAAATTTCTAATTCTCATGGCAAGGTTGGCCTTTCTCTTTCGATGATTCCTTCCACAAAGCCGACGGAAAGCTCTCTTCTACCATCCTCAAGTTGATCGGCCAAAGGAGGACGCATCCAGTTGATTTCCTTCGAATGGCCGGCGCAGACGAGCGGGAGGATCCAGGACTCGATCGAGGTTATTTGAAATAACTTATTTCTATCAACCTTTCTGAGTTTGAAAGGTGCTCCATTGTGAATTCGATCGGCGCGCTTTTCGATAGTTGTTTCAGCTTCAGAAGGAGCTCATAGAGTAGCGTAAACCACGTTCCAGAGATCAGGATGCGAGTCTAAGTGGATCATTTGAAGCCTCTTTGCCCCCAATTGACATCGACGGCGACATCCGCCGAAAGGGCCGAAACCGGCGCGAACTTCTCAACAAGAAGTGAATCCGAGCCAAGAACCTCTCCTTTTCCTCCGCTTAAAATATCTGGCAGACCAGGAAACCAATTGGTGCATTTGCAATTCTGAAATTCGTACAAACAGCATGCAGCTTTTTCTGTACTGGCAAATTTTTTACTCTTCAAAGAAATTTCGGAAAAGCCGCTTTGCGGCTTCTTTTTTGACTAAGGGGTACTTCAGCTATAAATTTCAACTGTTTCAGAACCTGACTCAGGAATTCTTGTTTTTTTTCGGAAAGGCGAGAGTTTGGAAAAAAAAATATACTTTTTACGCCTTGTCCTTTTTTCAAGTCTTCCATTTTCTCCTTTTTTACGAAAAAAAGACTGAGGAGCATTTTAGTCGGAGCGAAAGAAAAAGCCGCAAAAATAGCCAACAGCTTCAAATAAAACATTTTATCTCGAAATAAAAAGCCAATTCTAGCAGCTGAACATCCCCCTTTTTCTCCGGAAAGTGACAGGAGTGGGATTCGAACCCACGTCCCGGAAAAATCCGCGCTCTGGCCGCTGAGCTACCCTGTTTGATCACTTCCTGCGAAAAAAGGGACTCTCTGCCGCTTGAATTCGGCTTTCGATTTTAGAATAACTGAGTCAGGGTCATTCAAAAGCTTTTTTAAAGCTTTTTTTCCGAATGATTCCCCCCATTTTTTTAAAAGAGCTCGTTCCAAGGATCAGGAATCGTAGTGGATCATTTTTTGGATGAAGAAGAGACATTCCGAGTGCACTTCAACGACTCTCAATTCCATCTTTGGCATTCTAAAAACAATATTTTCAAAAACTTTCTCGAAAGTTCATTCTTCGTTCATTTCCGCTTCTTCTTCAGAACCGTCAGAAATCTCGATAAGGGAGTCTTCGTCCGAGTCTTGCTCCGACTCCGAGTCTGAGTTTGGAATGATCGCCCGCGAAGAAGACTCTTTTTCGAGGAAGGGCGGCGGACTGTGATTATTTTGGAATCGGCCTCGCTTTTCGAGCTCTTCTGAAAACTATTTCATAAAAATTTCAAAGCAGAATTCGAACCTGTTTCGTGGAAGGAGTCGCGTGTCTTGATCAAATTAACTTCCTTCATCAGCATTTTTCTTTCTGTTTTCCGATTTCGTGGCCGACCATGCTCTGCGCCTTGCTGTTGCCGTCGAAAAAGATCGTCGTCCCGAGCGTGCTTTCGTAGTTTCCTTTGCAAAAAATTATGTTGACTTGCTTTTCTCTGCTTCCTAAAGCTAAAATTTATCAATTTAAGACGACTAGAAGATCAGTTCATAACTGTACCTTGACAGGGCAGTAGGGAAATTCAAAACGGCAGTGCGTTTCCTGAACAACTTCACACTCGTCGTCATCTTCATCTTCGCCGAATTCTTCCAAATTTGGCATTTGTTTTCGCGCTTTTCGCCGGCTAAAATATTCTTCGAAATACTTCTCTCATCATTCTTCCCTTTTTTCTTCCTCTCTCTTTTCTAATTCTGCATTCCTAGCGCTAGAATCGACCTCCATTCAAGAATTTCAGAAATCTCCGTGATTCAAATTTGAATTCGAAACAAATTTGTTTCGCTCCGCGCGCGGACCAATCAGCGCGCGCGGAGATTCCAAAAGCGAGAAAAAAGAGAAAAGCCGAAAAATGGTGCTAAGGGATGAAAATGAAGAAAACAGAGAACTAGAGAACAAGAAATAAAAAGAAGGGGTTTTCTTCACTGATTATTTTTGATCTGCACTCGATTGAATGTGAAATTACTGTAGCAAGCTAACTGAAGCGATCTTTAGAATAAGGCCCAATCGGCCATTTGTCTGATGAGCGGCTAAGATGAGCGTGGCTAATCTCGTGAATGACTTCTTCAGGGCTGAAATGGAGGGGATCGCGAGCTAATCGACAACAACGACGAGAAAGGAACGCCAAGGAAAGACTCCTCGAAAAATCTAGCGCAACCGTTTCTTCCCCTCTCGCAAGCCCAGAAATTCCAACTCGAAAAACAGCTGTTTTAGTCTTCGCAATCGTCGTCCGTTTTACCAGCCTGGTGGATTTGACGCTCGAGCCCGATTCCTTCGAACCTGATGAAGTTGCGCACTACCAAACCTTTCCACCCGCCGCGCAGAGATTATTCTAGCGGTGAGAAATCTCGTCGTTTCGATGTGGTCTAATTCTCCGACGATTTTGGTTACTCCAGAGAGCTGCATGCAAAATGCGATTACAAGAGGATACATTCGCTCCGCTCTGCCAGAACTATTCAATCTTATAATAGAATTTCTTACGATAAAGGGCATTATCAACTTTGGCATCTTTGAGGACATACCCAGGCCGTTGGTTCTCAAAAACATTCCGCTGGAGAAACGAGAAACGATTGTTGTAATTGGAGCCTGACCATCAGGAATTTCTTCAGCCAGACAGCTTCATAACTTTTGATTCAATGTGAAGATTCAAGAGGCGAGGAAGAGGATAGGAGGACGAGTTCATGTTTGGGCACCTAAGGTTCGTTTGAGCGAAAAAAGCTCACTTATCGTCCATTATTAGGTAGCAGCAGGAGCAATGGTCATCAACGGCCGCCAAAACAACCCTATCATCACCATCAGTCGTCAAATCTAACACGATGTCCACATCCTGTGGACCAGACTTGAGAATGGAGCATCATTTCAACACGATTTTGGACATTTTATCCGACTGGAGATTGGACAAGAAAGAGGACATTCCACTCATCGACGCGATTAACCTCGCTCACAAAGAATACGTCAGCCATAGCGCGGAAAGATACTCAAAAACAGAAATGAAACTGCTCGAGACGACTCATGGGGAGAAAATTGAGGCGAATAGGATCGGATACAGATAAATAATAGATCTTGAAGCCGCAAGTGGCTGACCAATTTTGTAAAATAGGTTGAAATAAGACTTCTGTATCCATTTCAAAGATGCGTCGTGTGAATCCCACTCGCCCTCATGAAAAAGAAAATCATCAATTTCACCCCCGACTTATCTCCGCGAAAATGGCGCGCTGTAGAAAACATCGGTGCCGGTCTGATAGAAAAATGCCTCCTCCGCTTCGATTCAAAATGGTGGAGTTACGAGATCGGTGGCGCTGATTTCTTTGGCTCCATCAGCGTTTCTGGCTCCGACTCAGGCGTCGACGCTGATGATGAACACGATACGTCGGGGATTTTTAATGTGTTCTTCGATATTCCATCGCCTGAGAGTGATCATTTTACGCTCAATTCGATCGCAGCTGGAGCTTCGTTTGATATTTATCATTCGATGAGTGATAAACAGCTAGGCTCGTCATCCTGTATACAGTAACAGTAACAGTAACAGGTTTTTTCGGAGGAGGGCTGATTTTCAAACAGTAAACAGTACAGGCAGTACTATACAGTAACAGTACTGTTTTTACAGTAACAGTACTGTCACTGTTTTACAGTAAAACAGTAAGCAAATACTGTAAACAGTAGCTGTAAACAGTATACTGTTGACAGTATTTTCGAAGTGGTCTCTCCTAATTTCGCCATAAAGGCCCAAAAAGCTAAAAAATGAAGTAGTTTTAAGTAAAAAACTGCATTTTTTGAAAAAACCTGTTTTCTCTCACAGTACTGTTACTGTTTACAGTTCGTATTCCCTGAAATTCGCGCAGTTAACTGTTTACTGCAAACAGTACTGTACACAGTTTGAAATTTTTCGTCGAAAATTCAGACAGTTAACAGTACAGTAGTTAAAAAACAGGAAACAGTAGACTGTACAGTATTTTTTTCAGTACAGGATGACGAGCCTAGATAAACAGCTCGTTTCTAGTGCGATGGCGACGCTTTTTACTTGAATTGTCGCCATTTTGTGACTCTTAAAAATGAAATCTTCAAAGAAATCACGAGCCCAGAGCCCCTGAGCTTCCACATAACACGCTGGGGAAAAGCAGAATACTCCCAAATGACTCATATGATATGAGTTATTCTTTTATCAACTTCGGTTCAACCGGAAAAGACTACGACAAAATGGCGGAACCAGCTTCCGATCGATTATTTTTCGCTGGAGAAGCCACCCATCGGTACGTTAAAGCGCATCTCTCTATAAAAAATGTTTGATAGTGTAGTGCTTTTATATATGCAAAACAAAATGATCAGTAAAATGGTGTTTTACTGATGGACTGCGACATCGAGAAAGAAACTTATATATCCGAGTGTATTCCTCTTTTCCACCAGGTGAGTATAACTTTTGTTGCGCAGTTGTGATCTGAATTGTCAGGGCATTTCGCTGAAGCCAATGTTCCAAGTAGCGATGAGAACGGTAGAAGACTACTGCGAGCGGAACAATCTGGCCATCGCTGGCTACTACGAGTCGCCCGAAATCGTCAAGAGCGCCACGCCATCGCAGTACGCGGAGAAGGTCGGCGACAAGCTCCGGGAGCAATTCAAGGACGCCTTCCTTCTCCACAACATTTGGCAAGAAGACTCCAAGTTCGCCATGAGACCGTTTGTCAAAGAGGTGCGAAATTTTATAGATTCTTCTAGAATCTGTGTTCATTGATTTGCATTTAGTCTGGAAAGTGGGTGTACTCTTCAAACAAGCTCAGCTTTGAGAACGAAAACGTTTTCAAGACCGTCGCTCAGCTGCATAAAGCCGACTTCTGCCTCGAACTTCAAGTAAGAACTTCTATTATTTTGCGCACGCATGGCAACTTCTAGGACTTTGACTGCTACCTCGATAACTTCACGAACGACTGGACAAACAGATCTCTGCAAGAAGTGATTATGCTTGTGGACGCGCAAACCGAGCACCAAGATGCTAGTATAGAGGCGAAATGACACGAATTGAACAATGGCGCTACTATTTCTACCCTTTCCTTCCCAAAATGTCTCACACCGAGCTTTACTTTCTTAGATTATTTCGAATTTGTGCAATCTTCAAACATGTTGTGTGCGCTCCGTTAATTCAATAGCGTCGCTAAACTGATTTCGCTTGTTCAGAAGATGTTGAACAGAACTCTCGCTCGACAGATCGTCTCCGTCAGAAACTTCCGATCTGGCTCTTTCCAGGTAACTCGCTTTAGAAAAAGGAGTTACTGATCTGCGCTTGTAGAACAAGTTCAACCAAGTCCCACCAAAGAAGGTCTACTGGGGCTCTGCCAAGCTCTCTGGTGAAGCTTTCCTCGCTGCCGGCGCCATTTTCTTCTTCTGGGCCTTTGATCGACTCGCTCGAGCTGACTTCCTTTACTCCAAGTTCCACATGTCTGCCTCTCACTTCCAGATGGGTACGCTTCGTGTTTGAGCTGGCACCAACTGACAAAATCGTCAAGATAACATCATCATCGTCGATGGCAAGTACCGATACATCCCCACCAAAATGCACCCCGCCGAGCACGAAAAGGATGTCTCCTACATGACCAACTTCACCGAGTACGACTGGACCCCTACTGATGGCAAGGATGGCAAGGTCTCCGAGTCCTACGGCTCTTCCCGCGATGCACAAGAGAAATCCATTCCCATCTGTACTTTGAAAAATTTCCCAAATGCCATCGAGCATTGCCTTCAGGTACCTTTTGAGCAGGGTGGCTATTTTGGATTTGGGGGTTAGTTGGAATTGGATTGGATCCAATCCAATAAGGTTTGGATGGAATTTGGATGGCCAGGGTACCGGATTTTGTTGGGGAAAATTGGGCAATTGGGGAAATTGGGAAATTGGATCCAATAAAAATATCTCGCTAAACTATGCAAAGCAGGGTCATTTTCATGATAAAAATGAACAATTTCGGATAAAAATCATTGTTTTGGCTATGTTGATCCTCTTTTCGGATAAAAACTTACTGTTTCCGTTCTTTTCAAAGTACTAAAAGCCTTGGAAAAATTGGAAATCCAATTGGATCTAATTGGAATTGGGGATTTTTGGGGAATTGGGTAATAATTGGATTGGGTTGGATTTTGGATGGATAGTTACGACTCAAAATTTATTGGATGGAAATTGGATGGCCAGACCCCAAAATTTTGTCCAAAATAGCCACCCTGCTTTTGAGCCTATTTTGGTCAAAGTATGACCTTTTTTAGTGGGCGCGAGATAACTTTGAAGGACTCTTTACTGGACAGGCAGGCTCTGCGAAACAGTTCCTTTCCGATCCCGCCGACTTGTCGCAAAAACTGAGAAGCTGCCCGGCAACGAGCCAATCACCTCTGCCCAGGGAGTCGTTGAGTCAACTCGTTGACTTCCTCATCGACCAAAAACCAAATGACTTCAATGACTGCATCGAATGGGCGCGCCACAGATTCGAAGAGAACTACGTCACCACCAGTCTCCAGCTTCTTCACCGCCCTCGTCGCCGGTCTAATCTCTGCCGAGCTTTACAAGATCGTCAACGGAATCGACGACATTGAAAACTATCGAAATACGTTCATGAATCTCGCGATTCCAGCGTATTCCTTCTCCGAGCCCATGACTCCACCAAAGGTGAAACTGAAAGTATGGCTCTTTTATACAAAACAGTTTTAGAACACTTATTTTGGAGACCAGCACTGGACCCTCTGGGATCGATTTGACATCGACGGACGAAAAGAAAATGGCGGAGAGATGACAATTGGCGAGCTCCTCGACCATTTCAAGAATGATAGGAAGCTTGAGGTCCAGATGCTGAGCTCTGGAGTGACACTTCTCTACTCCTTCTTCCTCAACCCGCCGAAGAAGAAGCAGGACCGACTTGCCATGACTGTCAGGTAAGCTCTCTACACTTGTTACTGCAGCTAAATGCTCATTCTTTCTAGTGAGGCAGTGAAAACAGTCGACAAAAAAGAAATCGGCGCGCACGAGCGATACCTCGTGCTCGACGTCTGCTGTAATGACATGACAGAAGCCGAAGAAGATCAAGACGTTCCATATCTTCGCTATTGTTTCCGATAGTTCAAAGGTTGAATAAACCAATTGAAAAACATGAAAATTTTAAACAAAAACTCCCTTTTTCGATTTTGTGCATTCATACCGCGCTTACTTGTTACTTCTGCACTTCTACATGTAAAACACGGCCTGTTTAAATTTAGCTGCAATTTCCCAAGAAGATACATTGAAAAATTACACACCGTAGGCCATTTTTATCTTAGTACTATAAATCATTGATTTATGGAAGATATTTATGGAAGAAAATTGAAATAAAATATGGGAGAAAGGATCCCATATTATTTTCTTCAGACAGTGCGCTATCGGATTGAAAATGAAACTAAAACAGAGTGATGAATCCCCTTCGTCGGATGATAATTCGAGAGAGCGTGTCATTGACGAGGGTGAATCTTCAGAAATAGGTAAAATTAAAGCCAGTTGACGTATTTTCATGCAATTCCGCGTAGATATCCCCCCGCTGGAACGCGCTGCTGAGTTTTCGCAGCCTTCACCCCACTTCAAATCGCCGGAGAAGACTTCTAACAAATCATCCAACTCAAAGGTGGCCTCAAATCTTGATCCCGACGAGCCAAGTAAGCGATCAAATAAATATTGAAAATAAACTCGAATTATAGCGCCGATTCCCCAACGAAAGACAAGTTCTCCAAAGGAATCAACTGAGATTCCCCTCGAATACCGTTAGCGGAGCTTCTCCAATCTCAGAAGAGCACCGATGGCCGGGAAACTCAGGAAACTCAACCTTCTCAACTGAGCCGATATGAGATGATGGAGCGAGCTGCTGAGTTTTTGCAAAGAACTAGTCAAGAAGAACTACTCAATGATGAGGTGCCTTCGGATCCAGAGATCTCCCTCTCCGTCAGCGGAGAACTTTTCGATGATGAGGTGCCTTCGGATCCAGAGATCTCCCTCTCCGTCAGCGGAGAACTTTTCAATGATGAGCTGCAGCCAATGGATACTACGGAGATTTCCCAGCAAGAAGAAAAGGAAGCGAACTCCTCTCAAGGCTCCTCCGTCTATGAAACGCCTGAAAAGAGTCTACCGAAAACGCCGAGTAAGGCTGATCAATCAGCACCCGCAACACCTCCTCAGCCCTCGAGAAAGCTTCGGCGAAGCCTCTTCAATGAAAATCAGGAAGAAGAACCGATGGAGTCCCCGGAGATAATCATGGCGTCCTCAGGAGACACGACGGTGAGATCAAAAAAGGTCGAATTAAAAGATTCCTGGTCGCAGGTTTCTGGAGAGACGCTACGAGAGACTGAAGGGAGAAAAAGGAGAACTCACGATGCGCTGAACTTATGCGCCGGGAAGTCTCAAGAAGAAAGAAAGAAGAAGTCACAAGAAGGGATAAACCAGACCCAGCGAGTGGGCGATCTTTTAAACCACACAGCGCTTGCTCTCGACTCACAACAGTCAACCCAAGCAACTCAAGCTCGACAAGAGTCAACATCAGCAACTCAACTTCAACCTCAAGAAGAGTCACAAGGGACTAATGAAAAATATTTTACGCCTCCCACTTCTCCAACCTTGGAGGAAGCCTCAGCCACGCAGAAGACTTTCGACGAGGATTTAAATGACGATTACTTTGCGAAGCTGGCCTCAGATCTTGATCCCGACCAACCAAGTAAGCGATCAAATAAATATTGAAAATATACTCGAATTATAGCGCCGAGTCCGCAACGAAACAATTCCTGGTCACAGGTTTCTGGAAAGACGCTACGAAAGACTGGAGGGAGAAAAAAAAGGACTCACGATCCGGTGGACTTTTGCGCCGAAGAGTCTCCAGAAAAAAAGTCGCAAGAAGAGATGAACCAGACTCAGCGATGGGGCGATCTTTTAAACCACTCAGCGCTTGTTCTCGGCTCACAACAGTCAGCACAAGCAACTCAAGATCGACATGAGTCAACATCGGCAACACAGAAGACTTTCGACGAGGATTTAGATGACGATTACTTTGCGAAGCTCAAATCGCCGACGAGGAATACTGAAACAAAGAAGATTAAGAGGCAATCAGATCAGGCTAAACAGCAAAAAAGAGTTTACAGAAAAATTCCGAGATCGAGAGCAAAACCAACGCGCGACGAGTTGGATAAATCTTTGGCTAGAGCCCTTCGAAAATTACAAGCTGGCGGTATTAGTCGACGTCTGGAATTCGCGAGAGCTTTCATTTCAACAACATACCGACCACGAGATTCGAGCTTGAATCGAGAATTTGAAAAAGCGATTTCTTGGGAGCCAAAAGTACCAAATGTGAATTTTTCGAAGCTCGTTCCAGGATCATCAAGCCGTTTCAAAAGCGTCTTCCAGTAGCGGAAAAGCCTACAAAAGAAAAACCGGGACCTTCAAAAACTAAATCTTCAAAATCGCAAACTCATGAACGCTCGCAGCCACGAGAAGAGCAGGAGTCAGCTCATAACTGGTCGCAGCAAGCTTTGTTCGATGAATCTGCGGAGGATCGACAAGCACTATCGCCTGAACATGATCAGTCCCCACCCGCGCCAATTGACAGAGAGGACGTTCGCGAATTTATGTTTCCCACTTCAAACAAGAGAAAGCTTCAGACTCCTGAAAAGGACGCGCGGGGCGAAGCAAGCGCGAAAGATCACGCAGCGAAAAGGAGCAAGCACGAGAAAGAAAATATACCGCCTAAGAAAAGCGCTTCAAAGCCGACGATTCTTACGCCAGCTGTGGATGTCACCATTGCTCGTCGTCCAGGAACAGATATTCAACGAGCAACTTCCTCACGGAAGCCTCATCCTGCCTCGGTGAGACCATCGTCGCGACCGAATATCCGACCACCGCCACCACCACCGGTCGCTGCTACGAGAGGCCCTGCTCCTCCACCACCAACTGGACCAATTTTTAAGCCTCGAGCAGCTACTCCAGTCAGTAGGGACTCTCTAGTAGAGACTCCTGTTGATACGAATCCAGAGTATGGCACATTCGACAACACTGCTAACGTTACCAATCTTCCTTCCGAGAGAAACGCTGCTGATACGACAAATCCTGAGTACGAGACATTTGACCGATCTTTGAATGTCACCGCTGGAACCTCCGAACAGCCTGAGCCTGCGTTTTCTGGCTCTTCTTCAGATGTTTCCTCCAGAAGGTCGGCACGAAAGGACGATAAAGGCACTTCAATTGCTGATGCTGTAAAAGCCAGACGAAAGAGAGACGGAATGAGCCACAACTTGAATCCGAGGCAAGAATCTATTGCTTCGAATCAACGAGAGGAGGTAACGATTTGTAATCATGAAAAAGTATTCTAACTTTACCTTAGTCTGACGAGTCAGCCAGTGAAGAGTCAGTCCAACCAGCTTCAAGCGTCAAGCCTTACAAGGTAAACACACTTCAACTTCTAGCGCTCATGAAATAATTTTCTAGTGCCCAGAGTGCGAATACGCTTCCGTCAAAAATCAAATCTTACTCGCCATATGAGGTCAGTTCAAAATAGAAAATTTATTTTCTATTCGGGAAGTCCAACTCTGGATAAAAGTTTTTAGATCTCACACGGGCGAGCGGCCGTTCAGCTGCGACATCTGCGGCAAAGCGTTTGCAAACAGCTCCCATCTCAAGCGGCACAAGTTTTCGCACACGGGCGGAAAGCCCAACGAGTGTCCGCACTGCAAGGCGCGATTTACGCAGCACGGCAGTCTCAAAATGCACGTCATGCAGCAGCACACGAAGACCGCACCAAAGTTCGAATGTGAAATTTGCCACACGATGTTGGGCCGAAAGTCCGACTTGAATGTTCACATGCGCAAGCAACATTCTTATCAAGAGGTAACACCGGTTCTCGTTCTTATTGTTTTGTTTATCGCCGTTTCGTTTAGGTTCCCATGCAATGTCGCTACTGCGAAGAGGTCTTCCACGACAGATGGTCGCTCAACCAGCATCAGAAGACGCACCGCTTTAATAAAAATAAATTATAAAAAAATAAATTTTAGTTAAAATACTGCCAAATTATAAATTTCAATAAAACTGACATCGTAAAATTAAGAATGCGTCCAACGCCAGATTATTCAGCATGGTATGATTATACCGATTCTGTGTATGAGCCTTCTGAGGATTCGTTTGTCTTTCTTGATGGCATTGAAAAGGAACTTCAGGATAAATGTTTAGGCAAAGAAGTCAGATACTGAAGCATGTTTTGTAGCGCTTGTTGATTATTTCCATAGAAAAGCCTGGTCTAGCAGTTGAAATCGGTTCCGGATCGGGGTCATTTCATGTGCCTTCGCGAGTTGGACAAAAAGCTACGTTCTTTCTTTTGACATTAACGAGTTATGTTCCGAATGCACGAGTAAAAATGAAAAGAAGAACAATTCACTTGTAGACATCGCTGTTGACAACGCGGGTAGATGCCTTCGTACAGGTCTATTCGATTTTGTTTTGCTAAACCCTCCGTATGTCGTGACAACCAGTGAGGAGCTCCACAAATCACAAAAAGAGCAAGATCTGAGTGCTTCATGGAGCGGTGGAAATAATGGAACAGAGCTTTTATTAGCCAGTCTTTTGCCAAAAGCATTGAAGTTGCTGAATTACTCTGGTTGCTTGTACATCGTTATCGGAAAAGAGATTCCAGATGGAGAAGCCGAAGCAAGTCAAGTGTCAATCCTGACTGAATCCGAATTCTACTGGTTTTCTCGTATCTTCATCAGCGACGATTCGTCTGGGAGGTAAAATGTCATCATATCAACGCGCTGAATGATATCATGATGGATTTATTCAAAGACCGGCTCGACAATGGCTTCAAAATCGTGTTCTCAGGCAACGATGGACCAATCACTCTCGCTGATTAGGGACAATTCGAGAGGAAAGCGGATCGAATGCAGCAAAAAACTCATGATAGAGAAGACACTGGGATTATTCAGGACTTGGGTTGGAAAATTTACTGATAATAGAGTTCTAAGAAAATGGATTGTGCCCCTCTTTTTTTGAAAATTAAGTCACCCTTGGTAAAGATAGTACTCTTTCCTCCGATAGAACTACCGCGAAAATCCTTCGCCGACGAAGAAGAAGACCGCCGAAATGGCATCAAAATATCCACTTTTCACGTCGCCAGAGAAGTATGGGTCGAGCCGCGTCGGGGAAATCTCGCAAAAGGTCCTCCCGGATGTGAGGGAAAGAACTTCCTGGAGATCGCGCAGATCCAAATGACGCGGGATCACCAAATGATCATTTTTGAAATGACGTATAATTTGATCAAGGCGCAGTGTCGAGCGAAAAAGCCCTGGGACAGCTCCTTTGCTTTCAAAGACCTGAAGCAAAACTCAAAGCCGGCTGGGTTCGAGAACACAAGCGGGGTAAAAGAAGTGAAGATGAAATACCTCGACTACTCGTTAGACGAAGAATTCGAAAATCGAATGGATCGAGTCTTCTTTATGAACAATACCCACGACATTGAAAAAATGTTGTATCACGGCAATCATCGCCTTTTCGGCTTCTCCCTCCTCGAATCAACAACTGAAGATAAAAACCAGCCGAATCCTGGGAATGAAGAGCTCCTTCATCAATTCCATGCAGTGTTAAAAATCCGATCAGATTTTTCTCTCGTTCTTGATTCGGTTGAAAACATGAAGTGTCCGATTCAAGAGTTTCTTTGCGAAATGCTCGGCATCCGAAAGCGCGATCACAAGGAATCCAGAAGTACAGTTACTGACTATGACAATTATGAAGAGGATCAACTGTATGATGGAAACTACGATTCAGACGAGGACTATGATGATAAAGAGCATTCCGCAGGGTCATGCGACGGAGGTCTGCCGAGATCGAACATGAACAACACTCCTCACTGGGCAGTTTATGCAAGATATGTTGATGAAAAAGACAGTTTGATCATCACTGCTCTTCCTGAACGACTGAGCCATGTCGCCCTTCTTGAGTGCATTTCTCCACAGCTTTCGACAAAATCAATCTGCCTGAAGACGAGCCGCGTAACTCTGACGTCCAAGGAGTTGTTTCTGACTCCGAAGAAGCCGATTCTCGACTAAGAAAAGACTCTGAAGTTTCTTTCTGCCGCTCAAGCTACACAAGTGACGGAATTCTGGATCTTCAGAATCGAAAACACCGTGGAATGTTGCCAGTTCTTGTGACTGTTGCGGAACGGGCGAAAGTTCGAGAAGCGATAAACAAGATGAAGCCGATGAACAAAAAAATGACGGTGATGAACAAATGCTGGAAACCAGAGCTGACTGAATCGATGAAGAAGCAGGAATCCGTAAGACATGAACGGAATAATTCGTTCAGGTAATTAAAAATCTCATCTATTCTTTCCTTTTTTACAACTGTCCACTTTTAGCCCAGAGGACCTCTACAACCGCAGTTTTGTACGCGGAGTTTATCACACTCTTGGCGAAAAATCGGTGTCCAGCGACCCGCTTGTTTCTTCGACTGATTTTCACATTGCCTTCTACGAGCATTGCGTCCCGGAAGAGAAGAAAATCGTCATTACAGACGCGATTTTACTTCCTGCCAAAAATTCCGATCAGTGCTAGAAAATAATCTTCCGACAACATTCCACAAGAGCGCTTTTCATACTTTTCTTAAAAAAACAGCATCCATAGCAATCGCAATACAAGTAAAGAGGGTGTAGGGCGCCCAGGTTCACAATTGTGAACCCGTTTTGAAAATTTTTTGAATCCTTGTTGTCTTCAAATTTAGTTTTCCTTTTTCAAAACAGCATCGTAGTTAAAACAAAGAATAAATAAGAAGATTTTTGACCGAGGAGAGAAATTTTTTTTATTTATAAAATACGAAAATAAAACCAAGGCCACTGACTCGTTAGAGCAACAGCGCCAAAGCGTGGCAAAAAGAAAATTTCAAGAATTCCTTTTTGTTTTTTAGAAAACAATAATTTTTGGCAACAAATTGGTCTTTTAGCAGTTGTTTCTCAAAAGTTTCTCATTTAGAAAAGCGCTAAAGATAATGAACTTCTATTTCAGCTTTCTTGTCGAAGGACATTTGGAAGATCGACACGAGACCAGAAGAGCTCGAGGTTTTCCTTCATCTTCTCAGGCTTGTACAACATGTTACATGTACAAGAAGTCTTCGTAAATATCCTTGTTGAATTACTCGCAGAAGTGAATGATGTAGTATGTGAGGTCAAATGCTCTAGTGCCGAATTCTGCTTCAGAAAGTTGTCTACGACTCTCTCTTTGAACAGAATAAGGAAACGCGAGGAATCGGAAAAAGGCTGGAAAAAAGGCGATTCGGAGTTACGGCAGAGCTGAGAGATCTTGATTTTGTCCACGTGGTCCCTCTTCTTTTTTATTGATGGTGAGCCTTTCTAACCTGTTCAGATTGACTAATTTTTGTGAAAATGACTTCAATTTTCGCGAAAGAAAAATTCCATAGTCAAATTTCTAGAACGCCAAGAATCAGATCCTTTTTGTTTTTCTCAAGAGCTGCTTAGGGCTGAGATTTCACGATTCAACTTTTTTTTCGATTCAAATAATTTCATTTCATACGATTCTTTTTGAGTCAGAAATGATTCGAAAACGTCTTTTATTTCTAGTTTGACTTCGAGAAAAGCGATAAGAGTCGAATTTTCGCAATCGAAAAAATAATAAAATAGTTAAATTCTAACCGAAATTCATTCTCGACAGAAACAAACATAATCAACTGTTTTTTTGTTCTAGAAACTCTTTTTTGTTTCTAGAATCAAAGAATCAACAAGATTAAGAGTCGAGTTTCTAGAACAAAAATTAAGCTGATTATGTTTGTTTTCGTCGAGACAAGAAATCGAGTGAACGATTTTGCAAAAATTTCGATTCGAAAAGTATGACTTCCACCGATTTTCTCGAAATCAAACTAGAAATAATAAGTTTTTTTGAATCATTTTTGACTCAAAAGGAATCGAAAAAGATTGAATTTTTCGAATCGAAAAAATTAAAATCTTGAAATCTTATTCGTTATCAGTTCATAAGAATAAACAATAACAGCTTTTTTCGTTCTAGAAATATTCTAAATTCGGAAAACGCGAAAACTAGAATTGTAAAAAACTCGGTGGCGCTTGATCAAGTCCAGAAGGAAGGTTCCCACGGCATCGCCTGTGGGCGTGCGTTGATTGGTCGCGCGACGTGGCACGAATTCGCCGCCGACGTCAAAAACACTCCTTTATTCGAACACTGTTAAAAAAGTTCTTTTTACTGAACAAATGAGTCATTTATTATTCAAGCAGATTTTCGGTTCAAAAAATTTTTTCTGAAAATATTATTTTTGAGAGAAAATTTGAAACTAAGAAGTACGTGGCTTTGGAGAAAACTGAATTTCTAGCGCCTGTGGGATAAGGAACTTTCCGTCAAATTTTGAGGGCCTGACTCAGGATTTTTACGGTTCAAATGTAATTTTGTCTAAGCCGCCCGCGGCTTTGTTTTAGAAAAAGCGGTGACACTGGGAAAGTCGCCAAACGTCGCCGAATGTCGCCGAATGTCGGCGAATGTCACCACTTATTTTTGATAACAGAAAACAATTTTCTTTCTAAATGCCTGTATTTTAAGAAAAAGTCGCGACATTCGGCGACATTCGACGACATTCGACGACATCCTGAGGGCGCCCCAGAAAAAAAACGGCTACGACTGATTTTCTCAGGACCCTAAGTCAGGTTCTCAAGCCCATCCCTGTTTTTTTTTCAACGAAAAGCGGCGCGATTTGATTTTTCCTTTGAAAAAAGCTCTCATTTTCGAATTTATTAATAATCCTCTTCATTTTCAGAAAAAGTAATCGAATCGAGACGGCGCGATGCCGATGAACTTAGAGTACGTCGGCGATTTTTTCGCTTATTATGTCGTCGCTTTTGGAGCTCTCGTTCTCAGTAAGTTTTCCATCTCTCGTCCTGTTGCCTTAAAATCGATTCTAGCGCCACTGACGCTGAAGAAGTTCCAATCTTCGGCGAATAAAAAGGAAGAAGAAAGAATGAAAGAAAGAAAGGCGAAACATGGCAACTCGAAATGGTTCAAAAATAAGGTAAAAAATTACTTCGAAAATTATTTTCTTCCGCTTTTGTTCTACATTCTAGCGCGTTGAAAACGAAAGGATTTATGAAATTTTTCGTTATCTTTCGAAAAGGGGCTGAAAAAGCTGTTGCTTTAATACAGTTAAAAACCTGAGTCAGGGTTCGAAGGAGTTTCCCCGGCGTTTTTTTAACTGTTTTGAATCCTGAGTCAGGTTTTTCTGGCAGTTTTCTCCTCATTTTCTATTGATTTGTTGAATTCGAAGCGATACCCTTAAAATTTCCTAAAGTTCCAGAAAACTTAAGGGTATTTCCGTGAAAAAAAAGTGATTCAGTTTCGTTGAAATTTCGCCGAAAAACCCTTAATTTTCAAAGAAACCTTCCCTAACCAAAATTATTCTTCAAAAACAACCCTCAGTCCCGTTTTCTAGGAATCCGAATTGAAAAAAGTCGGCGCCAGTCCCTGGATCACCCGCTTCATCATCCTCCTGTGCTGGGCCCTGCTCGCTTTCATCGGCTACAACGCTTCCCAAACCGAAGAAGTGATCACCGTCGCCTTCGATCCCTTCGGAATCTTGGGCGTTTCTCAAAACGATCCGCAGTTCCAAGACTTCGAAAGCGGCAAAAAAGCGATCAAGAAAGTCTACAGGACTCTTTCGCGAACCCAGCATCCCGACAAGCTTCGAAACGAGTATTTGAAAGCGAACGACGGCGCCGAGATTCCTGATGATGTCGAAACGGCGAACAACGAAGCTTGGGGAAAAATTAACAAGGCCTACGAGACGCTGACGGACGAGCACATGTTCGAAAACTGGGTCAAGTATGGAAACCCCGACGGAATGCTCCAGACCAAATACGGCGTTGCCCTGCCCGCCTGGCTCGTCGAAGAAGACAACCACATGTACGTCCTCGGCGTGTACGGCCTCCTCTTCGGCATCATGCTCCCCGCCATCGTGGGCAACTGGTGGTACAAGTCGATCCAGTACACTTCCGAAGCCGTTCTTATCAAGACGACGAAGCTGTTCGAGTTCTACGTTTACAGAACGCCGCTGATGAATCGTCGCCGCGCGCTCATGGTCTTTTCCGGCGCCTTCGAGTTCAACTCAAATCACAACAAAGACATAAAGGAGCGGCCGGAAGATGCGGAGCAACTGCCGGTTTTGATGCGCGAAATCGAGGAATATGAGCGAAACGTTTCAAAGCCACCAACTGACAAGCCTTTTGATCAGGGCTATTCTATGAAGGTAAGCATTTCTTATTGGCATATTGGACGACATCTTCAGGACATTTCGAGACATCAATTATGAATTTTAAAGTTTAATGTCATTCAATGTTTCAGCCTGAGACTCTCAGGATGTTTTCGCAAATTTATAAACTGTGCGAATATTTAGCCTCTGATGTCCTAAAAATCTCTGTCGGCTTTGAACTTACACTTAAAGACATCTTGTGACATGGAGAGACATGATGATGGTTCAAAATGTCCCTCGATATCTTTACATGTCTCTCAATGTCTCTTAATGTCTCTTAATGCCTCTTAATGCCTCTTAATGTCTTTAAATGTCTTTAAATGTCTTTAAATGTCTTTAAATATCTCTAAATGTCTCAAAATATTTCTTAATGTCTCTCAAAAACATAACAACGAATCAAAGCCAACCTTTTTCATTCAGGTCCGCCTGCTCTACTTCGCGCACATGTACGACATAAAGCTGAGCCCCGAGCTTCAAGAAGACCTCGACATGATCCTGAAAAAAGTGCCCGATCTCCACGCCGAGTTGGTTTCCAAAGTCTTCTTCCTCACCCAAGCGATGCTGCAGCAGGGGCAAATGCCAAAAGTGCCCAAAGTCGAAACTCTGGATAACATAATCCGAAACATGCAGAATCTCGTCCAAGGTCTTCCGCTGAATCAACGCTCCGTCGCGTTCATGCAGCTGCCGCATTTCAAAGAAGACTTTATTCGATTCCTCAACGCCAAGAAGGCTCGATCATTGAAGCAATTGGCCGCCCGACCGGTTGAAGAAATCAGAGCCATCTTCAAATCCGTAAGTTGAAAATCACTCTCGTCCATCTATATCATTTTATCTAGCTGCCAGAGAAGGAGTTCAACGAGCTGTACGAAGTCTTCCGCGACATTCCAGCGCTGCAGATGAAGGTCGACGTCAAAGTCGAGGACGACGATGACGACCACAAGATCACCACCGGCTCGATCGTCACTGTCAGCACCGAACTCACCCGCCACAACATGGAAGAACTATCACAAGCTGCCACCAACGGAGATGTACCTTTTACCCCTTTCTAGCACTTTTAGGACTTTATAGCCAATCAGATCTTGTCCTCTAATAGACTAGTCTAACCATCAATCTTCAGGAAATCGTCTACAACGACGGCGACATGGGCGAGGTCAAAATCGCGCCCACTCCCGAGCAAAAAGAAACTGCCAATCAAGCGAAAAAGGTCAAATCCAAGAAGGGTCCTCAAGCTGCCGCTGCTAAACGAGCTGCCAAAGGTACATTTTTCGTTCTCTGTGAACTGTCTCGTGTGAATGTTTCGATCGTAAAACGTGAATTTCTTCAGCTGCTCGTGAAGCTGCTGAAAAAGGTGCTGGTGATGCTCCCGCTGTAGAAGATGACGAGGAAGACGAAGATGAAGATGAAAGTAAGTTGGTTCAATGAATCGTCAATTAATCCTTTCTTTTAGCCCCTGAAAACGCCTCCGAAAACGAAGACGCCGAAGAAGCGAGCTGGAAGAAACTCCAAAAGAAAAGTAAGCTCTCTCCATCCTTTTTATCCTCATCATCCTTTTCAGACAAGCGGAAAAACGTACTGACTCAAGACAACTCGCGATTAACGCACACAGTCCACGCGCCGCGCTTCCCGGTCGAGAAGCAAGAGTGGTGGTGGGTCTACCTCTGCATGACGAATCCCAAGCGCGAGAAGCTCTCCGAGCGACTTCTCTGCGAACCCGTTCAAGTTCAGAACCTCGGTAAGCCTCTTTCTCAGCCCTTTTTCTTCAACGATTCTTTTCTAGTCGACGTGAAAGAAGTAGACATCCGCTTCCCCGCCCCCGGCCGCCCAGGAATGTACAACTTCGTCGTCTACGTCCGCTCCGACAGCTACATCGACATCGACATGAAGCACGAGTTCACTATCACTGTCGAAGAGAGGGTCGAGGAAGAAATCGTTCCGGAAATGTGGGATTCCGAAGCTGAATCGGACGTTGACGGTAAGACATTTTTTGGCACATTTGCGGATGTTTCTCTTCTCATACGAGATGTGGATTCCCAAACCAGCGTTCAAAACCTGAGTCAGTGCCTAAGTCGCTCAAATAAAAAACTGCTTAGAAACGTTACAAAATTACCGGGGCAAACTTACTATTGCTCTAGCGCCTAGGGAATACATCGTAGCCCAAGACATCTTCATACGGATCGGTGGAGAATCTCAAGCTCTATGCCTGTATCATCTCAGATTTTCGAGATCTCAAAAATTTTCGGATTTATGGCGATTTTTCATTTTTCAAAGGGCTACGTGTCCCTAATTCAGCCAATCACAGCACTGTATTCGACGCATTTGCCCCGGTAAATTTGTAACGTCTCTTAGCGGCTTTGTTTTTAGAAAAGGCCCTTACTCAGGTTTCTGGAGATCTTTTGACACATTTAGCGATTTTAAAAGGCTTTAAGAGGCATTCAGAAACTCATTGCCTTTCGAAATTGTCTTTAGATGTCTTAAAATGTCTCGGGAAACATTTCGGCCTTTCAAAATGTCTTTGAATGTCGCTCGATTTCTTTGAATAATTTTTGATGCTTCTCAATTCGTTTTCTTATATGATATGATATAAGTTATATCTATTAGTTTTTGAATGTCTCATGTTGTCTTCAAATGTTCTTAGATGTCCCCATGTCATATACGGACATCTTGGGTCATTTATTAACTTTTGCTAAGGACAACTACTTTTAAGGACATTTTTCGACATTTCGAAAAGACATTTTGTAAGATCGGCATGTTTCCTCAGACATTCCAAGACATCCACAAACATTTTCTTTCTTATTGAAATGTCAATTAATTTTTCAGGTGGTTTCGTGACGGATTCCGACTCCGAAGAACCCTCCAGCTCCGAATACGAGACCGACTCCGACGAGGAATGAACCCGCTTCATCTTGGGCCTGCAATAATAATTGTGACGTAAATCCATTTTCGCCCATCAAAGTATTCCCCAGCGCCCTCGTTCGCCTTCAACCCTACTTTCAAAACGAACATTTCTGACCATTTTTTACCGTTTAGAAATTATCATTTTCTTTAAAAAGCTTTCGTTTTAAAAAGAACGACTAGGACTAGAATTGAAAAAAATAACGAATCATAGAAAATCTTCACCAATCTCTTTTTTTCTAGAATAAATTTCATACAGTATCTTCTCGCCATCACAACGTTGCTAATGAAACAGTACTCCCCCTTTTTTACTTCCCATTGAAAAAACTGTATTTTGTATTCTGTGCGTATCCTCAAAGTTGAAAACTTCATCAAATTCAAAATTGCTGAAACTCATTTTTCTCCAATCGGGGAAAAGTCGACCGATAGTTTCTTCACTTTCGTTCAATTTCTTTCTACTTTTGTGCAATAAAACATGCGCCAGGCAATATTTAAACAAAAATTGAGTAATCCTCGTTGTCGTTTTCTTGCAATTTTGATTTCAAAGATAAAGAAGTGAAAGATTAATTTATTATTATTATTTATTAAGATTAATTAATTTATTAAAAATAATTCAAAGTTCACATCAAAAATATACAAAAAGCAGCATGCAAATCTTCTATCTAAATTCTTGAAGTGAGGAGTTTTCCAAGCTTGTATTTCGTCTCATTCGGGTTAATCTAAAAATTATTTTTTTCTCGAAGAAGGGAAATTTCTTACTCGAAGATCGCGGTTGGAGAGCCAGTCCATAAAGAAGGGATTGTCCTGGAGTCGGGAAAACGCGTTGAGCACTTTTTTCGACTCGTAATTCTGGAGATCGGCAATTGGAATGGCAAAGTTTCTTTTCGAGTCGAATTCCGGGCGGCTTTTCTTGCCGGCTTGAGAAAGGGATTCTGGCGGAGCCGGATTTTTGGATCGGAAAAAGTCGCCGATTTCGGGTCCGAAGTTAACGGAAAGTGGGTAGTCTTGGCAAGGGCATTTAATTTTGTTAATAAGCTGGAGGTCATCAATGGGATTTGCCGCGACCTGTGTAAGAAACCTGAGTCAGGGTCCGAAAAGGTCCAAAACGATTTCGCCAGAATTAAAAAATGGTTATTTTTTCGCTAAGTTTAAAAAAATCGGCTTTGATAAATGTCTTTTTCGGACCCTGACTCAGGTTTTCTACACAGGTTACGAAGCCCGGGCCGAGAATTTCATCGAAAAAAAGAATAAACAAAGAATCTCTTTAATTTTGTCTGTCCTTATTTTTCTCATTCCATGATGAAGATTGATCCCTTTTCCTATAAATCTCCCAAACGCTCCGGCAAAAAACGACAAAACAAAAAGCAAAAAGTTCCCTTGCTTCATCCTCTTTTAAGTTCCTCGAACGAAGTGAGTGCTACTTTTCGAATAAAACGGCTAGTTTTAAATGTAAGCTGCTTTGAATATTAATTTTATATCTCGCCAGATCTTTCGCCGTCTGTTTTTTATTTAGATATTTAGTCAGCTCAAGTGCGCACTTGTCGATTCTCAATTGAAATAACGAAGGATGGTTTTGTTTGTTGAACTGAGTTTTTGTTGTTTCATTTGAAAGGCTATGCTGAATAGGCTATGCATGTGCAGTGGCAATGGCTTGATAAATGTATACTCGGGAGACGACCTTTGTTGTTTTTTGCTTCGTAATCTTGAAAAACCTTGAAATATTTTAAAAACTCTGCAAAAAATAATAAGACATCAGTAGACATCTGAGATGTCCAGATTCCCAAATATTCCTTGCTTGCGATTTTCTTATAATTCTCAAAAAAAAATAGAACCGAGACTCGGCTTGGCAACCTGTGTAGAAAGCCTGAGATTCTGGAGCGACTTTTCATCAGAACCTGACTCAGGTTTTCTACACAAGTTGCTGAGCCCAGCTTAGAGTACTTTTAGGCTTCTAAATCAATCGGGTCAAATTTCTGTTATTCATGAATAACCGAGCTTCTTAAAAAGTAATTTATTCTTATATGGTATTCAGCCGTTAAGTACAGCGAAAGGGGCTCAAGAACATTTGATCGAACGTTTAGTCGATCAGTTTAGTTGGAAGGCTTTTTAGAAATTCCTCTTTTTTTCTCAAAAAACAGGGGAGGATGGAAAACATTTTTTTTTCTGAAAATTGAGCGCCAAAAAATTCTAAAATTAAAACCATAAATACTGAACCAATAAGATATTCGGGAAATTTTCTATCGCAGGTATAGATCGATTCTTTAGTAGAAGCATCATAATTATCCTTAAACCGATTACAACATATCTGGTTCATCATTTTATTCAATACAGTAGCAACTTTAAAGATCCCATTGATTTCGTCCTCTTTTCGCGGCTTCGATTGCTTCTCGTGGCAGAACTCGCGGATCCCGCGCCAAAAGCTCGTCTAAAAATGACTTTCTTTCATTTCCAAAGAAAAAGGGACAATGATGCTCAATAATATTGATGACCAAAGACATAAAGAAGCCCAGCAGCAAGTTTTTAATCTGATTTGAAAAAAGAAAGAAAAATGAAGTTTTATCATTTATTTTTGATTTTTCAATTTCTCCTCCCTCGATCTGGGCTTGGAAACCTGTGTCAGACCCTGTGTCAGGATTTCAAAAGGATGAACTAAAAAGCCGCGCGAGAAACGAAGCCGCAAACCTTTTCTTTTAAGCTTTGACTTTGCGACTTTGTTTTTCGAAAAAAAAGCCGCGGCACAGCTTTTAGAAATCCTGACACAGGTTTTCTACACAGGTTTGTAAGCCCAGTTTCCTGATATTTGTGGGAGGAATCTGATCGATTTTTGAATTCGCGACATTTCGCGAAATTTGATGCTTACAAATTTCTCGGCGAAAACGAGAGAAGCTCGAACGTTTACGATAGAAGAAAACTTTTTATTTAAAAAAGATGATATTCTCATCCATGTCTTCACATATTCCATTAAATAAAAAAAATGATTTGGTCATTTTTCCCATTTTCGTACCTAATCGTTTGTTCAACTTTCTCGCATCGTCGGCCAAATCGCCCAGCAAAAGTCCATTACTTTGAGCTTCCTAAAGACCCCTTACACTAAACACATTCAATTCTAACTGACCCGTTTCATGAGAGAAAGCGCATTATCGAGTCTAGTGACGTTGTTGTTCAATCTTCCAGCAATGAGAGCGCGCTGAATGTCGCCGTCCATCTGACGAGCCATTTGCTCGCGCACATTTGTGATGCTGAAATATTTATGAAAAAAGACAGATTTGGACTTTCTGGAAGAAAAAATAATCGAGGGCATCATTTTTCTTCTGCAAAGATAGGAGGCTCGGCAATCTGTTTTGAAATCCTGAGTCAGGGTTTGAAATGCAGAAGGCTTTGGATTAGAAACATTTCAGATCCTGACTCAGGTTTTCTGTGAGAATTTGTGTATAAAACCTTAGTCAGGATTTGAAAATCAACATTTTAGGCAATTTTGTTAATTAAATTCCTGACTCAGGTTTTCTACACAGGTTCTCACAGAAAATCTGAGTCTTTTGTCAGAATGATCTTTTTTTAACCTGTGTAGAAAACCTGAGTCAGCTTTTCTAGAAATAGATCATTCTGACCAAGACTTAGATATTTTCTGAGACCCTGTGTAAAAACCTGAGTCAGGGACAGAAGTAAAAAGGAAGAAAAAAATGTTGATTTTCAAACCCTGACTCAGGTTTTCTCAAAAGGTTGCCGAGCCCAGCTGAAAAGAGGACAGCCTGTGTAGAAAACCTGAGTCAGGGTCGAAGCTTTCTCTAAGATGTTTCCGCTCCCTGACTCAGGTTTGTTTAAAAATGGTCTTTTCAAAATCTGTCATCAAAAATTTCATCTTCAAAAACTCACCAGGCTGGGAGAAAACGTGTCTTCTCTGGCATGTTTCTGTTTTGACTTTGATTCTCCGCAAGAGTCGTGGCCATTTTGAGCCACCTTTTACTTTTCACCCGTCACAGCGATCGTAAATTATCTGCTACTAGCTGGTCAATTTGGCAGGGCGGATGCTTTAGAAAGGCTTCAAGGTGAGAATCGCTTTCCTGTCGTCACTTTTTTTTTCTTAAAAGTGAGAAAGACAAGGTGTAGGGCTGCTTCTTTTTTGGACTTGAAAGCGAACTTTTTTTTCCTTTTTTTTTGACGAAAACACGTTTTTGAAGAATTTCATGATGAAATTAAAGTTTTTTTTAATTAAAGATTATCGATAAAAGCCCATTTTAAAATTATCAAAAAACCTAAAAAATGAACTGAGCTACTGGTTGAATTTGCTGATTCAACCATATATCCGGAACTCTAAGCAGAAACCCATGCAGAAAAGAGGTGGTGTCTGGAGTCGACAAAAAAATCCTGACAAAAAATTTTGTCGAAATACCATAAAAAATTTCCAAATCGGGCTTCGGCTGTCGACCAGAAAATTTCGACAATTTTTTTTCGCGAAACAAAAATGAAACACAAACTGATCCCTCTTTAACCCAGTCAATCAAAAATGAAAGGGATCACAAAATGAAAATTTTGCGATTTTTCCTGTCGAAATTTCATAAAAAATTTTCAAATCGGGCTTGCGCTGTCGAATTTTTTTTTGTCGATTCCAGACACCACCCCGCAGAAAAACTGAGTCTGGGTTCAAATAATTAATTAATATGTAACATATTATATGTTTTAAATAATTAAGGCAGTAGCCCGAGGGCAGGTGGTCTTATGGTGTAACGGTTAGCACTCTGGACTCTGAATCCAGCGATCCGAGTTCAAATCTCGGTAGGACCTCGCTTTTTTAAAAATGTTTTTATTGAGCTCAAGAATCTCGATCTTCGTCGACTTTTTTAAGCCTTTAAGATTCACGATTTTTAAGTTGCTAGAACAGAAATAAGCAGATTTTGTTTGTTTTCAATGAAAACGTATTTCAAGTAAAAAGTTTTACTTGATTTTCGATTTGGAAAATTCAACTCTTATCGGTTTCATTAAAGTCAAACTAGAAATAAAAAACGTTAAAGAATCGATTTTGACTCAAAAAGAATAGATAGAGAAAGAATTTTTCGAATCGAAAAAATACGATCGTGAAATCTCATTCGAAATGAGTCTCAATTAGAATAACAAAATTAATTCTAGAAATTTGACTCTTTTCAGCTAATTTTTTTTTCTTTCTCAAATCTTGAATATTGATAAATCTGAATAAACAGCCCAAAACTCATTTTCTCTCTTTTCCGAGGATTTATCGCGCTAGGAGCGTAGCAAATATAATTTTCTTTTTCCAAACTTTCGCCTTTCCGAAAATGCAAGAAAATTTATTTGAACGAACCGATGCTTCAAACTCTAGCGCCATCTAATGGAACCTTTTCAAAAAAAAATCAGTGGAAAACTTTGCTTGCAATTTTTTTTTGTCGAAAAAAGAGATTTTTTCAAAAGTACGAAAAGTACAGTTTGAATCATTTTTCTTAAAAAAAGAGACTAAAAACGCTAGTATGAAAATTATTCCGAAGATTCTAGCGCTCTTGGTGGCTTCAGGAAGGGATAAGAAAGGCCTAGAAATTTGTTCTTTTCAGCAAAAAATTTTTTCATCCCCGAAAAAGCAGAAAACTTCAGTGGTGACATAAACGATTTTCCTTCTGAAAAATTCGTCGAAAATAATGCGACAATCGCGGATTTCGTGGATCAGCATTTATTCGGCAAAATGATTCTCAAATCTTCCGGCGATTTGGGCTACGAAAAGGTGTTGGAAACCATCGCTGGGCAAAATGTTCAAACGTAAGTTCTTATTTTCTTCAAAATTATCAGGATTCGCCAATTTTCGGCCGACAATTTTGACAAAAATTTTAAGAAATTTTGTCTGAAATCTGATTGGTCTATCGGCCAAGAGCGGAAATTTGATTGGTCCGAAATTTCTTAAAAATTTTAGTCAAATTGTCGGCCGAAAATTTCCGATTCCCGCCACCACGCCAAAAAATTCAACCCATTTTCTAGAACCGGCGAATTCCTCGAAGCCCTCGGAGTGCCAAAAGAACAAGGCTATGCCGGTCTCGGAATGGCCCAAGCCCGAAAATTCAAGCACGTGATCTCCTTAATCCTCTACCTCCAAAAAATCCCCCTCGTCGGCAAATTCATCTACTACGGCTGCTACTGCTTCGCAAATGCTCAATTCGACCTCGACGCTGGCTTCGGAAAACCAGTCGATCAAATTGGTAAAATTCTTGTTTTTAGTAGGAAATTTTGAATTCTTAGATCGGGCTTGCAAAAACTTCCACAGTTGTTATGGCTGCATCGAGAGAGATTTCGTCAAAGAAAAAGAGCAAGAAGATTGCGATGGAACACATCGATCCTATCTCGTTTCTGGCACCGAAGATCCCGAAACAGGAGAAAAAACAATCAGCTGCCTAAACGAACTCGGCAGTTGCAAACGATCAATTTGCGAGTGCGACAAAAAGCTGGCCGAAGACCTTTCCGAAGCTGAATTCAACTGGTCTCTTTTCAACCACGGCGCTTGGGGCGGATTCGATAAGAAATCAACTTGCGTTGCTTCTTCTTTTCAATCGCGGCTGGGAGCGAGCGCAACAAAACCAGTTGTTCAAAATCGCTGTTGCGGCGATTATCCGAATAGGTAAGAAAGAAGGACAGGGCTTGTCTTCCTGTTGCGTTCGAAAACCTGTGTAAAAACCTGAGTCAGGATTTCAAAATGCGGATCTTCTTGTTCAAGCTTTTTCGAATCCCTGACTCAGGTTTTTACTCAGGTCTTGACTCAGCAATTTGCCTAAAAAAACCTGAGTCAGGGTCCTGAGTGAGCAATAATGCGGGTTTCTTGCTTTTTCAGGATCCAGACTCAGGTTTTTAACGCAGGTTTCTGACTACGACTTTTCTTAAAATTTTATCTTTTTAGATTCAAATACGCTGCAAAAACATCAGATGGATTTCGCCGAAGCTGTTGCAATGGAAAAACCTACGATTTGGACGGACCTTTAGTTTGCTGCCAAGGAAGAGATCTCGTCGAGTTTGGAAATTGCTTGCCAGGAGATGTCACGATTGACACTCCAGAAACGGACCAAGAGTTTTACGATTGAAGATGATTTTTGCTGTATTTTTGAATAAACATTCCGCGCATGAAGCTTGAAAAAATCAGTATCGGACAATTTTTTCGAATCGTTTTTCTGCTTCTGTTTTCAAATCCGCTCTTTCTTCTTCTGAAAGTCGATCCTCTGCAAGCTTCGAAGGTTGGATCTTTTCAAAAGCAGGACCAGAAGATCGTTCATTCGGATCTCGAGACCAGATCCAGAGTTCGAATCCTTCATGATCGTCATTCGGAATAGAGTCGCTGTTCCAGAGAACTTGGATTTCATTCGCAATTGTATCGATCTCCAATTTACTCTAGGACAAATTTTATTATTAATAAATTATTAATCGGCAGCTTAGCTTACAGAGTAGTATCCGCAGAGATTCTCTTCTCTTCCAATAATTGATAAATAATCGCCACAATCATTTAGTGGATCGACGTCGAGGAATTTGAGCCTGTAGGTGATCTGTTCCGTTTCAGATTTGATCGTCACTAGAATTTAAGCTAAAGATGTTTTGCGCTGATTTAGTCTTACAGGGGCAGTTCCTGTCGTCATGGTACACGTAGCAGCCAGGTCCACACTCACTCTCGAAGTTACCCCCAGGTGAAGATTGCGATGAAGAACTTGAAGATGAAGAGCCTGGTACATGTTGCTGGCTGCATTCCTGGCATGTCGGGTACGCTGGAGCCCTTAATACTTAATATAGAGCTGAGCTGGCCATTTTCCGAGGTCATTGAGCTGAGCAGACCCTTTTCAGGCCTGAGCTGAGCTTATTGAGCTGAGGTGAGGTATTTATACCGCATTTTACTTGATAGTCCAAAAATCACTAAGCTGAGCAGAGTGGTTATTGTTCATACTTAGTCTTGGTCTTAACTAGTCTTAGAGACTTAATTCCACATCCGGATAAGTGGTGGTCGAGGATTTTTCTATGATTCTTGATTTTTTGCCATATAATTTTTTTTGCATTTTTTCTAGCTTCAAAATCATGTTCTGGGCAGAAAAAGCCGCGGAAATGGGCCAAAAATGAACAAAAATCGATAAAAATTTCTCAAAATTAACGAAAAACGCGATTTTAGTACCACTTTGACGATAAATTTCGACAATTTTCCGTTGAAATTATTTTTCAGACCAAGTCGCCCACATTATTTCAACCCTTTATAACCCATTTTCGATTAGAAGAAATAACATTTTTATTAAAGTTTCTGCGCTAATTTTGTTAAAAGAAATCTCATTCTCGACCACCACCCTCTGTCTAGTCTCATTCGGAAGCATACCTGAGAACGAGTGTAACTCCATCTTCAAGAACATAAGGATCAGGTGCGTTGCAAATAAATTGGTCATCCCAAAAAGAGTCTAAAAACAAGCTTAACGCAAGCTTTCATCATTCGCTTTTACTAGCAAAATCCGCTATAGAAATAACAGTTACACCCATCAGAAGGGAACAGAAGACCATGCAAATGAATGCTTTGATTTGTGTTGCTTTCTCCTCTGATTGTTTCTGAAAGAAAAAAGTTCTTTTTGATTTCAACGAAAAAATCTTTACGTTTTCCAAATCTGATCCGGTCATCTTGAAACTAACTAAAAATTTGTTATTTTAAAAAAATTGTACATTCATTCTAGAGAGCGAAAATCCTTGACTGCAAATTGCAAAAACAATCAAAAATCAAGAATCAAGAATTTATAAAATCAACTTTATTTTTTTTTTCAAAATCAGTATCGAACAATGTTTCCGAATCGTTTTTCCGCTTCTTTTTTCAATTCAGTTCTTTCTTCTTCTGAAAGTCGATCCTCTGCAAGCTTCGATGGCTGGATCTTTTCAACAGGAGCCGAAGATCGATCATTTGGATTTTGAGACCAGACCCAAAGCTCGAATCCTTCATAATCGTCATTTGGCGAGTCGTCGCTGTTCCAGAGAACTTGAATTTCATCCATCATCGTTGCGATTTCTGATCCGCCCTAGAAAAGAGGTCGATTTCTTGCAAGAATAACTGTTATTTCTTAGTCGAGTTTTTTTATAAAAATGACTTACTCCAGAATATCCACAGACTTTTTCGTCGAATCCGATGATTGACAAGTAATCGGCACAATAGTCAGTGTTTCCATTGTACCCCGGAGGTTCTTCGTAGCCATAAACAGGAGAGTAGCCGGTGAAGGGCTCATAGGCTAGTGTCTGGGCTTAGAAACCTGCGTAAAATATTGTTCATGGTCCATGAATAATGGTGCTGAATATTAGGCTTGTCAAAAATCCGCGCGTGACCCTGAAGCAGGTTTCTACGCAGGTTTTCGAGCCCGAGCAAGAGTTGGGTCGATATCGATCATTTTGATTTCGTAGCGGATCTGGTTGCTTTGAGATTTGATCGTCACTAGAATTAAGAATAGAATTGCTGTTTTTTTTGTATTTCTTACAGGGACAGTTCTTGTTTTCATCGTAAACGAAACAGCCAGGCGAGCAACTTTCATTGCCATCCTCATCAGTAGAGCAATGTTCGCAGGTAGGATGAGTTGGAGGACTAAAAAATACCAAATCATCCAATGAAAATGCCGTATCTTTCTTTTCAGCCAATAAGATTGACTTTTTCATCTTCTTTTCCAGCCAATCAAATCTCACCTGAGAATGAGGCTAACTCCATCTTCGAGAATAAACGGATCCGGCGCGTGGCAAATGTCTTGATAGTCACGTGTCATTCCTCAAATCTATTATCAAAACATAAGATGCTATTTTCCTACCAATAAAAACACCAAGACCAATGAACAAAATTATCAAGACGCAAATGACGGTTCCAGCGATCATGTCTTGGGCTGGGCGGGAGAATAATTCTGTGGACAGAACTATTCTGTGGAAACAGAACTATTCTGTGAAAAAACAGAACTATTCTGTTTGAAACAGAACCATTCTGTTTGAAACAGAACTATTCTGTGTTGAGCTTAGCAAAATTCACTTTGATAATGTCGTAGATAGCTTATAATACTTTTGAACTCATGTCGAAGAGTGGAAAAGGATTGACTTCAGTCGGTCTTCGAATCTTGCAGCGAAAAACAATCAATAAAAATGATAGTTTGTTAATAGAAGCTGAACCGAAGAAGCTATGAAGCACGCTACGGGCCTACGGCCCTTGCGCGCATTTTCTGATAGAGAACTCATTGGGTTGGCAGGGGCAGTCTTTTTCTACCGCTGGGACTCATTTTTGGCAGCAAACAACTTCTGCATTCGCACAATAATAGTTGTTTTCGCCAAAAAAAATTTTTTTTCACAGAATTATTCTCCCGGAAAGGGGGGGTATTATCGTGAGAATAATTCTGTTTTCCACAGAATAGTTCTGTGCACAGAATTATTCTCCCGGTTGCCCCATGTCTTGTTTCTAAAGGAAAAAGAAAAGAAAGGGAAAAGTGGAAAAAAACTAACGCCTCCTCGACTAGATCGGCTTCCAATGCCCGGGTTGGGATTCGACACTGGCGGTGGCGGTGGAGGAGCGCCGCCGTAAGATGGCGCAGCTGGGGCGGACGCGTTCTGTTGAATGTTGATGATCATTGGCTGAGAAGTACTTGGCGCTGGTGGCTGCGGTGGCGCCAAGGATGGGGCTGCTTCTGGAGCAAAACCATAAGGATCAGGCGCTCCGTAAGCCGGCTGCTGCTGCTGATATTGCGGTGCGCTGCTTGTTGGATACATTTTAAACTAAATTCCCCTTTTGCTTTTTGCAAACAATTTTTATTCATTCTAGAGAGAAAATGACTTTATTAAATGATCAATTGACTAAATACAAGAGGTACCAAAATGATGCCAAGTAACGAAAGCGTAAACAGTGAATTCATCTTATGGCTCCAAGAAAATATGCTCTATAATTGGCATCGATGATGTTTTTATAGATTTCTTGATCAGTGATGAATCATCACTTCCTTGTTGATTTTGTACATAATCTCCGGTCTACGAACTTTCTGGGCGGATAAAAACTACACTGGATTTTTGATGACTGATCATTTTGAAAAAGAGATGCTTTATTTATTGTTTTAAAAATCAGTATCGAATAATTTTTTTGAATCGTTTTTCTGTTTTTTTCTTGAGTTCATTTTTTTCTTTTTCTGAGAGTCGATCCTCCGGAAGTTTTGACGCTTGAATCTTCTCAAAATTAGCAGAAGATCGTTCTTTCTGATCCTCAGACCAGACAAAGAGCTCGAATCCTTCATGATGTTCATTTGGCGAAGAGTCGCTCTTCCAGAGAACTTGAATTTCATCCATCATCGTTGCGGTCTCTGATCCAGGGTTCGAAATCCGCCGAAAACCCGTGTTCACTGTTCACTCTGGAGTTAACAGCATTCTCATAACGCAGTTCACTGTTCACTCTAGACTCTAGAGTCTAGAGTGAACAGCGATTTGAAAATCCTGTTCACTGTTCACTCGAGTGAACAGAGTGAACTGTTCACTCTGCCCGAAATCCGGAAAAATTATTTTTTTTTTTGCAAAATTTTAAAAGTCAAACTAGATTATTTTCAAGCTAACAAACATTAATAAGTCTTAAAAGAGACGTTTTTAGTAGTGAGAGGATAATTAATCGTCTCTTCCGATATATATTACTGTAAAGTGTTTTCTCGTCATGATTTTTTTTGAAGAATACATTCTAGAACAAAATTGTTGCTTTTCCACCACAATTTTCTGCTAGAATTTTGAGTCGACAATAACAAATCTGCTCTAGAATTTGTCAAAACCCGGTGAGAGAAGAGAGTGAACAGTTCGCTGTTCACTCTACTTTTCAAAATGCTGTTCACTGTTCACTCTCAGAGTGAACAGAGAGAACAGTGAACAGTGAACAGCTCACTCTGTTCACTCTGAGTGAACAGCAAATTTCGAACCCTGCTCTGATCCATCACCGTATCCACAGATTTTTTCGTCGAACCCGATGATAGACAAATAATCGCCACAGCCATTGTCGCCATTGTTGGTTGGGTCGATGTCGATCCAAGTGATCTCGTAGCTGATCTGGTGAAGCTCCGATTTAATTGTCACTTGAAAGGGAATGTAAGTGAGTCCTTTTTCTTGGCGACGCTTGTTTTGTCGCAAAATGTCGTCGAATGTGGATTTATTTTGCTGAATGTCACAAAATGTCCCTAAATGTCGCAAAATGTCGCCGGCATTCGGCGACATATTTCCATGGCGCCCCTTTTCCTTGAGCACTTACATGGACAGTGTCTATTATCAGAATAAACAAAGCAGTCATCAAAACAATTTTGTTCACCACGGTCATCTGTACTGCATCTTTCGCAGGTCGGGTGAGTTGGTGGACTAGAATGAAATTCAGAATAAAAATACCAAATTGCCTCTTTTACCTGAAAATATAACTGACTCCATCTTCAAGAATAAAAGGATCAGCTGCTTGGCATATATTTTTATAATTTTTTCCCAACGCTGAATTTTTTTAATGGAATAGTATCGTATTATCTTTATGCTTACAATATAAATAACCGATAAGATGGAAACCTCCAAAGATTAACCAGAAGAAACAGACCGCAGCCAATTGTTTTGCCTTTCAAAAAAAGTCATAAGAAAAAAAAAACCGAAAACATACGCATCCAGGTTCTTCTTCTGAAGACGAAGACGGTACCGGAGCGGAAAAAGGTTTTGGTGCAGGAGCACCGGCAGGGTGGCTATTTTGGACAAAATTTCGGGGTCTGGCCATCCAATTTCCATCCAATAAATTTTGAGTCAAAGCTATCCATCCAAAATCCAATCCAATCCAATTTTACCCAATTCCCCAATAATCCCCATTTCCAATTGGATCCAATTGGGTTTCCAATTTTCCCAAGGCTTCTAGTACTTTGAAAAGAATGGAAACAGTAAGTTTTTATCCGAAAGGAGGATCAACAGAGCCAAAACGATGATTTTTTTTATATGAAATTGTTCATTTTTATCATGAAAATGACCCTACTTTGCATAGTTTAAAGATATATTTTTTATTGGATCCGATTCCCCCAATTTCCCCCAATTGCCCAATTTTACCCAACAAAATCCGGTACCCTGGCCATCCAAATTCCATCCAAACGTTATTGGATTGGATCCAATCCAATTCCAACTAACCCCCAAATCCAAAATAGCCACCCTGAGCACCGGTATCCGGCTTCAGCTGGACTCAGAAACCCGTGTAAGAAACCTGTGTCAGGGTATTGAAAGACTTTTCAAAAGAACGAAGAGTTCAAAGTTTAAGTGGCTTCCTTGCCTCTAAGTTATTTATTAAGGGTCCTTACTCAGGTCTGTTCACAGGTTTCCGTGTCCAGGGCTGCTGCTTGTGATGTTGAGGGCTTGTTTGATTCATGAGAAACTGAACTCCCTTTTCTGATTTTTCAAAAAATAATTTCAATTCTAGAGACAAAGTCGAATAACAAATTGGTTTATTTTCGCATCAAAAGATTATTGTTGATGATTCCCCATTCGTCCTCGTCGATCAGGTCGTTTACCAGCATTCGGAAAGTGTACCATTCTCGCGTTCGCTGAAGAAGGGAGTGGAAATGATCTCGATCAGTTGAGTCACTGAAAATTTTTTTTCAACAGAGAAGGTTTATTATTTAAAATCTTACCCGTGTTTATGAGAGCGCCAATAGCCAAAAACCGCAAAAACAAGAAAAGCAAAACGCAGAATCATTTTTTCTCCTCTTTTTCGTTCTCTTTTTGTTCGATTTTGAGTTGCGAAGAAGCTGTTTTTTCGGATTGAGCATTGAGCAGTATTGGCATTGTATTTTCAATTGATTCCAAGTGGCGTTTCAGCCTTGTTGAGTTCACTTGATTGAGCGCCACTTTCGCTTTAGATCGAAAAAATCGAAAGTAGAGCTGGAAGTTATGAACTATTCACACTTTTCGCAAAAACGACAGAGCCAGATCAGGTGAGAATTTGGCTTGAAAATTCAAATTTTGATGAAAAGGCAAAAATTGCTCAAATTTTTGCGAAAAAATTTTTTTCTCTGAAATCTGATTGGCTTACTGGCTTGGTGCGGAGATCTGAGTGGCTGGCAATTTGACCAAAATTTTGGTCAATTTTCCACCATTTTTCGGAAAAACAGCGAAAATCGGCAAAAATTATGAAAAATTTACCAAAATTTTGGTCAAATTTCTCGAGCCAATCATATCTCCGCATCTAGCCAGTGGGCCAATCAGATTTCAGAGAAAAAAATTTCACAAAAATTTGAGTTATTGCTCCTTTCTTCAATTTTTTTCTTTAAAAAGAACTCTAGAAACGAACGTGAACGACAAAGAGTCCGAAACGTGAATCAAGCATTTGAAATTCTCCGCGAAACGGTCCCGAATCTCTCCAGAAAACGTCTTTCAAAAGTCGAAACTCTCAGAGCTGCAACTGCTTATATTCAGTTCCTTATTTTTGAACTCGAAAAACACCCCGAAAAATGAAGGAAAATAAAACTCAATCCTTTCTAAAAAAATTGTTTTCGTCTGAGAGTCTAAGACTAAGACCATTTCATTTTTGGCTGATCAATTAGATGTCTTCTTGAAATAAATATTAGATAAAAGAAAGAGAAGAAATATTTGGCCACACCTTCTACTGCCAAGAACAGCTGTGCGTAAATAAAGAAGCTACTTGAATATTTTATTAAAGTACAGTAGTGGAACTATCGCCAGTAGACAAGGCTATTTTAACAGGTCATTTTGCTTAAAAAAATCGCGCTTTCAATTGGTTTTCGAGTCAAAAAGGGGTATTTTGTTGAAAAATTAAGGCACATTTCAAATGTGACATTTGGAAAAAAATGACGATAAAAATTCTTTCCTGTCCCCGATTTTCCGTCCTTTTCTGAAGCTCAGATGGTCAGATCTGTCGATAGTGTTAGATAGATCTGGGAGGGTAAATAACGATTGCTGATTTTGAAAGTACGCGTTATCGCGACAAACAAATATTTACGTATTCAGCAGTCGAGGCACCACTTTGAGATTAGCGCTGAATCAAGCAAGGAGCTTTCGATTTCTCACCGCCATAAAATTATACAAGAAAGAGAGAGAAAAAAACGGGCCAAAATGGCGGTCATTTTCGCGAAGGAACGAGTTCAGAAAATCATTTTTGAAATCAAGGAAGAGAAAAATTTGAGCTCGAAAAAAAGCAAGTGAAAAATATTTCAATTGCGATTTTTACTTTCGCCTCTTTGGCGATCATCACTGATGGCTATGCCATTTCAACCCTCATCGTTACGGACATCACGACTGGATTGGCTCTTGGTACTCTTGGAGCTCTTTGCGGAATTTTCGCGGGAATTCTCGGGATGAAATCTTATGATCAAGAAGACAACAAGTGAGTGTTATGATTTATTTCTTTTCTGACCAATCAGATCGTCGCTTTTTTTCTTTCGTCCAATAAGAAATCGGCAGTCCAAATTTTCACCAATAAAAAAAGCTTTTTCCTGGCCCGAGCCAATCAGAACTCTTGATTCAAATCTGGCCAATAAGAAGCTCGTATCTTAAGTCTAAGCCAATCAGAGTCCAGAATTTTAAGCAGTTCTAAAACTTGATTTCTAGGGAAATGTTTATGATCATGTACGACGCTTGCCAGACTTTTTGCTACATCGGAATGGCCGGATGCTTTGTTGGTCTCTGCTGGAATGGATTTTTGATGAGCTTCCTCACAGCCAGGGTTCATCATCCTTATTCTAAAGATGGTTTTTTTCATCAAATAAAAACCTTGAAAAGCCTGTTCTTTGGAAGGAAACATTTATCAACTAGAAGGATGGATGAAGGATACATGTGACAAGGCTGCTTATGCGACCTGCCCAAAAGTCCTTCTTGACCGAGACGATCCCGATATTATTCTTCGAGAAGATGATTATGAAAATTGCGATGTAAGAAAAGAAGACTCTTCTGTCAAGCTAAATTCTTTCAGAACAAAGAGGACGCTGCTGCGATCACATCGGTCTTCGCCCTTTACAACATCGAGATCATCTCCCTCATCGTCGTCTTCTGCCTTTTGATCGCGCTGGCGAACTCAGACGACTTCTGTTTCTGGTAAGAGAATATTTGACAGCGAAAGAGTCTCGTTTTCTGAGTAGCTCTCAGAATTCGATCAAGTGCTTTATTTGATCTGCCAGAGACGTTGTTTTTGTCTTGAAAGCATTTTCAGTGGAGGAAACAAAGTCGATCCTGAGGAAGATGAAGAAATGATCAAAGCCGCCGATTCCGTAAGTAACAATAAGCTGTGTTGAATACCTGAGTCAGTTTGGCCATGAAATTTTCCGCTGCAGCAGGTTAAAAATGACTCATTTTTCAGGACGATGATGACAGCTCAGATGAATCGAGCGACGAAGAAAACGACCCAGTTCCGTAAGTTCTCATTTTCAACCTTTCCAAAATCCCCTCCTCTAGAAACGAAGTCAACGTCATCGTCGATCTCGAAGAAACTCAATCCGAAGTCCGCCCAAAAACGCCCGTATCGCTCTTTTCTCCTTCTCAGCGATCTTTTGAGACCTTTGTCGTGAGTATTTTTTCTGAAATCAAGGAAGAAAACGGAATTCAGGAAAACGATCCAGTGACTGGAATTGATCTCAACGGACTTGACGATTACGAAGACGTCTGAAAAACTGAGCTCGGCAAGATGAGAAGAAAACCTGACTCAGGGTTTGAAAATCAAAATTTTTGTGTGTCTTTTTAATTCTGATTCTGACTCAGGTTTTTAAGTCAGGTTATCACAGAAAACCTGAGTCTTGGTTATAATGATCGATTTCTAGAACCTGACTCAGGTTTTCTTCACAGGTTAAAAATTGATCATTTTAACCAAGACTCAGGTTTTCTGTGAAAACCTGTGTAGAAAACCTGAGTCAGGGTCTGAATTAACAAAATAGCCTGAAATGTTGAATTTTAAACCCTGACTCAGGTTTTCAACTCAGCTTGCCGAGCCCAACTGAACAAAAAAAAGCAACAAAAACATGATGTGAGTCACGTGACTCAAAATTTATTTTCCCAAAGAATTTATTTTCCACAAAATATAACTTCTATACTTTCAAAAAATGAGTTACAGTACTGTCTTCTTATTTTTCTTGCCTCGGCGTGAAGGAATTCTTTAGAGGAGGCGATAAGGAATCACTTTTGTTCGTTATCGCTGTTTGATTACCTGCTGGACACGAGCGATGGCAGTCTCGAATAAAAGCTTGGGTAAATATTTTCGTGGTTGTGATGCGGACAGGGCGCTGATCGTCGAAGAAGGAATCGGACGGTGATCTCAAAGGAAGCAATTTGGAAGTTGGATTCGGGAAGTTATTTTTACCAGAATGAATCCGTAGACGAAGATTGTCCAAACTATCACAGCAAGGCCACAAATTAATGCTTGAGAGATCCGAACTTTCTCTCGTAGTTGTTCTCTTGGTTTCCTGCAGGAAGGGGACTCTACTTGGCCGGTTCTATTGTTTTATTTCAGTAATTCAGAGAGTGTCTTGTTCAGGGTAGTGCAGGGCTATTTCTAGTGCGCGAGGCGCCTGGCCTAATGATAAGAGATGAGAGGGGACGGGCGAGAAGTGAGCTCGGGGAAAATTCCGATCCCACATCCCACCCAAGTCCGAGAGAAAGGCGAAATAAATCAGCAAGAAAACATAAACGATAACAGGTAAGAGCTTTAGCAATCAATGTATAAATAACGATTCAAAGTAAAGATTCGAGACACAGCGAAAAAGAACGTGGCGATAATTTGCACAAAAAATACAGGTAACTTTTGTTAGTAAATTCTTTTTGTTTTTCTATGTTAGATTTTATGATTTTTTTCTGTTGAATAATAGAATTTTACGATTTTTTTTTTTTTCAGGATTTTTACGTTGTTTCAAACACACGCATCGTTAATTTACAAAATGAATAAACTCCCCTCCTCATCTTAAAATTGTTAGTAATTCGAGATAATTGCACTTTTTTTTTTTTTTTAGTGATTAGATGAGGAGGCTTAAATAATTACATTGGGGATTTCGAAATAATTAAGCACAAATTTAATCGATAGTAATAGTACTCTGGCATTTGTTCGCGGCGTTGACGTCGTTGTTGACATCGTTGTTGACCTCGTTGTTGCACTGAGTATCATCTGACGATTCACTGTCGCTAATTTTGCTGAGTTCATTTCGAATTTCAAGTTCACTAGCGCTTCTGAAGGGACCAAGCATAGTTTCTTCAAGGGATACCAGTTGTTTTTTCAATTCGGTTAGTTCCTTTTTTAAATTCTTGATATCGCTTGAAGTAGGGTCTTCCATTTTAAACCATATCATTCCTCGTTCGGAGCAGTTCAGATATTCTAATTCGCCGGATCTCTTAGAGACAATGTTAACCCAAAATTCGCCTCCATCTGCTGTCGCGATTATCTGGTCCTTTTCGAATTTCCCATGTTCTAGTGTTTCCTTGAACCATAAATGCGAAGGGTCGAGGAGGCGATGTCTTTTCGTTAAATCGTCGCAATCGTAGCAAGCTCGAGATCTATTTCTTCGAGGCATTTTGATTTTTCTCGTTTTCTGTTTTTCTCAGTCTGGGCTTTCAGAACTTGAAATCTGATTTTTTATTTCTAGCGTGCTCTGGCGATAAAGCGTCTGCTGATACGGCGACTTCTCCTGATCCAGAAGGTTAGCAAATTCCTTCAGAGTTCAAGTGTCAGAGTACTTCAGTATCATTGCTGTCTGTTGATAATGGATGATTTTCGATCTGTAATGGAAAATTTCCACGAACCAGGAACTCTCCAAGAGTGGAATCGAAGACTCGGGCGAGTTGCTCGCGTTTTTGCTGAAACTGGAGGTTTTGACGATGGCGAAGAGATCGTCGGAGTGGTGTCATATCGGTTCCGGTGGAACGCAGAGGGCGCGTACTTTGGCTACTCAGAAACCTACACAATTTGTGAGACGATGACTCCACGAGACCACGGCGCATTTGAAAGACGTTTCCGGTTTCTTCCCTACGAGTTCTGCCCCGACGAAGTGTGCCGAGAGTTGTTGTGGCTTGGAGAAGCGTGTTCCCCAACACTCATAATGCCCCGCGACATTCCTCTTATTGACGATTACGATTTCTTCCGAATCCGCTCGCTGGCTTATCATCAGAATTACGTACAAGCGTCTGGTGACGAGTTGAAAGACAAATTCTGCTCCACAATTCGCCAACAAGTTCTATCTTATTTTGCTTGATTATTCTTTTTGAGTGACTGACATTTTTCTTTGCTGTGAATTCAAAATATATAACACTTCTTTTTTAATGGAGGAGTTTTTATCTTCTTTCAAATTTGTTGTTGGAAAACTTGTATTCCGGCAGCCAAGGTTTGTCAGTGACGTCATAATCATTTTTTCGTAATTTTCAAATTTTGTGTCTGCGCGCGCGGTCGAGTTAAATGTATCTTTAACGGGTTAACAATGCGCGCGGCGCAGCGGCGAGGTGTGAAGTTGGCAGCGAGTGGCGCGACGGAGTAGTTAGAGACGAAAGTGGCGTTGTAGCAGGCGCTGCGCGCGTCGGGCGCGGCGAGGTGTGAAGTTGGACAGCGACGCACTAGTTAAGGACGAAAGTTGAGTTGGGAAGGCGCTGCGCGCGCCAGCGGAGTTGATGGTAGCGACGAGGTGTGAAAATGGGTGAGCGTGGCGTGGCTGGCAAGAGTAATGAGCGCGACGGTAGAGAAGAGGTTTAGAGGTTGAACTGGCGAAAGCTTCTAGTAGAACGGCTTCGATTTCTTGTTGTTATTTGCGGTTGGAGGGGTAGAATTTCTTGGGACTGACTTTCTTGACTTCTGAAACGATTGAAAATCTTCTTTGTCATTTGATATGAATACTTGAAGAGAAAATACAATATCGTTGCTACTGATAAAATGACGCAAACAGCCATGAGGTAAAATGATAGTGGTTTTACTTTCTTGTAGATTTTCGATAGTTCCGGATGTACTCTGTCCTCCGTTTCTTCCAGTTTCGAATACGTTTCCGGAGAAAAGTAGCTCGTTCGATTTGCAAATTTTCCAATTTTCAAATAATCGGATTTTGATATCCATTGTTCGGCTCTAGAACGGATTCGTGAGTATGAGCTTGTTGTTTCCAGAACTATTTCTTCAGTCGACAATTTCGGAAGTGTCAGAATATTTGATCCACACATGAGCGCTTGTGAATTGGTTCGGTTGAGTAACGTGACAGTCGGTTCTTTCCCTGCAATTTCTTCATTTGTATTCAGTAGACTAGTTCTACGGAATGATGAGAGTAGAATTTGAGAAGGAGATGCTTGATAAATACATGGCGATGTTGATTGAAAGACTTGTTTCGCGCAACTTGTCAGATTTGCGTGGTGAATAACTTGTCGGGCACATGTTTCACCGAAAGAGCTTCGCAGGACTTCGTCATATGTGCAAAAGATTGAGCCTTCATTTTTGCAATTATCCAGAACTGTAATTTGCCCATCCAATTTCACAGACATCATTTTTGGGACGAGAGAGAACTCGTAGAAATAGTTTCCTTTTTCTTGGGCAATTGGTAGACCAATAGAGAGTGTTCGAATTGCTTCGCCCAGGTGTTCAATAGAAGGCATTTTCACTTCAACCAGAATTTTCAGTGTCACAAGTCCATTGTTGGTTACGATTGGTTCAATTCCATGGATTTTAGCTTTCTTCGATGTAACGAAATTTTCGCAAGCTGCAAAAGATTTGATGTTTGATGATTGACACAGTTTGATTATAGTCGCCATATACAGTGAATGCTGATTTTGAGTACTTATGTCTGACAAAAAAATTCATGACAGATAACTGGTATTGGACGAAAATGTCATTGACCAGCTCTAAGAACATTCTATCAGACAGTTTCCCAAGTTCTTCGCATTGCCTTTCAGTTACTGTGTTCACTGTCTCGTAGATATGATCGAATTCGAAATCAATTTTTTGAATATCAGATTGTACGAGTTGTGTTAGATCTTTTTTGCTGGAGCGATGACAACTGGACGGTTTTTCGTACATTTTCGATTTTCTCATTCTGCTTTCTGTCCATGATTTTGTTTGTAACAAAGCTTGTCGCTCCAGACAGCAGTATCGGAACGCCAACGGCAGCTAGGATTTGAGCTTGACGCCTTCGACGGCTTCTTGGCTTTCTGTGAGGTGGCACCACTTGATACTTGACGTCATATTTTGTAGTTCCATGTTCGGCGAGAAAAGTTTTGAAGGTTTCGCAATTGTTTTTACTAAGTCTGATTGAGAATAATAGAAAATATCGTTCGACACAGTCGAGGCAAAAGAAGCCGCTAGGGACTTCACAATTGACTTCTATATAATCCTCGAGATGGGTGCGACATTGAACGACATAAGGTGGTTGCCTCGGAAGTGTCAGTGAATCTTCTAAATATTTATCCATGTAGTTTTTATTGAGCCGTATTTGTTTTGCCTTCAGTTTATACAATTCCAAAATATCAAGATAGGTGGTCTTGTGGTGTTCGAGCCAATCCTTTGTTTGGTCTGAAACATCTAGCGATATTCCAATTGTATGAATAGGTTTTGACAGTTCGATGATTGTTTGCAATTCAAACGCATCAGAACAGGAGTGTTCTGGCAACCGAATCTTGTGTCTTACGCTTCCATTTCGGTAAACGTTTTCTAGCAGCGAG